GTTTTAATTTTTTTCATTTACAATATATTTTTAATGTTTACAATACTACAACCTACGATTACAATTCCTGCTTTACGGTTACGCTACAGTTTTTTCGTTTACAATATTTTTTTTATGTTTACAATACTTACAACCTACGTTTACAATTCCTGCTTTACGGTTACGTTTAAGCAGACCCTATTTTGACGCCATAAAGTATCTGATACCGATAACTGATAACAGAGCTGTCAATACTCTGGTACAATGAAAGAATTGCATAACATCTTTTGTATTGTATTGTTAACTTTCTGTGTTTTCCAATATGTGTACACAAATACACATTTTAGATAATCTAATCTTAGCTAAAAAACAAAGATTACCACGTCAGTCCTGGATCAACCGCCTGTCTATACGTTGAAGCTAATCACTCTCACAAAATTGGGCTTTCCAAGTTTTCTCATTCCGTAGTGATGGCAATATGAAGCCCCATGAAGCCTTGAGGGATTACTCGGCCCATGAGTCGAAGGCTCGAGGTGAATCATGCTCCACTACGCCATCATGTGGACAAAGAAATGTAATACATGCCAAGGGCCTATAACAAATGGTAGGGTCTGAACATGGGCTGAAAGAATACAGCCAATGATGTGGAGACAGTTGTTATGTAAAATGTGCTTGTGTTACTTTGTTTATGTAAGTGCTTATGCAACTATTGACAGGAGTTGAAAAACAAACAATACAGTTATTCATTTTTATTCAAAAATAATTTTTCAAGAGTATTTGGACTCAGGCGATTTCTTTTTTTGCACAGTATTTCACCTGCCTTTGAAAAAACCCGTTCACAGGGCACAGAGGATGCAGGTGAACATAAATATGTAATGGCAAGTTTATATAAATTTGGAAATGTAAACTTATTTTTGTCCCAATATTGAAGGGGACTTTTGAGTCGAGGAATATTTGGCTCCCCCAGGTATGTTTGGACCTCCACTGTAGCGTTGGCAGTTATGTTTGGGATTTTGGTCTGCTGGCATGTCGTGTCAAAACGTTGCCACAGTTTGCTCCCTAAAACAGAATAAACAGGTTATAAGTGACTTATTAGCACAAATAGAGTATACATATTACCTTCAGCTACAGATGATGATGGTGATGATGATGATGAAGCAGAAGCGGACAATGAAAGTCTCAAAACTCGAGCACATTCGCCAATCAATCTTTTTTCAGCTTCTGCTGCCTTATTGGGGTTGAAGAATCCAATCTTTTTAAATCTGGGATCAAGCAAGGTAGAGATGGACATGATGCTCATTGATTGTACTGTGAAGTCCACAGTACTTTGGAAATTCAAATCTAAATACAAAGAAATTATATTAATGAGATACAAATTAGATCAAACGTTCTAAATAGTGTTAGGTTCCAACTTAAAAACAAAAGTAGACTAAGAGAATATAGGTATATTTTATTGTCTTATACAAGCTTTATATGTGTGTCGATTGTGCGTGTTAGTATATATATATGTGTACATGTATATGGATGTGTGTGTATGTATATATGTACGTGTACTCAGGTATATTTAAAGATATGTGCGTATGTATGTGTGCATTTGCACGTGTTTATGTATTAATCTGACAGAGTATAATGTAAAACTTTGTTGTAACTTTATGTTGTACAGGACGGTATCCAGTATTTAGTTTTATTTTGTAGTTGGGGGTGGGAGTAAACAAGTGTTTCACTTCTTCTCACTCCCTTTCAAGCAAAGAGCATTACTTTATTGTTAAGGAAAAAAATAATGATAATAATAAATAAATAATGTAATCTGTGTTAATATATATTGTTTACTATAACGTTTATGAATTTAAGTTTCGTTATTGTGACATTGTGTCATGCTCATGCTTGCTTGCTTGCTTGAAATAAAATTATTCATTCATTCATTCATTCATTCATTCATTGGAGGTGGCTGAGCTTGTCCCTCAGTTGTCTTCGCAAATACTCAGCCATGTCTCTGCTCTCAGGTGTTTGGATATGGCCGATCTCCTATTCTTCCAGAGCATTATGGAGAATGGTCAAAAGTGGAACTACTTTAGACCCAGACTCTTTTCTCCTCGGACACCTCAATTGTGGCATAGTAGAATGGAGCGAGCACCTTCAGACAGTCTGCAATGATGTTATATTGTTCTGCTGAGATTTGTGTAATGTCTGTACGGAGCCCAGCCAAAGCTGCTCCAACAGGCTCTCTCAGGTTGAACAGACGCTGAAGCATTAAGTACGTGCTGTTCCATCTTGTATCCACCTCTTGAATAAGTTTAAGCACGGAGAGACCCATTTGTGATTGAATCTGTGTAAGTCTCTCCTATAAAACAGTCAACAAATTAAAACAGTGCAGGAGCAGAAATGATAATTGACATATTACAAGTAAGTACCTTACCTTTGCAGTAGTGCTGCTCTTAAAGTATCCTACTATCTTACGACAGTTTGTCCTGATGTCACACAACTCAGGACTTTGGTCGAGAGCTTTTTTGATCATTAAGTTTAGCGTGTGTGTGCCACACAAATTGTGTGACGCATATGTAGCTCTCGAGCACAAGCTCCCATATTCGCAGCACCATCAGTCACCAGACATGTCACCTTTCCTGCTAAACCCCACTCTGACATAAGAGAGGTCATCACTCTCGCTAGATTTGCTGCTGTATGTGCCTCAGGGAAATGCTGCACCCCAAGGACAACAGTCTGCAGAGAAGTGCTCTCGTCAATAAAATGACCAGTCACTGCAAGATAGGCATCAGTGTTGATGGAGGTCCACATGTCTGCTGTTAAACTAACAGCAGATGCAGAAGACACCACCACTTTGGTCTTGTCTTTGGCTTCCCTGTATCTCTTCTCCACCATGGCTTTCAAAGTCTGAAAAAAGTAAAGTCTTGAAATAGTGGATCTGAGGATAATAAATTGTTAATAGTTCACATAAATACCTGCCGCGTGGGAAGAACATAAGATGGTGCCAAAGCTTTCACAAGCTTTCGGAAGCCAGTTCCCTCCACAATGGAAAAGGGCTGGGAATCCTCAATCACCATATCCACCAACGCCTCAGTCAAGTCAACCGTCTCAGCTGAAAGAAAATGCACATTAGGGTTAGAAATTTATCTAATGAACAAATACATTCAAATAAAATATTTTTTGTGTAATTGTAGGACAATCATCAATTATTATCATGATATAAAATGGCCTACCCAAGACAGGTTCACCTGGGTTGGAATCCACATTGCTATGCAAAGCACGACAGTGCCTTAGCATAGCTGAGGTGTTATTATTATAACCCAGTTGTTTGGAGCATAACAGACACTTCACCTGCAATTGAAAAAACTATTATTCAAACGTAAATATAACAGAGAAAAGTGAGCAAGAGAAATTATGTGTTGTCATATTTGTGTAATCTATTATTACAGAATTATTGATATGCCTTACCTTATTAGGTAAGATCTGCTCAAAGTGCTCCAAAACTGGAGAAAATCTTCTTTCTTGCCGGTTCCATCGCAAAAAAGAAGCTCAAATAGGATGCCAAATAGGATGCCAAATGAGAAGCGCAATAACCCAAAAACACACAAAGTGATGAAGGGGAATCCATTGCGTTCACTCGTCCCGTTTATTTCGAATCGCGCTCCAAACCAACGAATCATTTCCTGAATCAGTCACGTGGTACGGCCGTTCGCGAGGCTTCGAACGTCATCACACAAGATATGGGCAGTGATGAGCCGGGATATTTATGGTCACTAGTCATCCTGCAACCCCACTGACCAATGACTCCTGTGCATTTGTTTTTACAGTATTAAATGTTCTGTGTTGGACCATTTGATTCTCCCCTAAACTCTTACAATACAGAACAGTACAGTTTAGTACCGCAAGTAATATATTTCCCTCCTGCCTAAGGACAAGTATATGCCCACTGGTAATCAAAATAATTGATCCATAGGAGGAAAACAATCTTTCACTTATGTCCAGCCCGAGGAAAAATTATTAAAATTGAATTCAACATCATGTAGTTTTCAACCTGCAAAGCTGTTACAGAATCCAAATTATCGATGTGGAAATTACTGACAACTGCCCTCATGTTATTCGTGTGCTACCTCTACTGGGGTGCAAGTAACAACATGCAATAATCACAAACAGGATTATTACCAAAATAGGTTTTTATTTTACATAAGAACAGTGTCAAAAACATTTCTTGCATATAACTATTTTTAAAATAAGATTCACAGATTGTACAAAGATGACAATTGACATAATTTGTAGAATAAATCAAAAACGATTTGCATTCAACCCATTACCAAAAAATATTACAATGATATTGCAGTCACCGTGTCATTCAATTGTTAAGTAAACAAAGTTATGGTTAACACTTGTAGTGTAATAAAACTGTAAACAAGAGGAAGACACCATTTTATATCATATAACCTACTCTCAAACCATGCAGCTTAACAGAACATTTGCCAACTTTTTATTTGATAATTCTTGAAGAGACAGGCTAAAACAAGAAAAGTCAGCAAACCAAGGCACCGTTTGATATTCAGAGATATTTCAAACATGCATAAAACAAAAGGATCAAATATTAAAAGATTTGATTAATGTAATATGGGCTTGGTACCAAAGTGAAGGTTCTACTGGTGCCAGAATATATTTGTGGGTTTATGGCATGCTGTTGTTCACAATGCATGCTTTGAAAGCACTGTACAAAGTTATTTAAGAAACGTACCTTTAGGTATCACAACAGCTGCCTAGTTATTGAATAAGTGCAATTACACTGTATTGTATAGATCAAGAGCCTTCCCTCGAGAAGGTACATAAATAAGATTTAATTTGATGTTGGGCTCATGTTACTTTTACAATTACATCTATTTTACAGTGCCGTTTTATCTTGTCTTCATCTATATAAAGATGCAGTGTGTGAAAAGCGCTCAATAAATGCTGAATGATTATTAAATCTTAAGTAAAATAAAATTACAGAAACTCTGACGTCCATACATGTCAAAGGTCCTGAGTTAATCCACCAAAAGGCATTCAACAAAAGCAATTTCTATTGAAAAACAAGAGCCAAGTAACAATTCAGTGTCAACAGCACAGAAGCAGCCTTCCCTGATCACAAGAATTAGCATCACCTTTAGGTTCCAGTTTCATACATTTGCAAAATCTGCTTGTTTACATTAGAAAACGTAAATCATACAATTGCACCGTTTTGCAAGCACACACAAATGGGGAAGCAACCTACCCACCTTTCCAAGCATAAGCAATTATATCATCATTAGCATGTTGATTGGACTAAGCAATCCCAATCCCATTTCTGCTTCAAACTCAGAAGTGTTTGACAAAAAGCCACTTCCATTTTTCAAAATTCCTTTACATTTGGGCTTTAATTTGATTTCTCGTAATTTAACTTAAGACTAAGGGTCCACATGATGTCAGAGCAGTCGTCCACTCATTCCCATTTGAACAAGTGCATAATGAGCAGTATCATGCAGAGACAACTGTGGATTCAATTACTGTCCAGTTTTGGTTTGAGAAAGTCTGATTCAACATTGGACTTTTGGGGACTACCGTTTCCTTCTACAAACATGTTAGGGATGTCCTGACCAAAGTAGATCTTACTGTTTGCAGCAATGGCCTGGTATTTCATCAACTCCAAGTATTCCGGCGTTAGCTTTAACTATAACAATTACAGAAAATATATGTTAGTCAACGTTTTTGTGCATGTGGTAAAACTTTGTCACGTACCATGTTCGCCTCTGACAACTTAGCAGCAGTGTAATATTCTGCATCAGCTTTGGCCTTTTCGCTAGCCAGAAAGGCTGCATCTGTCATAGACAAAAGGGAAATTAGAAATGCAGAAAAAAAACAAAAACTAAAGTTGAAACCAGAAGTATAGATACACTACACTACATCTAATAATTCAGGTGATTGACCTCTCAATATTATGTGGCCTTGAATTAATAATAACCTGACCTAAATTACAAGATCATTAAAATCTGACAAATGCTACAAAATGTCTTTGATTTTTTTTTTTTTACAAATCAAAAAAAATGAACGTATATGATTTTTGAGATCCCTCCCACTTCTGTGCATCCGTACAGAGATCTTGTGGGAGCTCCTCTCAGCCTTCCAGCATCACAGTAAAAGTCATTTCTTCTCTAGTGACATGTACACCACAGGAGAGATAAAATAGCAAGCTGTTGGCAGAGTGGTAAGCACTCTTGCTTCTCAGCAACAAGGTCCTGGGTTTGAATCCTGGTCCGGACAGAATTTTTCTGAGTAGAGTTTGCGTGTATCTAATGCATTTTGATTAGTTTAGGTTAGAGTTTTATTGTATTTTATTTGATTCCCAGAAACTCTTTACTTACATCTTCCTCTGTAACTTCAAAAAGGAGATTTGTAAATGTTACCTTCAATTTGTGAGATTTTTTTTTCGGTTTCTTTCTCCATGATTTTCTGTGCAAAGTGGATCTCTGAAACCTGAGCCAGTTTCTGGGCCTCTGTTTGAACATGAGCAATAATAAATGTTAGTTTCATCATTTGCGAGATACAATGTCGACAGAAGACAATAAATTCCCATTACAATTTACCAATTATGGCCTTTTTTCTTTCAGTCTCAGCTTCCTTCTCAACAACCTTCTGTGTCTGTACAGTGATTAACAAGCGAGTCTTCTCAGCCTCCCTGAGATACAAAAGTTGAATATTATTAAAAGTAAAAAAAAAAAAAAAGGGTTAGGGTTAGTAGAGAAAAGTTAACTCACATGAGTTCAAAGTTTCTGCGAATAGCCTCAGGGATTTTAGGTTTTGTGACACGAACAGCCTAAATTATAAGAAGTGGTATAACCCAACAACTCTCAATGTATTCAATTCACGACGGTAATTAAGAAGAGTTCGTAAACAACATTTAAAAAAGGTATATAGGAGCATTTTCTATTTCCCGGGTGGATCATAAAGACTATTGGTCCTCCAAATGTTCAATTATTCTGGTGATACATGTTTGTCAAAAAAGACCAGAGAGTTTTGTTCAGAGTGGAGAGGGTGGTTTTTTCCAAAAATTTGGGAAAGTCCTCCTATATACCTTTACTATAAATTTATATTTCTTTAGAAATACTGGCACTCTATACATTTGCATTTAAGAAGCATAAAATGCAAAGAGCGCACTGCAGATGTTTGTCATAGACAAACATGTCACTTTGATTGTGTGTTAATACCTGTATTGTGAGTCCTGGGGCCATTGCATTTAGGTCTTTCTGTAAAGCAGTCTTGAGGTTTTCATCTATGATGTCTACAGAGCAAACACACAAAATATGTAGTTTGCAACTTATTTTTTCTAGAACGTTATATCATGTAAACAATAAGCTAAGCAAGGACTTCAGTCATTATTGTACATGAGTAGAAGTCTACCTTGTGCTACCAACAAGTTTTGTGTTTATGCAAACACACTCACCGAACAACTCAATGTAGACTTCCTGTAGAGTGTGTACACTGCAGAACTGATTAAGTTCATGGTGAATTTTATTAAAAATAAGCGTCTTGTCATAATCTGCAGTGTAGTTTCTCACAATGTCCACAACTACAAAAACAGAGTAAAAATGAAATGCATTTGGACAAATTAAGACACAAAAATTCTGTCCCACCTGCAGAAGGGACTAGCATGTTAACCACCTCTATCCGGTCAAAATAAATCATTACACCGCCACTGTAATGCCAAAGACAGGTTGAATCAAGTTATGGTAGTTGCTCATATTATTCATAAATATATATCCTAATACCTAGTTCCACAAGGCACATTCTTGATCTCGTCAGTCTGGAGAGTGGTCTGAAAAAGAACAAAAGAAATTCTTAAAATGTAAGACGGTGGTGACTGCGCAAAGAACTGACAGTAACTGTAATCAGCAAACAAAATTGTTGTTTTTTTACATTTGGTGCATGCTTACCTGCACAGATCTGAATGTGGTAATAAAAGGCATCATTATATGATATCCTGGACCATTAGGTCCAGTCAGTAATGCTCCACCCCTAAAACAAGTGACAGGAATTAACTAGTGTCATTTTATGCTATTTTGAGTGTAATTATTGCAATGTACAATACCTGTAATACACAGCAAGGTGTCCTTCCTCAATCTTGTGAATGGAAGAGTGTAATAGGATGCCCATCACTCCTGCTATTGCTGCAAACACTGCCCCGACTTGTGGCATGGTCATTCTCCGTTTCTCCAAACTGTAAAGACAATTTGTCTATATGATGCCCAGTGATGTGGCTGTTTTTATGATTTTGTCTGGCTCTCAGACAAGTCTTAGTAGATATTATTAGTAAATTTCAGATTGTAATTCCTCAGCATAAAAAATATTGTTAAACAAAATAATTAATTCTGAGACATTCATTAAACCAAACACTCTAAATGTGTTGTTTTTTTAATCTCACATCCACGGTCAAACAAACAAAAATGGTATTGCTTCCATGGACATATTACTCCGTTAGCTCTCCCAGATCAAAAAAAGTTTTAACCACTAGATTAGAGACTATTTTTTTTTACGAATTGTGAAAAAATCACTGCCTGGGGACGAGGACCCAAGCACAGGCAACATTTGGAATTGCTCATTGAGCAATCAAAAAGATTAATAAAATAAAATAATGTTCAATCAATATCTTAATTACTGTCCAGGGACCATAACAGAGATTCGAGATTTATACACCTAGTGTGAAAATACAAAAGGAAATGAACACACTTGGGAAGCGTATTAAACATTAAAGCAAGCAGTCGGACATCGGAAATGCTGGTACATGCTGATTGTACACTGATTAATAAAATAGTATGTAATTTTTCCAATATAAATGTTTGGCACTTTCATTCGAACACATTGACATAATTGAATTGGTTGATATCAAATTAGAACATTTTCATCGATTAGGTTAGTTTTTAGTGGCTAAGCTAGCATTCTCAACAAATGACAAATTTTGTGGTGTTTTCAACATTACTTAAATGTATAGTTCCTTCTGATTACCAAAACTTTTCACATTCGCAAAGAGTGAGTTAACTATATTAGACTTTGCAGACATGGCTAGCACAGGTTAGCAGCTAACACAGCTCTCATTATCATCGGCTGCTTTCGGAAGTCAGTCATTCTATACTATTTTTAGCTCTTGTTCACATATTAAAGCAGATCAGCCATCTGACTACTTACCAAAAATATCGTGAACAATTCGATATAAAATAGTAACATGATGATGATAAGAAAGTACCTCTATCAAACTGTCTTCTCCGCAGATTTCACCATTCAAAGTCCCTGGCCCCACCCCCGCAGCTCTGCTCTTGCGTTTCCTGAACGCACCGTGTGGCGTTCATATCCCATAGGATAAAAGAATACACACGCGGGACTGATGGATTCGTTTTCTGATTTATTATCTATTTTAGAGAATCAGGCAAGTTAAACATTTACAACAGTATTATACACAGAAATTAAATAATAAATATGTATACATTTAAAATATTTTAAATAGAATGAACACCCACGGCTGTGACTGTGCATTCACATATTTTTACGACGAAGATCAGACTCATCCGAATTGTATTCTTTATTTTTATTTGGCAGACGCTACGAGATTAGTTCCTATTTCGACTTTGAAGCAAAAGTAATGTGAGAAATAAGTTGAAAAAGTACAAGAAGAAAGTCATAATATAATGAGAAAAAAAGTCAGAAAGTCTTAATAATGCAATTTTAACCTTGTATTTTGATGACTTAATTTGTAGAGTAATACGAGAAGAAAGTACTAATCTTATATAATAATGTCATTGTCCAAATAAACCAACATGAGGGTTGGACGCAGCAGCCTCCGCAGTGAGAGGAGCTTACTTGCAAGAGCAATAGAGCAATCTATTGTCTCCATTGAGTACAGACTCAGAATTGTGTAAACTAACTTTTCAAAACTATTCTCTGAATATAATGATATTGATATTGTAAATTATATTATACTTTATTTCTACTATTTCAATATCTCAATGAATCTACAAAAAATATTCAGATGAAACTGATGCTCCGTCGTGTATCAGTATTGGTGGGAAACAGATATACAATGTTTTGTATGCAACGTTTCATTTGCTCATTAGATTCTTCGGTTGGGTATTATTAGTATCACACTGAATCCAGCTCCAGTCCTGTTCCTAAACAGTAAAAAATCAGATAATAATTCAGGTCTATATTTTTTCCATTCTTAGCACATACTGTAGAAACAAAATCACTCTAAGCTTACCATAACACTTGTATCCATCTCTTTCGTAGCGTCATTCAAAAGAAATGTCAGTTGACTCAGATAGTGTTGATTTTCATTCAACAACTGCTCAACAGTTGCACTAAAACAAAGAAATTGCATGTCTATAGCATGGGTTAAACCAGGGGTGTCAGACTTGTTCCAGAAAGAGCCAGTGTGACCGCAGGTTTTAAATCCTCCCAGCCAGTAGCACACCACACACCCATTTCCTCAAGTGAGCCCAGTCTTAACCTGGTGGAGTCTGGTGTGCTCCTGCACACCTGGAATTAAAACCTTCAGCCACACCGGCCACACTGGAACCAGTTTGACACCCCTGAATTAAAATCTTGACGCAATATACAGTGTTCTTGGCTACATACTTATTTGAGGGACTGTCTTGAAGTGACTGGGGTGGGGAGCATGTCTGTGCCTATGAAAAGTAAAACAAACAAGCTTTTAGTTTCTACATCACATAATAAAAGTACTTTTTTATCGTAATCAAAGTTATTTTATCTTACACAGGCAATCTTGAGCAAGTACCAGAACTCTCGTTGTCTCTTCGACTGCATCTGCATTACAGCTGCATCAGCTGTTGCAATATTTTCCAAAGCGTTTTCTAACTTTGGAAACAAGTCCATGATGCGTCTTTTGAAAACCAAGATTGTGCTACAGAAGTATAAACAGAAATCCATTATATATAAATATTACATTTTTATTTGTATAATTGTTTGCATTGTGTAAGCTCCCACCTCAGGTGAGTATACAGGTCTTTAAGCACTCTATCTTGGTTTTGCACAGTTTGAAGAATAGTCCGTACCATTTCAGAGCTATCACTGTAACCATGCGGCGGGTCTGGGTCTATAGTGAAAAACAATGTTTTATCCTCAGGGTGATTTATAGTTGGCAGTAGGTCTCACTTTACACTAGGAAACACAGTATTTGGAAACTAGTGGAATGTCCAGAGCAGCAAACAATTCTAGTTTTCCAATAGTTATATTACTTGTAAAAACATTTTTTTAAAGGTCTTTCATCAGGTGCTAAAACTGGTTATTGTAACTGGAAATACAGCAAAAAGTGTGTTGAAAGGTTTCCAAATGCTAAATAACAGTGTGTAGGGAGTTCCCTATGCAGTTACCAATTAAAGGCACAAAAATATATCCTAGAATTAAATGATATACAGATAAGTAAAGAACAAGAATGTACATGGGCTAATAATTACACCTCCAAAACCAAAAAACTGCAGGAGGATCAACCAAGGGCTGGTGCTTTGAGGATTGGGTGGCAGCTCTGATTGCCACCCAATCCTCAAAGCAGAAATTATGACAATTAGTATGTAAGTAATACTTCAGAATATGTTCCTGTTTTTATGTATATTTATCAAGTCATACAAAGTTAAGTTATAAGAACATCCATGGAACCAAGCTGGTAATGGTCCTAATCATGAGCCTGGTTTGTGGAGATGTGTGCCTTCTCGGGGCCAGTGAAACATAATTACACAGCAAATATGCCAGATTATATAAAACAATTCTTGTTTTACAACCTATAAGCTTACTTCCATTTATTACACAACACTTACTTTTACATTTAGCTTTCAGTTGCTTGTAGAGGTCAATTGCCTTTTCCTCACTGAAACAGATAAGAATTGTTCTAACAAGCATTTATTCATCTTGAAGCACCTGTATTAATTGTTTCTATCAATCGAGACAAAATATTGTTTCCCTTGTGTATGTTGTAAACCAGTCAAAATGCACGGATAAACTTTTGGTGAATTATTAGAATGTGAGGAATTCATGAGAATGTAAGAAAGACCATGGCAAATTAAAAATGTCATTCAAACTAAAAACACAATAGTGCTACCTTCAACCCCACTTCCAAAGCAGCCTTCTCAGGCACGCTAAGGGCCCGCTCGTTCTTTTGTTTTGTTTCTTTTGTTCATTGTTTGAATTACAAATTACGTTCACTAGTGACATCCGGAAAAATAATGCAATGCAAAAAAAGCATCACAAAGCAGAAACAGCCAAGAAGTTAGTATAAAGTAGTTAATATTATAATTTAAAGGGATGGTCTGGACTTTGTCAGAAAAAATAGAGAGAGGTAAATGATTTGAAAAATAAAAGTGCTATTAAAGTAGCACTGATAACAAACTTATACATACAGCTGCTTCATCACATCCTCTTGTCTACGTGCGAAAGGGCTTCTCTGCAACTCCACAATCTCCAAATGCAAGGCCACAATCTCTTCATCCAAGTACCCCACATCAGCAACCTAAAGCAAAGACAAATAATCCAGCTGTGAATACTTCCTCCTCTGCTGTGAAGGATGAACTGAAATATGAAATCATGTTATTAGTACAACACATCAATAGACCTTTGTAAAGTTATCAGCCATTTCTTCATTGTCTTGCCAAGTCTTCAACATCTTTACAGAAGCTTTAAAAACATGAAAACACATTTAGCAAGCAGTGTAATAATGTATAAAATGTGAAAATACTGACATATCCCATTTTGTTGTTGCCTCCTGTATAGCTCTAAGTCTTGTTGGATACTGGTCTTAAAGAAAGCCAGTTTTGCTCTGAGCTGCTGAGACTTCGAGAAAAGCAGGTTCTTGTATCGGGTAAGGTTGGTGTTATACCGAAGCAGACTTAACCTTCACACAAAATGAGTTACTAATACTTCAAAAGAGACGATCAAAGACAATAATGCAGATGGTGTGTACTTACATGGCTGCTCTCTGTCCCTGATACAGGCGTAGATAGTCCTCTTTAAGGCCACATATATAACTGACAGCTTCCCCCCAAACCTTTCTCAGTGCAGCCAATGGAAGCTGTGTCTTAGTCTCCCTCACTGTTCAGATACATGCTTTAGATGATATTTATTGCCTCCAAGATAATATCGAAATCATAGCTTTAAAGGTATACCCTATTAGACAGTCATTAGTATAATTCACTTTTTTGTAGCATAATTGAATCTCCACAAATAGACAATGTCTTACCTATAAAATTCACACTATCTGGCAGAGTTCGAGCTGTTAGAGGTCCAGAGTACTTGGTCAGGCTCTTGTCGAACAAGAAGACTATAAAGTTGTCCCAGCCATGCTTAAATAAAACATTTATTTCTTAAGTTAATAAATCTGAAATACTATACGAATGCTAAAATAATGATTCTACCATAGCTAAACAAATAAATATGTAAGTAAGAGATAAACAGGAAGAAAATAAATGCATTGCCAGAGGTCAATAAATTGGTAACTGAAATTATACATCATTGTAATTATGTATTCCTATAGCATACCAAGTCCTCTGGCAGACATTGGGCTGGTGGTCTGCGGGGGTCCAAAGTAATCCCAGTCTCAAGCAGCAGCTCCTGGTTCAGAGGAGGGATGTGAGCTGGAGTCTGAGCCTCCAGTCGTAGCTCCAGTGAATTCAGACTTTCCTCCATGCTCAACACCAAAGAATGCATCTGGGCTGATGTCATGTCCAACACATGAATGATCTGTCAAAAAAGTATCATTCATCTGTCATTTTTATTGTAATTATTGTTAGCAAAGATGGCCTACCTTCATAACAACAATGTTCTGCAGGATGTCGAAACATGCTGGCTTGTCACCACTTGAATCCCTTTCACCACCGCGTGTGGCAGGATCCCACAACAGCAATATTTGCAAAAGAGATTCAGTTGGCTCTAGCAAAGGTCTATAATGGGCACAAATATCATAAATATTTAGATCACAAAAAATGTATCATGTGCTGGTTCAGAGGGAAACTTATTTTGTAACCAAATGTAAGTGTTTTGCAGCAAAAAACAGGTTTGGCATAATTTTACATTCATGACACTCATTGTTAAGGCCCTGGGCCTTGATATTTCTCCCTGTTTGAATTTGGTGTGTATTTGTGTGTATGTGTGTGTGGCAACCCCTTCTATCACGAGATTCCTGGCCTGTGATTGGACAAACACTGGCCCTCTCACCTCCCAGAAGTCCGTGACTCAGGTGCTGATTGGAGAAGCAGTGGTGTACCTGGCCAATCCAGCTTCCCCACCTGGAGTCAGTCTCCCACTTGAGGCCACACTCCACAGCTGTTCGGGGCTGCCAGCCTGTGTGGCTGGTACGCCATTTTGTCCTTATGTAAATGTCTGTCATTGTCAAGAGTGGTGACAATGACTAAGAGACATAATCCTTATAGCTTTGATTTGGTTTGTCTCATTATTGACATGTTAAGGTTTTGTTTTCGTGACACTTCGCTATTTGAGACAACAGTCAGTTTAGTGTTTAGTTCTATGTTTATAAGTGTAAAGATTTAGTGTAGGTTTTGTTTTGTTAACGTTGAGTTACCCCCTTATGTCCTGTATTGTGTCCTTTTGATTTATGTCTCATCATTTACGTGCCTGTTATTAAATACTTGCTTTTCCATTTTACATCTTGTTTTTTTTTTGTTACCTCCCTAACCCTAGCTGAGCTGGGTAGTAACCATAGACTGTATATATTAACGGACGTAGTCACGCCTATCTCCGCTGTTCTAACTAATGGGCCAAAAATTGTGATTCAAAATGGCCGCGAGGGCTGGAAAATGTGAAAAAACGCATCTGCGCATGCGTCAGCCAGCACGAACCCCATTCATTTAAACGAGTGACTTCAAAAATTCACAGCGAGTAAACTTGAGTGGTCCAAAAAAATTCAATCCCCTCAGCATTGACACACATGTGGAACGGAGCTTTGGGCCAAGAGCCAACTCTTGACCATCCTGTAAAGGTGTTTTTGAGAGGTAAGAAGATGCTTAGCATTGGCTAATTCTTATTCCGGGTCCACCCCCATCGGTCCGGGGTGGTATTGCAACATGTCAGCGCACATCATTTTGGCCACTTTTGACCCGATACCGGGACCCGCCCCCACTGGTCGTAACACTCATAATGAAAGACAATAAGAATAATTTATTGTAATTTCGAAAAAATCTTTTCGAAATTACAGAAGAAATATGATCAGATGACTGCTGTCTCTTTACCTGCTCAGATTATTTGGGTAAGGAAGATGGGCAGAGAATCTGACTTCTCCATTCATGTCTTCTATTGCCATAATATCTTTGGGGCCTTTGTTTTTCACCTTACTAGTCCTTAAAGTAAACAGATAATTAGAATTGGTGGTGAACACAAAAGTGAAATTGTCTATAATACCATGAATAGTTTGATGATTATACCATTGCACTGGCTGCATGTGATGTAAAAAAGGACGGAAGCCACAAGTGCACTCAAAAATGACTGTTCCAAAGCTCCAGTAGTCCACTGTTACAGTATAGGGTTTGCTTTCAAACAGCTCAGGGGCCTAGTAGAAAAAAAATATGGTTCAAAATAGGATCTTTGATACAATTCCTAACAATTCGTTTAAGTCAAAATAAATAACTGACCAGGTACTGCAAGGTTCCCACAAATGATGTGCAAAGACTGCCTTGATCAAGATCTTTTGCATAGCCAAGATCAATAATTTTGTGAATAATCTGAAAATAAAGCGACAAAAACATTAGTATACATTCATGTATGTTTAACAAACTAATCTGAGTTCAGGATAACACCTTTCCGTTGTTCTCCTGTAGAACTATGTTTTCAGGCTTCAAGTCTCTGTGGATTATTTTGTTTTTGTGTAGATATTGAATACCAGCACCTGGGTTTGCAGAGTTATGTATATTAATAAAACAATTATGGGTTAATGGCTTAATAGAAGTAATTACCAATATCTTTCAGAAGGGAGAGAATTTCACTTTCCTTCAAGCCACAACAATTTTCTGGTTTATTCAAAACCTAAATGTATAAAAAGATCATTAACACAACAGTGGTGCAAAATACAGTTTGTAAAGGTGGCTTTACCTTGCGCAGGTCGCCCCTGGAGCAGTACTCCATTGCTAGCAGAGGAAGGTCATTTATAGCAATTGCAAGCAACTCTTCAGGAACTTCTCGTGCCTCAACGACATTGACATGGCTTAATCTGGAATTAATAACAGAAAAGTACATAATATTTCTTTAAGCGGATTCAGGACTCCTCTGAATGCTTCTGAATCTCCCTGGTACTTTCCTGACAAATGTAGATCTTATAAAGCAAATCATGTGTAATCATGCCAAACTGACAGAACTCTGACCTTTTCATAATTTGGATTTCTCTACACCACCGATCCTTGTTCTTGGTGTTCAAATCCAAGCGACAAAGCTTTACAGCTATCTTGTCTCCAGTATCCTACAAAACATGGAAAATAATAAAAACATAAGAGTTTACAACGAGGATATAACTCAACTCACAGCGTGCTGATAGAGGTTGACATGTCCAAATCCTCCCATGCCAAGCCTTTCCCTCATCTCCCAGGAGCCACAGTGATGACTCTGCCTGGGTGCTGCTCGGTCCATAATGGGCTGTAATAAGTTCAACCACCACACTGCTTCACAACATCTCCACAAGTGTGGCTGGGCATTATTTATGTTAAATGTAATAAGGAATACTAACCTTATTATAATATATCCATGATACTGACACGTTAAGTACTTGCAGTTGTTGTCATTAACGAATCTCTGGTCCAGATTGCACACGAGTGTCACATCCTGTTGCTGCTTCGAAGTTGCTCTTTTAACAACTTTCACTTGACATTAAACGTTAGCTGATGTTAAAAGCATACATTAAAACATCCAATCTATCATTTTTTTATGTATAGTAGTAATAAACCCTGTTTATGTTTGAGTCTTGAGAAGTAGGTGGAGAACAACCAACAACATGGAACAAAAGCGAAAGTAAAGACTTGAGCTTTGCGCATGCGTACAGTGACCACATTTGAAAAGGACACAAGATGGCGCCAAAAATTAGAATATGGAAGAGACAGCGGGGAGTTAGATAAACAGGCAGCTACGGTAACTTTATTCTGTGCTTTTCAATGTAACTTACTTACTTATAACTTAACTTACTTATAGAGTGTGATTGGTGAACACATAGCAACCCCCGAAAACACGCTTTCATTGGTTCTTCTAATCAAATCAAGCCGATGTTGGTTGAAGATTTCAATGCTTTCAGCTTATGGGATCCAAACAAAACATAGGTAAAAAATTAAAATACACATTGCCTTGGATTCGCTGGGCATCAATAGAGGTAACTTGTGGAGCGTAAGATGACGGACCAAAAGCCTTTATTTTTTGCTGAATCGTCTTGTATTGTTTAGAAACATATTTTATCGAATCGTATCAATTTTGTATGTATCCCACCGAGATACATATTGTTATCGGCAGCCTCGTCTGATACAATATGCCCTTTATCTATCACTCCTCCACTATTGATGCTTTCATATTTTATTTCATTAATTGTGATTAGATTCAAAATATCAAAAGAAAAAAATAATAACTGACCAGGTACTGCAAAGTACCTGCTCAGTTTTGTCTTATACAAATACATCATATGTAATGTATGTATGTGATATGCTCAAAAGGAGTTGGCACAAGGTATTTACACTTCAAACTTCAAAAGTTGGAGTAAGATTTCCTCCTATAATCTTGTATAGTAGTGTTAATAAACTTTTTCATGAAAATGCAATTAACAATGAGGTAATGTAAATCACAAGGTATACTGTGTAACTATCCATGAAAAGCCTGTGTTTTTATTTTTCCTGTACATCTGATAACATGATTGTATGGTGACTGAGGATTTGACTTCCTTGACAATGGGAAGTGAGTAACTTCTTTTTATGTTTCCCTATTGAGAGTTCAACAATGGCCCTCACGTCACATGCAATAAAAGAGTCACAAAAACTTAAACTCAATATTGAGACACCATGCTTTATTGACTTTATTGTGTGTACAATACATATCACATAATTTTATATAGACCTGATTTATGCTACTTCAGCAACTGTTGTCAGTTTGTGCAAATAAGTATTACATAGAAATTTCTCATAAACAAAAAATATTTCATTCAAAGTATGAGATTTACTCAAGTCATTGTTGGGGGGCACGGTGGCTGAGTGCATAGCACTCTTGCTTCTCAGCAAGAAGGTCCTGGGTTTAAATCCCGGTCGGAACAGGGGCCGAAGTTTGTATGTTCTTCCCGTGTCGGCGTAGTTTTCTTCTGGGTGCTCCGGTTTTCCCTACCACAAAAAAAAAATGCACAATAGATGTAAATGAGAGGGATGGTGTTGATTGGCTCCGACGAGTCAGACGAAGCGCAGTCCGAAGCCAACCATGGACAGCACAAAAAGAAAAACCGTGACGTCACCCGGCATGGCGCAGCCAGGGCCCCACACTGGAGCCAGGCCTGGGGTTGGGGCTCGAAAGCGAGCGCCTGGTGGCCCGGGCCTTAGCCCACGGGGCCCGGCCCGAAAGGTCGACATGGGCAGTCCCTCCTGTGGGCCCACCACCCGCAAAGGGGTCCGTGGTGGCGCGATGCTGAGAGGACTGGGCGGCAGTCGAAGGTGGAGACCTCGGCGACCCAGTCTCCGCCCACACAACATCTGGCTCTTGGGACGTGGAACGTCACCTCACTGGGGGGGAAGAAGCCGGAGCTCGTGGGGGAGGTTGAGAGATACCGTCTAGAGATAGTCGGCCTCACCTCCACACACAGCTTGAGCTCTGGAACCCAACTCCTTGAGAGGGGTTGGACGTTCCACTTTTCTGGTGTTTCTCGCAGGGAGAGGCAGCAAGCTGGGGTGGCCATACTCATTGCCCCCCATCTCAGCCGCCACGTGTTGGAGTTCTCCCCGGTGAATGAGAGGGTCGCGTCCCTCTGCCTTCGGGTGGGGGACAAGTCTCTCACTGTTGTGACGGCCTATGGGCCTAACATCGGTGCAGAGTACTCGGACTTCTTGGAGTCCTTGAGTGGGGTACTGGACGGTGCACCGCCCGGGGAAATGCCAGTGACACTTGGAGAGGGGGTGATTGGGAAGAATGGCCCCCCTGATCGGAACCCGAGCGGTGTTCAGTTGTTGGACTTCTGTGCTAGTCACAGTTTGTCCATCACGAACACCATGTTCGAGCACAAGGGTGTCCACCAGTGCACGTGGCACCAGGACACCCTAGGCCGGAGGTCGATGATCGACTTTCGTATCATCTGACCTTTGTCCACGTATCTCGGACACTCGGGTGAAGAGAGGGGCGGAGCTGTCAACCGATCACCACCTGGTCGTGAGTTGGAGCCGTTGGCAGGGGAAGAAGCCGGTCAGACCTGGCAGACCCAAGCGTGTAGTGAGGGTCTGCTGGGAACGTCTCGCTGAGTCTCCTGTCAGGCGGACTTTCAACTCGCACCTCCGGGAGAGCTTCTCTCAGGTCCCGGCGGAGGGAAGGATATCGAGTGGACCATGTTCTCTTCCTCCATCGCCTATGCGGCAGCTCGTAGCTGTGGCCGCAAGGTCTCTGGTGCTGGTCCCGGCGGCAACCCCCGAACCCGGTGGTGGACACCGGCAGTAAGGGATGCCGTCAGGCTGAAGAAGGAGTTCTAATGATCCATGATGGTTCGGGGGACTCCTGAGGCAGTCCAGTACCGGCTGGCCAAGCGTGCCGCGGCCCGGGCTGTTGCAGAGGCAAAACCCGGGACTGGGAGGAGTTCGGAGAGTCCATGGAGCATGACTATCGGTCGGCCTTGAAGAGATTCTGGCTAACCGTCCGGCGCCTCAGAAGGGGGAAGCAGTTCTTTGCCAGTACCGTGGGTGGAGAGCTGCTGACCTCGACTAGGGATATTGTCGGGCGGTCGAAGGAATATTTCGAGGTTCTCCTCAATCCCCCCGTCACATCCTCCATCCCGGAGGCAGAGGCTGAGGATGTTGGGGCGGATAACTCCATCTCCCTGGCAGAGGTCACCAAGCTGGTTGGCAGCCTCCTTGGTGGTAAGGCGCCGGGAGTGGGTGAGATCCGTCCTGACTATCTAAAGTCTCTGGAAGCAGGACCTGCAGCATGCACTGGGACGGTTTGCAGCCGAGTGTGAAGCGGCTGGGATGAGAATCAGCGCCTCCAAATCCGAGGCCATGGTGCTCGAACGGGAAAAAGGTGCCTTGCTCTCTCCGGTGGAGAGGTCCTTCCTCAAGTGGAGGAGTTCAAGTATCTGGGGGTCTTGTTCACCAGTGAGGGAAGAATGGAGCTTGAGATTGACAGGCGGATTGGTGCAGCGTGCGGATTGGTGCAGCGTGCGCAGTGATGCGGTCGCTGTATCGGACCGTCGTGGTAAAGAGGGAGCTGAGCCGAAAAGCAAAGCTCTCAATATACTGGTCAATCTTCGTTCCCTCCCTCACCTATGGTCATGAGCTTTGGGTAATGACCAAAAGAACGAGATCGCGGATACAAGCGGTCGAAATGAGCTTCCTCCGCAGAGTGGCTGGGCGCTCCCTTAGAGATAGGCTGAGGAGCTTGGTCACACGGGAGGAGCTCGGAGTAGAGCCGCTGCTTCTCCACGTCGAGAGGAACCAGTTGAGGTGGCTCGAGCTTCTGTTCCAGATGTCTCCTGGACGCCTCCCTGGGGTGTTTCGGGCACACCCAAAACGTCCCAGCGGGAGGGAAGACCCAGGACACGCTGGAGGGACTATGGGGTTCCCCTGGACGAGTTGGAGGAAGTGTGTGTGGATAGTGAAGTCTGGGCGTCTCTGCTTAGCCTGCTGCCCTGCCCTGCTGCTGACCCGGCAACGGATGAAGCGGAAGAAGATGGAATGGAATGGTGCTGATTGGGGGCCCTGATGTGCCAGTGTGTTCGGCGTCTCGCTTCCGTCATCACCGTGTGTGGAATGATTGGAACAATATCTGAACTCTGAACATTGTAAAGCGCTTTGGGTGACCTTAGTCTGTAAAACGCGATGTATAAATAAACATTACTTAATAATACTTACTCAATCTAATGTTATATGCAGCACATTACTGGCTAGTTTAGGGGATGTAATAATACATTAAATAAATCGCACAATTTTGGGGCAAATATTGCTTGTAAGAACTTGCGGCCCATAAAGTTTGTCTTCAATATTAAGTTATCAAAGCATTTTCCTCATAGGTCTAAAAAGCTTTATACTGTTCTTTTTTATATAGAGCAGCACTGATCAGTATAATTTTGCGTGTTGGTCAGTGTGTGTAGTCAGTGAGGAAATTTAACAATGTGTGATTAAGCCTAGTGATTCACTGACAGCTATTGTCATAATAAATATAGTACAATCACTTCATCGACGCTGAGTAAGTCGCTGAAAGCGCAAACGTCTCTCAGGAAGAAAAGACACTAAAGTTGTAATTAGTAGCATTTTTACATTAATTTACATTTTAGTATCACTGACTGTTAGTAGAACATGTGACTGATTATGATATGCTGTGTGCTTCAACCAGTAAAAATATAGCTTTATCCAAGTTTGATCAAAATGTATTTTAAAAAGTAATTATCCAAATCACAAATAAATGGCCTTATTTCCCAGCACTATACTTCCAGCTCAGCAGTGTATGAGCAGTGGGCTGGGGCTGAACCACAACTATTTGGTTGTTTCCAAAGTTAGGACATTTCTTTTTCATAATAAAACACCTGTGTTCCACTCTTGACGCTGCCTTCTGTCGAACTGCCCTCGAGGCCAGAAATCCCCAAAGTTATGATTTTAGGAAAAGTGAGTAACTGTACCCAGCTGAAAGATGTGGCAACACGTAGGAATAAGAAAATTCTTGTAAAATGCAGCCAAATCAGCACATGTTACATACAATATTAGACTCTAAAAGGTTTTTAAATGTTTGAATGAATTTTCCTGGGTTAAAACAGAACACAAATGAAAATGTATGTAATGCAAATGCAGTATATATATATATATATATATATATATATATGTATATACAGTATATATATATTTACATGCACACACACATACACCTGAGGCAAGTGCTATCAATGGATAGATACTGTATGTACTATACGGCACACAGTACAAAAGAGTATTATGCACTGGTTACATTTGATTTATAGTGTATTAGACACATCGCTGTATCCACTTAGACACTTATCAAAATACATAAAGTTGCAGTAAGTATTATTTGTTCCTAAAATGACTATTCATCTGTTATGACATGAAGTTACATACACACTTACCCATTTACTCCCACGATAAAACAGGTAATGACCAATTTTGGCCATGTTTCAAGGAGGCGGAGGTTCAGCGGTCAGTGTAGTTTGCTGGCACAGGAAATGACAACATGGTGTTTTAGGGCTGCACATGTTTTTGGGTTGTGTGAATAATCTCCGCCCTCTGGCTCTGTGGGGTTATTTAAAAAAGAGACAACCGCCTTTTAAACAAAGACTTCTTCTGGATCTACAAGACAACATTGACTTATACGCACGATAAGAAAATAAGTCACATCTTTGAAGGTATTTTACTAAACCAAACTTTTGTCATGATGTTTAATATCATTGAATGTTTAGTTTAGTACTTTTAACATGTCTTTTTACATTGAGGTAAAAGCATTAGTCCTTACTTCATTAGTCTGGCTATGCATGCATCACTGTTATCATATTGTCTTTGCTGATAGTAGTAGTTGGTGCATTGTGTTCTCCTGTGATTTTACAGCACACAATGCAATCTATTAAAACATTTAGTTGTAAACACTGTGTGTTCCATCACTCAGTACAGTAAATAGTTAGTTATTGTATTTTGCTGAAACATAGTCTCAAAATGATTTTGCTTTCTTTGCTATAATTAAATGTTTTGTTTTACATCTTCAGACAAAAAAATCCCCAATAAGAAGAAGTGAGACAAGTGAGCATGAATCTATTCATCCTCACTGCGGCCATTATGTCATTCAGTTTTGACATGGTAAATAAACATCACAAATTAGACTTCAGTAGCATGTCTATGGAACATTGTAAGCCAATCACCTATTTCTACTCTTAGGCAAAGTCTACCAAGTGGATATTCAATCGAAGACACATTTTTAAAGGTAATACAAATATGCAAATGTACAAAAATTAAAAATTGTTACGGAATAACATGTACATTAAACTATTAAATATGATTTTCAGATGATTGTGTGTCTGGAGATGGCAGTGAATACAGAGGGACAGTGTCTCATTCTGAAAATGGGAGACAGTGCCTGAATTGGGGCATTTTTCATAATATTTGGGGCGCGTCTGTTGGCATTGGTAATCACAACTACTGCAGGTAAACACAAAAGCCACATCGCACTCAGCACAAACTGAATGTGATGATTTACGGGTGTTTCTGCCTATTGTTCAGGAACCCAAATAATTACCTGATGCCATGGTGCAGAGTTCAAAAAGGAACTGTTATAGTTAAAGAATACTGCAAAATTCCTCAATGTAAGTGTACAATTTGAATGTGTTATTCTTTTTATTATATCATACTTTTATAATATCAATATTTTTCCCATGTTTTCTCAGGTTCAAGTTCAACCCCAGCAGTAGAACCTCCTGTGGTTCAAGCAGAGGATACAGGTATGTGGATAAAGGTGGATTCCCCAACAATGTATCTGTCTTGCATCAACAAAAGGTTATTATTGCGGAACTTACTGCAGGCTCACCTTTCGACGAATGTATCTGTAACTTGGCCTAGTGACTTGCTTGTCTTCTTAATTTGTCACGTTTTAATCGGTTTAATTTTCCCATACCATGGAACTTTCCAGATAAAGCAGTCTCTCCATAGAAACAATCTAGATGACTCTTCCAAAGAACAGTTACACATCACACCTTAAAAATTGTAAACCTTGATGCATCGTCTATTTTGTGTGTGTCCGCAGAGCTCACCTGTGGCCAGACTTCTGAACAAAAGTTTTATAAAGTGGTGGGTGGATCTTACACGTCTATAGAGTCCCAGCCGTGGGTGGTTAGCATCTTGAAAAGCAACGGAAATTTGCTTTGTGGTGGATCACTCATCACACCTTGTTGGGTTCTCACTGCGGCACACTGTTTCGATGGGTAATTTTCAGATCCTGTTGTGATATTCTGGAAAATGTCTTTTAATGTTGAAATAAATGTTGTTTTCCTTTTCTTTTACTTAAGATTGGAGGAAAGTGAAAAGCCATTAAAAGTTTATCTGGGCAAGAATGCAATCAATGAAACCGACTCATCTAAGGAGCAGAAGTTTATGGTGGATAAAATGGTCATACATCGTAAATACGTGGCCTCCAACTACAATAATGACATAGGTAAAAACACCCAGTAGTAATTAAAACAAGCATTATCAAGAAGTTAGTGTATTTAAATGATGACCCAACAAAGTATTACTGCAGTGCTCCAGTTCATTGGAATATTAGTTTTATCATTGGTCTGATTGGTTTGTAACATTTGTCACATTGTACGTGTGTTTGTACAGCACTTCTGAAAATCAAAAATCAAGATGGAGGATGTGCTGTTAAATCTGAAACCTCTCGCACTGTCTGTCTCCCACCTTTTCGAACTCAACTCCCTGGCGGATTTCAATGCAGAGTTGCAGGATATGGCAAGGAGCAGCAATGTAAGATTCTGATGTTCGTTTTAGCTTTTATTGATGAAAAAGATTCATTTTTATGTTATTATGTCTTTAGATGGGAGCTATTCAAATGTCCTTAAGGAGGGGCGTGTTAACCTGGTACCCCAGTCAGAATGCCGGAAAACAGACTATTATGGAGACCTCATCACTGGGAACATGTTTTGTGCAGCTAACTCTAATTGGACTGATGATGCCTGCAGTGTAAGTAATATGAAACCAAAAAATATATAATCCTCATCTTCTTGGACAATTATACATTTAATGTGATTTACAATTCTTAACAGGGGGACTCAGGAGGTCCTTTGGTTTGCAACATTGCAGGCCGGATGTTTCTGTTTGGTGTTGTGAGTTGGGGGGATGGCTGCGCCCAAAGGAACAAACCTGGAGTCTACACCAAAGTCTCCAGCTATAACAGATGGATTGCAAAAAATACACGTCGACCACAATACACGACAGGAATAATGTATCCCACAAAATGAAGCCCCAGACAAAAGGATCATGATCTTCCATAAAGGCAGCTTAACTGTGTTTTTATTTAAATAGGACGATGTTTAAAAGCATCTTGCACAACTTGCCATTGTTGGTACAACTTCTCTTCCAAATGTATAAAGTTAATACATTTGGGAGGAGAACACAGTATGTATAATTATAAATTGAATATATTTATTAATTTTATTATTGTAACAGGCTGGTCCTACTGCACTTTTTTGACTAATAAATCCATTTGAATTATTATTTTTGAGTTTTCTAGTAAGTTATCTACCCTTCCCCCTATATATGTATAACCCCTCTTGATAAAAGAATGGTCTGTGTGATTTTATTTAACCAATTTATGGGATGTTTAAATTACTTTTCCTCTATCTCAGTATCAGACTGAGTTTGGACATGACTACATTTTTCAAGATTTTGCTACTGAGTTGAAATAAAAAAATTCTCATAATACTTGCTTTAGTCTGTGAATTGCTATTTATTGTCACATATACATGTCAAAGTCATTGTTACTTATTTGTGAACTATATTCATTTATCCTTGTGGAACATTTTATGTTTTTCCACTTACACTACAATTATCTGCATTTATATTGAGCCAATTAAGACCAATTCTGCTATAAATATACGTCATGTGTTTAGTCAGTAGTAAAAGGTCCACTATTTGTGAACAATGCAGATGATACGATTACTAGTTATTATATACGCAGGATTTTTTACAAAACTGCAAAGCCACCCCTCAGATGGTTCATTTCATGGTTTGTTTTGACATGTGCGCGTATACAGATGCAGAGCTGCTTGAACCAATCACACTATCCTATTGGCCCTCAATTATTCACTGCAGGTTTACTTTACGGCATCTCTGGGCCGCTCCAGCCTTATATGGATTTGGAAAGCACCAAGACGAAGCTCACTTCTCTTTAAGGATAATTCCTTGAGTTTAACTTTGAGTTAGGTCAATGGGGATAGTAAATTACTTGTTCTGGAAGGACAAAATACCAAGCAGATACGTAGTTGATCGTTTTACTATATATTTGGAGTTTTTGGTATTTTCAATCTGGTTATTTCTAAACATGAAAGATTACAGATTGTTTACGTGAACCACTTTTTACAAGCAGATTTAACATAAAAGTAGCAGGATAAACATGACATCGGGTCTATCGTTTAAGCAATCATATCATGTATAAAAAGCATTAAAAAAAAACATCAGTTGTACCCTGTGCAGTCATATCGCCCTCATATCACACTCCCTCATACCACACTTATAAATAAAGATAATACAAAATGTATCTTGGTAAAACCTGCAAGCCAGTACAAGCTTACTTGACACTTGCATTTTTCAGAGGCATGCATGACGTCATGTGGGGGGACTCGGTGTTGGATCCAACCGCGCGCGTTATGCGCGCGTCGGGGAGCGTCAATGCGCTCGAGCTGCCTGGCAGCGGTGATCCTCGGATGTGATTGGGCGGAGGGCGGTGATTCCTTCTGTCACGATCATAGACTGATTCTGGTCTCGCTCCCAGCGGAGGACAGCGAGGGTCCGACTCCAGAGCTGAACGAAGACACTGCGCCGCGCACATGAGGGCGTAGGGACCGGGACCTTGTGCCAACCCGGGATTTGCCCTCGTGTGAAGGAGAGGAGGCTGGAGGAGAGGAGGGGTCTTTTCATCTAAAGAGGCTGCGAAGAAAAACTCGTCCAAGATGCCGGTGTTTCATACCAAGACCATTGAGAGTATCCTGGAGCCGGTGGCCCAGCAGATCTCCCACCTGGTCATCATGCACGAGGAAGGGGAGGTGGATGGGAAAGCCATCCCGGATCTGACTGTGCCAGTAGCTGCGGTGCAGGCGGCAGTCAGCAACCTTGTCCGGGTGAGTTTAACCAGGAGCATCCAATCACATCGCAGATACCCACATACTCCAACTCCCAAAGCCGATCATTAATATCAATACAGTAGCGTACAGAAGGCTGACATGCAGGGATAGACAATTAGATAGATTTACTGATACGTGATTAAGTCATCCTGAAAGTACACACACTGAAATTATTCTGAAGAAAGAAAACACATAAATAAGTTGTAACAAAGGGTAAACGTCCTCTTTAAACAACAATTAACTACATGTTTGGCCTGCAGTTATTAAGAACCCCAAATACAGATTGAGCCTCTGTCACATAAACTGACAAACTCTGTCCTGCATCAGAAGGCTCATCATGAATTAGGGTGGGAATGAGTGCTGATTGAACTAAGATGCATTATTTCATATTGTAGTTTTGCACATGAAACTTCACTAAGTGAAGCGTTTTTGTTTTTTCTTTTACTTTGCCCAAATTGCACATATTTCCAAATAGATTATATAATAATGATAATAACAATGATAATTATAACACATTATAGAATGAAAATTGTAAGAGCATTTTGTTAATGTTCTATTCTTCCTGACTCTGCAGGCTGTTGTAAGTATAAGCCAGAGCTGGAGTCTTAGTACTGAGTTATGTGTTTCAGAAATTAAGTGTAAATGTTAGTGATACTGTATGATTAATTTAGACCGATTATGGAGCTATGAGTCAGAAGCCTGAGCCTGTATGCTTTAAGACCTTGTGTTAAAAGGTCATGTGTCTGCACCGGCCAAAGCTGACTTGAAGCAACAGGGTTTAATCAGCTGAGAAGAAAGTATCATATTTTCACTGTCATATTTCAATCTGAGATTTTTGTCCCACTGACATGTCGAGTTGATTTGTCCAGACATAGAGCAGAGAGAAGCTTGTTCCAAACGTGATGGAGATGAGAAGCTATAGATAAGAAACAAGGACAGAGGGATGAAGAACTCCAATGATAATTACAGCTGGCTCTGTCCACAAAAGACACACTTTACGAAGATCCAAACAAAAGTGTGCAAGAAACAACATTGAAGATTAAAAACAAAGTTACAGTTAATGTTACAGTGAATTTGTTATTATGGTGCTGAAGACAACCCAAATTTCAACAACCTCCAACCCAAAAGTGAAATACAAGAAAGTACTGAGAATGAAACCGGACAAAGCTGGCCAGACCTGTAGTGGCTGGTTTTTTGCTCAACTCCTCTACAGAAATGACATTTAACATACATTTGGGAAGATATGGGCTTTTGAAAGCTGATCATGTCCATATACTTGAGCACTTGTGAAAGGTGTTAATATAACACTATATATACACTAACACTACACACCAACACAAGCGTACCAATGCATCGTGATACAATTCACAGTAAACCCCATCCCTGGTGGGCTCTCTTGGCCATGAGTGGGGTATAAAACTAGGTCACAAAACACTTGGACACGCCCAAGAAGGTGTCTCAATGTGGCAGTGGAAGTACGTGGGCTGACTTCAACTAATGAGCTCCAAAGATGCTACTACTGTTGTGGAGGGATCTTGCAGTGTGGTTTGTCTCAGAACTCTTCATAGGTGCTTAGGGTGTTTTGGGGGTAGGGAGAGGAGGGAATAAATAGATTTATCGTTGAGTGAAGTAACCACACACTTGCAATGCAAAGTGAGTCAATTTTAAAACTGACCAGGAGGAGACAGCACCCCAAAGAGAATCAAGTGTCTGCACTTTTGCACTTGAGTCACAGACATTGGCTGATATGATGTTTCGCGGAAGCATCAAACCCAAGGAAATAATTTGAGTGAGAACAGAGACTGCTCGGTGATGTGAATAAAGGTTTTGGATAAGTTTGCTGAGGTCTCCAATCATATAATTTGGGTTAAACATTCAAAATCGGCCATCAATTACTCTCATGTCTCTGCCTAGTGTCCCGTCCACAGCACCTCTCCCTTGCCACAGGACACACTCTCACCTACTACCCTCCATGTAAATATGTCCATGTGTTTGATGCCAGGTTCTTGTTCAGCTTGGCTTTCTGACGAAAATGTCCTTCTGTTCCCCACTCTGCCTTAAATCTATAATTAGACATCTACATGGGAGGCAAAAACACTAATAAGTTCTGGAAAGGCATGTACGTTTGTCTTCATTTCAAGGCTGCTGAAAAAGGGTGCTCTTAGATTTGATAATGTAACAGTGTTATAAACTGTGTAATAAATAAATAAATGGATCCAATTTATAGCACTACTTTGGACACTCAAGGGCGCTTACTTATGCTGTTAATTACGTATTAGTGTTATTGCTGGGAGTACAACTTTAGTGTAAGAAAGCATGAGAGAACCTTTTTATTCCGCAGTGGCATAGTTCTGTGCAGACTGCTATGTATGAATGTATTTGTGATGTCACGCTGCAAAAATCTCAAACTCGATTTTGATACTAATGTAGACTCAATGCCAATTTCAACAGCACAGCGATTTTGACATTTTATGACACCTCACCTTTAATTTCTCCAGTTTCTCAAGTAAAGTTTAATGTAACATCTTCTCTTGTTTTAAATTTCAAACTGTTGATTCTTCCTCAATTGAGTATATAGTTTTGATGCTAGTTTTGTATTCATTCATGTCTGATTTTTGATACTTTTGACAACCCTAGTTTTTTATAATCCAGTATTATATCAGTCATCTGCCCTCATTAAAAGTCGTTCTGCTCTTTGGTAGGTAAGCATATGGTTTATATAAAAATCTCTGGATCCAACTGTGTGGATCGGATTGTCAGCTGTCACTCTCACAGCCGTTTATCTCGAGGGCACAAAGCCACATGTCAAACTGTACGTGAAGCCACTTTAGCTCACATTAATTATGGATGGGACTCTGCTGTTTACAGGAAGCACTGGTGCAAGACACACTTCCATGAACACTAGTACAATCACTGGGCTAAAATTAATCTGGTAAAACTACATTCTTAGCTCTGGAATTTTGTTTTCATCATGTGTTGTAGCTGGATTTTCTGGCTGCAGTAAAGTGAAACAACACAGGTTAGAAGTGTCAGTCCAACGGCTGTGAGACAGAGGTTATCAAAAAGCCTATGGTAATTAGCTTCAAATCCCTGCATAGTAAAAAGAAAGTGGAGATTTGCTTTGGAACTGTATATTGTTGAGAACCACTGTTGTATTGAAATGGTACTTGATGAGTTATACCTGGCCTCATGTCATCATTTACCTTTTCCCCCCACACTTGTCTTCATTTCTATTGGAAAAACTTATATTTATTGCGTACTTGTCAGAAAGAGCCCGAAGATTCACTATTTTCAAGAGATCTGATTGGCTGAGGTGGTCCTCTATTTGAAGGCAGAAATACTTGTGAAAACCAGTGAACTACACAGATTTGATGTAATTAATTTTCTTGTGGTTTGAAAGTTAGATTGTCCTTGTGATGCAGCGGCTTTTCTTGGTTTGTGCGGTAGATGTTACTGTGTATGCAATGGTGTTGTTTTGAAAGCAAGTCTCTGGAGACAGCACCAAGAGACTGATGATTTCCGCTAACTGTAATTGCATCTGTAAAGTGTCAGTGTGAGTGCGAACAAGCTAAAGTAAAGGGGGCATTTTAGAAATCACAATACTAGGAATAATGGCAACCACTGCTCCTGACAGAGGCCCTGGTGGCATTGGAAGGATGGGTCAAATGCAGAGGACAAATTTGGAGACAATAAAGTGCACATTTACATTTCTAATACATTATACATATCAGGCAATTGTAATGTATAGGTTATGTTAAAGAAACTAAAAGTTGAATTCTAAGGTAGTATTTTTCCAACATCAGGATAATATTGTTTGATGTTTATAGATTATCCCTATACAATCTTTAAGACTGTTATAGTTTTGTGTGTGTGTCACTTCTACAAATGTAAAAACTGGACACATACCATATTACTGGAGAGAAAAAGAGGAGCTGGTAAATACAATTCCAAATATACCCAGATTAGGCTTTTCAATAGATGTAATAAAACTATTTCTTGAATTATACTAACCCTGAATGTTAATTGGACACTGTTTGCAACAATTTTTCAAGTACAAGTTTTCCTCCATGGCCCTGATATGGGTTCATATTGAAAGTTTTATAATAGTTTTAAAATGCTGGTTGTTGGGAAAGTTAGTGTATGTGTGTAATACCCTGTTTGATTAAAGATTAAAATCTGTAATAATAATATTTTTTGTGGATCCGGTCCCAAACCAATACCTGGCCGAATGTGTTGCCAATAGCAGTGTGATACCACACATGTCTTTAGACATTGTGTAGACATAAAACATATAACATTTATGTAATATTTAAATCTATTGAATACATTTTGCAAACATGATACAAGGTATTGTTAAAACACCAAGCTCTGTGCTTCGACTGTGTTGACTGAAATCCACAATGCTTTAGGTGAACCTCCCTAAGGTCGCTAAATGAACTCAAATGCACTGTTCAAGATCCCCTTTACTAAGTTTGAGTAGTTTTGTCATCTCTGTCTTGTCCATGCGCCTGATATCATGACCGGTGCTGTTGTCTTGAATGTTCGTTTCCTCTTGTTGCAGGTCGGAAAGGAGACTGTGCAGACGACCGAGGATCAAGTGATGAAGAGGGACATGCCGCCTGCCTTCATCAAGTGAGTGCATCCTCTCCACAAACTAAATTACAGACTCCTTCCTCTGTCTTTTTTTTCCACCTCCACTCGGGAACAGAACAACACATAGTCACTGACAACTCAACAACGCTTTATCTCAGTACAGCAGCGACTTGAGAATCATTTCAGTCATTTAATGTTTGGAAAACTGGAGATTTTCCCAGCTGAGATAAAGAGCCATTTCTGAGGCAGGAAAGATCAGTGTCACAGCTGTCCAGATGTCTGCTGTAGCTGACATCAAATCTCTGTCAGAGAACATATAAGCAGCAAGATGCTAAGTAGCCAGTCAACTCTCATCAATTTCACAGAAGATTAATCATTGTAAACAGTATGATACATTTCTGAAATCATTTGAAACCTTCTTAATGGTGCTTTCAGTCAGAAAACCACTTTATTGACTATTGTCCCAGATAATATAAGGTTCTTTTGTAACCTGTGAATGATTTTATTCTTTTTTCTTTTGAGTCTGGTCTGTTCTGGTCTGATGGATCAAATGTAGAGGACACATTTCCCTATGAAGACAATACAGTGTACCTTAAAGGGGACATAACCATATCCTTGTCATTTACATATACACAGCTGGTGATTGAGTGGATAGCTCTTTCACGTCTCAGCAAGAAGCTCATGGGTTTGAATCCCAGACATAACAATTTGTAACAGCAACGCAACTAGTTTATCCTGTAACATCGTTGTAGGTCAATCTGAACATCATATTATAAAGAACATGATCAGGTTATGACATCTTTAACCCCAAAGGAGACAGCTCAAGGTGCAGCTAAAGCTTTTAATTAAATATTGCCGAATTGTGAATCTGGCTTGAATTTCCAATTACATTGCTCCATGGCTTTGGATTTGTCCCATTTTATAAAAAAAAATCCTTGTAATTTAGATAAAATAATTTGTTGACTAATGCAATTTTTGTTGAAAAAGTAAAAAGAAAGACTGACAGCCCTAGTTATTAAGGTAATAACTGATAAACGATTGAATAATCTAATCTGGGCATTTCAAGCCATATTTTATAGTTAGGATGTTACAGGGAATAGAATGTACCTATTTAACATTTCCTGATTTGAGGTTAAGGAAAATGCACGCATGCTCTACAAGTGTCCCCTGAGGTGCACTTGCACTTTGCTCGCTGCTACACACATAAATTTGAGTGGTGAGGCTTAGGAACGGGCATGTGGGAATGTGAACCTGCCTAAATATAGATGAACCAGCAGCCATTGATACCCAACCAACGGGGGTCAGAGATTTATTCAAGGGGTCTTAAAATCCTCCTTCAGTCCATGTCCATCATTGATCCTTTAAAACTTTGCATGTCACACAAATTATTGACAACAATGTTTTTGTATAAACACATTCAATAGTTATTCGTTTCAGTCACATAACAGAACCCTTCTCATATTCTCTCTCAAAATGTAGAGAATACTATGATCAATGTTTGTTTTTTGTCTCCCGCTGTGTTTGTAAGAAACAAGGATGCATTCAAATAATTAATTGTCACCAATAATGGTGAAATGAAGACATCTAACTATGATATCTATGATATTGACGTAGTTTACTAATTATGTTGATTATGTTTGATAATTATGACACATGATAATATACAGAATATCACTTGTAATCAGTCAAAAAAATGTAAATATTGGTTTAACTTTGAATGAATTTTAGATCCCAGTCAACCCACTTTGTTTCACATTTAGGTTTACTCTCCCTTTAGTTGCAAAGGACATGTTTTTATTCTTGACTATAATGACAATAATAGGCTAGACTCGGAGAGCACATACTCAACACCGCAAACCAAATGGATTGCAGGTCTTTCCTACTAGTAGTTTTTGTACAATCCTGCCTTCAGGCAAACACACACATGGAGATGATTGCAATACCCTAGGGTTGGTGGGAAATAATAATAATTCTATGCCTGCATCTGTGTTCAGGGTGGAAAACTCCTCCTCCAAGCTGGTCCAAGCCGCTCAGATGCTGAAGGCAGACCCATACTCAGTCCCTGCTCGAGATTACCTGATTGATGGCTCCAGGGGAATCCTCTCTGGGACCTCTGACCTGCTGCTCACCTTTGACGAGGCGGAGGTATTAGTCTGACTTTAAAGTCCCCCTTAGTTTCACTGAGTAATTTACCTTCAGCTGGTTTTCTGTTTTCACCAGAGTTTTTGTATCTGTATATGCGACAAGCAGCAAATGATTATATTTTGGAGATGATCCTGATAACTGTCAGGATCTGTGTTGCACAGTGCCTCTTGGCAGAGGTCTGTGCTCTTTGTCTAAGATAAGATAAGATAAGATATGCTTTATTTATCTCACAAAGGAGAAATTTACATGTCACATTTGGCAAGGAAAGAAACACTCAAGATTGTGCAAAGAAAGAAATGTGCAAACATGTTAAACGCAGGATATATTATGTACAATAAAAGTAATAAAATTTAAGTGGCAATCAGAAACAGTCTCAATAGTAGTGCAGGTTTTTTCAGTCTACAGCAGTGGGGATAAAGACCCTACGGTAGTGCTCCTTCTTACACTGAGTCTATAGGTTCATAGTGAAAATTAGGAATGTTACCATAGCATTTGATAAGTTTGAAACAAATACATACATTTTGAATATTATTAGTAATAAGGTTTTCCATCTGACCATAAAGCCCACTTTTACTTCAGAATATATTGGAATCAATAATCAAGAAACTGAGACCCAAGAATAAACTCCAATTTTAGCCCTTTCAATTTAACCCGGGACCTTCTTGCTGTGAAGCACGAGCACTAACCGCTGCACCCCCGTGCCGCCTGAGCTGCTAATTTTTTGTGTCTCACGGTAGAACAGGGGAAGCCAAGTCTGAGATTTTGTAATGTAGTTTAAACGCTGCTAATCTAATCTCACAGATCAAATGACTTCTCTGTGACGTACTTCAAGATCTGTCTATGGTGTGAGTAAAATAAGTGAGGGCTTCGGAATGTTTTATGTTTCATCGTGTAACTCAGATCACCCTGCCCACGTGATAGCAGTGGCTGCATCTTATCCTCAGAGCTACAGTCACAAGACGGACATCACAAGACAAAAGACAGAGGCGCCACACAATTTCTCTTCAACCCTGTTCAAAATTAGCGGTCTTCACCAAATGGACGGCTTTTATTTATATATGTCAATGATTTTTACTGAATAACAAACTCAACCATCATTTTGAATTGGGTATTTGTATTACACACTTTTACATAATGCTAATTCAATTGGGTTTTGAGGCTACACTGATTTTTGGGGATCCATTATGCTCAAAATGATGTGTGTCAGAAAGCAATCACTGGCCGTGTCCATTTGTATATGAGCTACATTTTGGAAGATTTGGATTGTGATAATGTTGTTAAAATAAGATAAGATAAAACACTCCCATATTGTCTCCTGTAGGAGAAACTTTCCTTGGGACAGGAATACAGTACATTTACATTCACCGACTGAGACCAAACACAAGTGCACCATCAAAGGCCTGTAGGACCATTAGAAAACAGCATTTTTAGCTGCAGGACATTACATCTGCCCATACGTTTATACTTACACTTTCCCTAAGAACTAAGTACAGTTTTTTTTAATGCACATATGCCTAAGCTTTATGTTCAGTTTTTAAGGAATAACTCTTGTTTTCCATCAGGTAAGAAAGATAATCCGTGTGTGCAAAGGAATCCTGGAGTACCTAAGTGTAGCAGAGGTTGTAGAGACCATGGAGGACCTCATTACTTACACCAAGAACCTCGGACCAGGTGAAAGAATTGTATCCAGCATCAATTGATCAACCACTTCACCAACATACACCACAACATACACACCAATATACCAGATACACTTAAAATCTATCTCATCTGTGCTTTCTTTCTAAATGTTCTCCTCATTTATACAGTTTATTTCCATGTTTGATCAAGTATATTTATCACAGAAGCTACATGCTAAACCAAAATCTGGGCTACAATGTTAGTTTGATTTTCTTGACACAGGTTAAGGCTGAGGTTGAATCATTAGCATTACACTTAGTCTATTTTTGACTTGCTCATCACTATGCAGCACTAACTAATGAGGATCACTTGCTGCGTGTGACCATAAACAGTCTATTCATTCTAGGCGCTAAAAGATAAAAGGTCAGTTGTGTTGTCAGCTCTTTGTGGCTTAGAGAACTGAAGGGAAATCTCATGCCAAGGTTTTCTACAGAACCTCATTGTGCATAATTGGCCATTGCGGACACTTCTATCAAATCTTCTCTCGCGCTTAAGTTGTTGGCCTCTTTCTGGTTCATGGCAAAAAAGTAACTTTTTAAAAATTTAATATTCATTAGGTTGTGCTGCGTACAGACATTGTGACAAACTGTTACAACTGTTACAAAACAAGGAACACATACACAATAATTTTAAGCTCCCCTCCCTCTCATGGGTCCACACTTCACAACATGAATACACATACACAAATACACATATTCACGTAACCCCCATAACACAAAAATAGTATATATACCATACAGAAGGATAATAAAACTTGCAATATAAAGATGAATCCCTTCACCCCCATTGTCCATAATCCACATTTGTAGGGCGGATGTTTAGCAAATTGATCAATGGATGTTCAAATATGTTGCTTATTACTTTTGCGCCACCAATTTAAGCTTTTGAACCAGTAAAACCGGTCCCCACTTACTAATTTCTAATTTCATCAGTCAACTACAGACCTATAAAAATGTATTTTCCATTCACTAGGGATGACTAAAATGTCGAAGATGATTGATGAAAGACATCAGGAGCTGACCCACCAGGAGCACAGGCAGATGCTCATGACCTCCATGAATACAGTGAAAGAACTGCTGCCTGTCCTCATTTCAGGTGTGTACTGTAAGCTGTGGACACTCAGCATCAGTACAGCACTATAGCCATCAGGGTGATTACAGACATTAGTTTATACTGATGACAGTTACTGTAGTCGACAATACTCAGAGCTGCTTCAAGTGGAACAGTGTCATCTTAAAAACCTGAAGAGACAGATTACGTCAACATTTTCATAAATACCATTTTCATAAACAGAAAGAGTCATGTAAAAGTAAAATGTGAACATATCAGATGACAACATGCTTACATTAATTAAACAATAATACTTTATCTTTTGCTAACTTGTAATGAGAGACCTGTGAGTCAGTATTTGATGCTTTGGACTTTTTGAGGCTGGCTCTCTCTTTGTCACTTCTGTCAGATAATCTAAAGATGTGACAAAGGCCACAAAAACTAGTGATAGAAACAACCTGAACCCGGATTTGAGCAACATGCTTGTTTTTTTTAGTGTGTGTTTTAAATGACTTTGTATCTTTATATTTTTTGGGAACAAACATAAACACACACATAAACACACTAGCATACATAGATCCAGGACAAAAACAATCATCTGTACCAAAATATTACTTTTTTTGATGGTTGCAAATCTAATGTATATAATTGACAATTAGAAATGACTAAATATCTTTGATGATAAATCAAAGTATTCTACAGCATTTCTACAGCGTTTTCATTTAAGTCACACAATTAAGACTTGTGTGACTTGTGCTTCCCCAGTATCTTCTCAAATGATGAGCAACTCCTTCCACTAGTTTGAAGTGAAATATTGTCTCCCGTTTTTTCATGCTTCTGTTTTTTCTCAACAGCTATAAAGATCTTTGTCGCCACCAAGACGAGTCGAGGAGCAGGAGTGGAGGAGGCTGAACGCAACCGAAAGTTTACATTTGAAAAGATGAGCACAGAAATTACAGAGATTATCAGAGTACTCCATCTGACGACCTGGGACGAAGATTCCTGGGCCAACAAGGTGCAAAGTGTTTTGTTTAAGCACTTTCAAATCACTCTGTGCTTGTTTCACAGTCACACACATCTTAGGAGCTTAGGTCTTGCACACTTTTCCAAATTCAGTCTTTTCTTTTTGTTTGATAGTATAACTTTCCTTTTCTTTCTTTACCTCCTCCATCTCTTTTCCTCCTTGTAGAAGGTAAGCCTGTTCTATGCAACTCTGCAGTGTCCAGCATGCATTGTGTGTGCTGGTTTAACAACATGTGTGTGTCCACTGACTGTACCTGATGCGATCACTCATATCTCATCAGTATTTTTGCATCTGTGCGTCTCCAGCTGTGCAGATGGAACTTCAGTGGGTTTGACCGCTTTTATTGTCGGAGGATTGTAGGAAAAAGTCAAACGTCATGAGTACAAAGCTGTGTCACAGGGTTAAGTTGTGTCCCACTTGTCTAACCTGAATCCCTGCATGTTTCTTCGTACACAACTTCCTCAAACACTGTCTTTGTGTGTTTGTCTGTTGTAATAAGTGGATTTTCTGCATACCTAGTGGATGAGATGTGATAAGCAGTTTGGTGATCTGCAATGTTATCTGAGGTCCTGACTAATAGGAGCATTCTGTTTGGTTTCTCAACACATGTATACTGTATAATGGTCTGGAGAGACATCTAAAGCTTTACAACAGAATATAATGAACTAGGTATAACCATTTCTTACATTGTTAACTGCATATTCATGACATATTTTGGGAAAAGCGTAATTCATTATTAGCATACAATAATATTTTATTTTTACGCCTCCAGAGCAGTGATGGAACAATGTAGGAAGGTTTCTGTTTGAAACAAGTGCAAATTAGTTGTTTGTGCGTGATGTGAAATAGTTTTATAAATTAACCGATTAACTATTGAATTTTTTTTTTAGATTGATTATTTCGATTGATCATTTAAGCCCAGCATAATGCGAGATGTGTCATGGAATAGCATTTGTTAATTCAAGTATTAAGTATATTACATGCTTTTAATGTCAAGTTCACAAGGCATTCATTTAAAACAAAACAGTTGGTCGTATCATTGGAAAGCATGTGATTTCTGAGTATTGTTCTGATTGAATCAAAACATGCTCTTGTGTCTTTCAGGATATGGAGGCTTTGAAGAGATGTCTGGCTGTAATTGAGTCAAAGATGGCTCAAGCTAAAGCCTGGCTGAAAGATCCTCATGGACAGCCTGGTAACCATTCCTTTTACCGCTGTTTGCAGATTAATATTTTCTCTCTGACTGTCTCTGTCATCTTTAGGTGACCCTGGCGAGGTTGCTCTTCGCGTCATACTGGATGAGGCCGGGAAAGTCGGGGAGCTTTGTGCCGGAAAAGAGAGGAAAGATATTTTAGCCACTGCAAAAGCTCTGGGACAGATGAGTGACCAGGTTGCTGATCTGAGAGCCAGGTACATGTGATAGCATGCACTCCGGATGTTGTGAAAAGACAGAGGCTGATGCTGCTTACCCTCTAAATAGAGGCCAAGGGCAGACGCCTGGATGTGTGCAGCGGGCCGGTCAGTGCTCTCAAGGCTTAGACTTGTTATTTGGCAAAGTGGACAATGCTGCACGCAGACTAGAAGCACTTATCAATGCAAAACAGGCCATTGCCAGGAGACTGGATGCTGCACAGGTCAGACAAACTACAAAGAATTATATAGAAACCTTTACTGTTACCAACACAATACAAACACAATCTATTCTTTAACTTTGCTAGGCTTGGCTTGCTGATCCTCACGGGGGTCCAGAGGGAGAGGAAAATATCCGGGCGCTGTTAGCTGAGGCTAAACGCATCGCTGATCTGTGTGAAGACCCCAAAGAGAGAGACGACATCCTGCGCTCCATCAGTGAGATTGCAGGCCTCACTGCCAGACTCGTGGAGCTCAGGAAACAGTTTGTGTTTATACTCAACTCTCTGCAATACATTACCATTGAATTTAACGCATTTGAATGATTAAAAGAACATTTTTTTTAGGTTAATAATACAACCTCACCCAGCCAGTAGGTGGTATCATTTACCAGCCGGAAAATTGTGTTGTTGCCTTTCAACATTAGGCCTTACTCCCAGTCCTGTGATAAGGTCAAAATCATTATCTTCATTGTTTGGATGTGGTTCAGGGTTAGGCAATAACAGAGCAAGGGGCTCACTGCACTTTTCTAATTACTACTTACTTACTTCTAAACTGACGCCTGGGTAGTCAGTAGTCACGTACAAATCACGGATTTTCTGCTTTTCTTTAATCAATTACTGGATTTGGGGTTCTGTGATTTTCATTTCATGGCTTTAAAAGTGTCTTTGCAACTTCAAAGATGCGGTTTGTCACTGCTTTTTGCAATGGAGATTATTTTTCTTGGAATGTTTCCCAGTATGGAATAAAACATTTTTCACCAAGTGAAGGATTGCTAAATCTGGTGTAGCCATATTTTTAATGTAACTGCACGCTGTCCCTTAAATAAACAAACTTCATTCAAACTTCAAGTGAACTATCCTTGCTGCAGCTATAGTCACTGTCACTTGCTTGTTTCCAATGCAGAAGGATAAGTTCATTATTACTGTGGAACATTCCAGTTAAAAGTACATTTAGAAGGACACAAGCAAATGCTGGACTCTCTAAGGTTGAATTTAAAGGCAACTTATTTCTCAACTTATTGAACCCTTTAGGCGGCAATGTTTTTTCAGAAATTTGATGAAACTACAGAGAGATGGAGGACTACATTGTTACTGTTGCTATGTTACTTTGGCGCCTAAAGGGTTTGATTGCCCAGCCTCCACGGTTGTGTAATCGAATTCTGGAACTTTATACAATAACTTATACAGTTGTGCTTGAAAGTTTACACGCCCAATCATAAACGTTCTTAACTTTGGTTGCCATTTATTGTCAAATAAACAAAATATAGCATAATTGAGCCCACTGGTGGTCCAAGAATTTACAGGAACAGGGCTGCTTTACCATGAGAGAGGATAAAGACCCTCACCAAAACTACCACACAAGACTCCAAGCTGTCATAGATGTTAAAGGAGCGATACACACGTTTTATTATTTATTTAATTTTCAATTTATACTTTATTTAATCCTGTTGAGATTCAAAGCTCTCTTATCCAAGGGTGTTCTGGCTCAGAGCCAAACACAATACAACCCTCAAACGTAGTTTCTGTTGTCGTGAAAATGTGAAAATAGCAACACATAACTAGTTATAATCACTGGAATATGGCCAAATTGCCCCTCTGAGATCCATTATAATAAAGAAAAAATTGTGCCTGGGTGTGTACACTTTCAAGAAAAACCTGAAATCAAGAGCTTAATTATTAGTGTTATTTATGTTATTCCAGGGGCAAAGGGGACACCCCAGAGGCTCGGGCCCTCGCTAAGCAGATTGGAGCAGCATTGCTAACCCTACAGTCCAAAACCAACCGAGCGGTGGCCAACATGAGGCCGGCGAAGGCTGCAGTCACGTTGGAAGGCAAGATGGAACAAGCTCTGCGCTGGGCGAACAACCCTGGAGTGGACGACAGAGGAGTAGGTGAGTGGCATTAAGTTCCCCCTCCCACGGGAACTATTAAGATCTATGACATAATGAAAGATGCTATTTTCAGATACAGACACTTAACCGTGGTTGGATGACCAAATTTTTTTCCTCTAAGAGCCCATGCTGACACTGAAAACATAAATATAAAAGAGGAACTGCTCTATTGTTGTAGTGAAATATTGTAATGCTGTGTTTTTCCATTTCCCTATTTTATGGTTTTATACTTTTCTTGTTTTGCTTGCACACGGAGGCAGAGTGTGAGATACTACAGTGGCACGAAGGTATTGCCCTCAAAGTCAATACATTTTAACTATTACCATGTGCTCACTTATTATCTATTGCATCAGATAACCAATTTTCTATTGTATGTATTTTTTTTTATATTTTCCTCCAGGCTTTTTGTGCTGTCATTTTTTATTATGTGTGTATTTAACTTTAACTATTTAATGTTTAGTGTAATTTCTCCTACCCAGGTCAGGCAGCGATCAGAGGCATGGTGGGAGAGGGAAAGAGGCTGGCAGGGGGCTTGTTGGGTCCTTATAGACAGGACATGTTGGGGCGCTGTGACCGGACAGAAGCACTGATGGGGTCTCTAGCTGATATGGCAAACCGGGGAGAGGCTGAGGCACCACACGCACGTGCAACAGCGGCTCAGCTTCAGGACAGTCTGAAGGTACAACATTTATTCACAGAGGCATTGATCTGAAGCCTATTTTAGAGCTCCCTCTTGTGGACTGATCTAAACTGCGCCTGTCCCAGGACCTCAGACAGCACATGCAGGACGTGATGACCCAGGAGGTTTCAGATGTTTTCAGTGACACTACCACCCCTGTGAAACTTCTTGCTGTTGCTGCAACTGCCCCTCCTGATGCCCCCAACCGAGAGGAGGTAAGTGACCAAACCCTAATAACACTTTACATGATTTGATTGATTATTTACTTTCTCACTTACTTAATTATCACTTATAATATGTATGTATAAATGTCTCTCTTTAGGTTTTTGAAGAGCGGGCAGGGAACTTTGAAGCCCACGCAGGTCGGCTTGGGGCAACAGCAGAAAAGGCTGCTGCTGTGGGCACAGCCAATAGGAGCACTGTGGAGGGTATTCATGCTGCAGTCAAACACGCCAGGGAACTCACTCCACAGGTGCTTTCTGTGTACAGCATCTACATTATAACTGTTTTACAATAACCAAAACATCAGCAGAAGGAATGTGGTGAGTGAGTGAGTGATGGTGGTGGTCGGAGGAGTCGTTGGCTCAGACTGGCTGCCTCACTTCTGTCACCACTGAGCTGTGAGTGACTGTGACTTAAGAGTTACACTTTGAGAAACTTTGATAAGCCTTGAAGTGAATGTTTGTTACTTTTGAAATTGTGAAGAGAGTGAGAAAAATATCGAGACATGCTCACAGCTTCCTGGTTGGACAAAATTAAATAGATGCCATTGGTTGAAACATTATCCTCCAACAAATATTACTGTCTGTGGTTTTTCAAGAGGAGGGACTGTTTGAAATACATTTCTTTTGAAAAATACTTAAGTTACATGACAGCACAGGGTCATATGGTCATTCTTTTCTAAATTAAATACATTTGTAGTAGCTGACATTGCCTTTAAATTGCTCTATAAGTGCAATCAAATAATCATACTCATAATAATCTTAATTATATTATTGAATTATAAGAAAATAAATCTAAATATTTCCCCCTTTTGTCTCCAGGTAACTTCTGCTGCTCGTATTTTGTTGAAAAATCCTGGAAACAAAGCTGCATATGAACACTTTGATACAATGAAAAACCAATGGATTGACAATGTAGAGCGGCTCACTGGTCAGTATTTTTTGCAGTTATTCCTTTAAAAAATACAAAAGTCAGAGTGAACAACTAAAGTCCTTGTTTTTTCTATGTATAACCAGGTCTTGTGGATGAAGCTATAGACACAAAGTCCCTTTTGGACGCATCAGAGGAAGCGATAAAGAAGGACATTGACAAGTGCAGAGTCGCTATGGCCAATGTTCAGCCTCAAATGCTTGTTGCTGGGGCTACGAGCATTGCAAGGCGAGCTAACCGCGTTCTGTTAGTGGCCAAAAGAGAAGTAGAAAACTCTGAAGATCCTCGGTTCAGAGACACAGTGAAGCACGCCTCAGATATCCTCTCTCACACCATCTCCCCAATGGTGATGGACGCCAAGGCTGTGGCTGGGAACATACAGGACAAAGGTGGAGCTTCAGTGAGAAATGCAATTATACTCTCTTAATTGACTCGCTGATAAATTGGCCTCACATTCTCCCACAGCTCTACAGAAAGCATATCTAGACTCTTGTTTGCGGATCCTGGCTGCAGTGGGAAAAGTCAGAGAAGCCTTCCAGCCACAGGAGCCCGAGTTCCCTCCTCCACCGCCAGATCTCGACCAGCTCCATGTAAGCCCTGCAATAGTTTCTCACAGCCACTTTATAAAAGCATTTGTAAAAGGCACATTGTAGTGTGCTCGCTACATCTCCACCAACTGTGAGTGTTCAATAAGTTTAGCAGACCATTCAACCCTAGAGGACATTGACTCAAATACTTGTAGGGTTTAAACAAGGATACAGTATATATATTTTTAATTACTAATCATTAAAAAGTGGGTTAGGGGTCTGCATCACTTTGTATATCTTTTTACATGCAACCTTTCTATTAACCACATTTTTAAGTGTAAATTATCTCTATAACTATTGTTATAGTTTGCGCACCATAGCATGAGGCTGTGATAAGAAGTGACAAACATCAGAATCTCAAACTATGATCACATTCACGCTGACAACGGGTAATTTCAGATTTTTTGTGTGCATTTTCCAAAGGTGGTGGATGACCAGGCCCCGCCAAAGCCCCCTCTGCCAGAAGGAGAAGTGCCGCCGCCTCGCCCCCCTCCTCCTGAAGAGAAAGATGAGGAGTTTCCAGAGCAGAAGATTGGGGAGGTGGTTAGCGAGCCCATGATGGTAGCAGCGAGACAGCTGCACGATGAAGCTCGCAAGTGGTCAAGCAAGGTCAGTACTCACTTGAAATGATCATGTATGAGTTTGCATTTTCTCAAGTACCTTGGGTTGAAATTGATATGGTTTTCGAATGTCTTGGAGTCCACACTGTTACGATTGTTCTGAAATCTGGAGTCCAATTTCAGTGGCAAACTGGAAACTGTCATCAGGTGTCTGCATGTAGTACTAGGGTACATAATATAAGTTAATATACATGTTATATGTCTGAGATATGACTGTCTGTACTGTCCATTTTACATGTTTTTAAGTGTTTTTAAGAATTTGGTCTATGGGTCGTATGGTGTTGTTATGGTACAAGTAATCAAACCAGTCATCTAATCAAGACAAGAATCATTTTGGGATGATCATCTTGACACTCTACATCAAAACCATTCAGAAGCTTTCAGCCCAGACTTTTATGTTATTCCCAAACCTTCTTCCTGCATGTGTCCACTTCGACCCCTCCCTGCTTCTTCTCAGTCCTGTGTTGGTTTGTCTTACCTTTTGTCCTCTGGTATGTCCTACAATGCCTCTCATACCTTACTAAATCGCTCCTTTTCCCATGCTCCCTTTCCTGCCAACCCTGCCTTCTTTTGTTCCCTCTTTCCCTTCCTCTGTCCCTAACGGTGCTCCTTCAAACCCATCCTGCAGCCTGAGGATGAGGAGGCAGGAGAAGAGAGGGAAGTAGATGAGGAAGATGATTTTACTGATGGTGAGGATGACTATGAACCAGAGCTGCTGATGATGCCTTCCAACCAGCCAGTCAATCAACCCATTCTGGCAGCCGCCCAGGCTCTGCATCAGGAGGCCCGCAAGTGGTCCAGCAAGGTCTGCGCACATACATGCACATGCACATAGGTCTTTCCACCTTGGATTGGGGCTGTAAGTACAGTCAGAGCCCACAGTTACATGCCTTTCTACGCATGCAAGTGTATGGCCTCAACTGAGGAAGCCATTGAGGAAAATCTAGAAGAACTAGCTGAAAGTTGAAGCATTGAGCTCTGCATCTGCCACTTCTTTGGAAACAACGAGCTGTGGCTGCTGTTGCATCAAACCATGGTTTACACATGGTTTTGCTGATACCATACTGAACAAGGATTGTTGGGAATGGCAATGGTTTGTGCAACACATGGACTGGTACTGACTTCACAAGGCCGTCTTAAGGAAAAAAAAAAGGTTGCTTTTCAGTCACTTTCTAAGTCACTTATGGACTTACAAACCTGTGAAGCCAAGGATGACAGTTTCCCAAAGACTTCTGGGTGACATATTGTTTGCATTAGACTGCCTGCTCGCATCTGTGTTGTATGTATACTTCCACAGTGTGGATGCTGCTCTTTCACTACATTTCAGTACTAAATGGATTGTATAGGACTAAAGCATATTAACACTAACTCTCTTCCATGGGTTGGTATATGCACTGCATGCAGCCTTCTGCCAGCCCTGCTTTGTAGAGTTTGGACTGATTAACTCTAAAACTATATCAAAGGTTTCCTGAGGCCTTTGAGTTTTCTCATATATATATATTTTTAAATTCTCATATTCTAGGGTAATGACATTATTGCTGCAGCCAAAAGAATGGCTCTGCTGATGGCAGAAATGTCTCGCCTGGTGCGTGGTGGAAGTGGAAACAAACGAGCCCTGATTCAATGTGCAAAAGACATTGCTAAAGCTTCAGACGAAGTAACCCGACTGGCTAAAGAGGTGGCCAAACAGTGCACTGACAGACGCATCCGGACCAACCTGCTGCAGGTACATTTGTTTTACAGTAGATCGACTCATTGCTTTTCAGAATCATATGTGGGGGGAAAGGGTGGACAGAGATTACAACTAGATATAGAGGAGTGAAAATTGTGAGGAGAACTGAGGCCAGGTGAGGTGTGTAGGAGAAGTTGAATGTATTTCTTAAAACACAAACATGTTAGTAAGAGGAAGAGTGAGTGCTGCTGTGGTTTGTGTATGCAAGTCAGGTGCTCTTCAGGATTTAAAAGGCAAAAAGCTCAATTTTAAAGGAAAAAAAGAGGTCTGTGGCACAACTATCTTTAAAGAAAAAATCCTTCATTTTTGTGGGACACTGACGTGATTCGACCACATTGTCTTCATCAGGGTAGACGATAAACAGCTAATATCAGCACAGGTGTAGACACTAGTCACGAGATGAGTCCTGTGTAGCCTGAACAAAAGTGGATGAAATATTAAAAAATCTCTATATATGTATATACAAACATGTTACTTGTGCTCTGATTGTTCTTTTAATTTAGTCTCACTTTTCCCCGAAAGGTCTGCGAGCGCATCCCGACCATAAGTACGCAACTGAAGATCCTCTCAACCGTTAAAGCGACGATGTTGGGGCGAACTAATATCAGCGAAGAGGAGTCTGAACAGGTGTGTTAAAACTCAACAATGAAGACGTCTGAAGGAATGATCGTGCTATTGTTAAATTCTCTTTTCGCTCACAGGCCACAGAGATGTTGGTGCATAACGCCCAGAACCTCATGCAGTCTGTGAAGGAGACTGTCAGAGAAGCAGAAGCCGCCTCCATCAAGATCCGCACAGACGCAGGCTTCACCCTTCGCTGGGTTCGTAAAACACCTTGGTACCAATAAAGTCCACACAGAATACATTATTTGACATGAAAACAGCAGCGGATAAATTATTATAACTACAGCTGACTGTTTCTGTAGACAAGCGAAAGCCCCTGAAAATCGGAAAGCAACTTATTTGTCCCGATCATATTTAAACAAAAATGGAGCTAGAAAGTTTAATATCTATTTTGCTACGTTTCGTTTGAAGAATATACAGGGATCCCATATTTATTTTGGCATGAATAATTGTGTTTATATTTTATTTACAAAACACACAATAAGTATTAGTTTGTTGTTAGAGTAATACATGTATACAACACTGATTATATTTTAGCTTCAATTAGATACTATTTTTATGAGACATCAGGGCTCTTTAATGTTTACTTTTATTCTTAAAGTTCGTATTATGATTCTAAGGCGTCTTTTCAGGTGATGGCAATGTGCCACCAAGGAAACCAATATACATTTTAAGCTATTTTGTACTATTTTCTGCCACTCAAAACACTTAATAGACAGAAGGTTTTACTTCTGAAGTGATGAATGTGAGGCTTAACTCTAAATCAGGATTTATTTTGTGAATTATTTTGTTTTGTTCCTGAACAGTCAGTAAGAAACAACGGGACTTAAGGAGAAAGACAATACTCAAGGTACTATTCTGTTGCACTGTTTGCATAACATGAACTCCCTCAAGGCAGTGATTGTAGTCGAAGAGCATGTTTTGGACTTTTGGCTTCTTACTTTTCACTGCTCTAAAGCACATTTGAAGTGTTATTCACAACCCTGGTGGTTTACGCACTAAAGCTAGATTTGTTGAATATATTTTTATTTAAGTAAATATACAACACTATGTGAATGCACATTTTATGATGTCAACTGCACCTCCTTTTGAGGTAGATTTGTGTTACTATATGAAATGACAGATTTGTATGTGTTGTGTGAACTCTCTTACACTTACAGTATTAGAGCTGTACTGGTGGCAGTACCTGCTTAAGCTATGAATAGCACCACAAACATTTTTGGGCCTAATGAAAATGTAGCCGTCACAGAGAATTGATGTACTGAACAGCTCTGAGCCCTGCCAAACACAACTGCTGTGCCTTGGAAGAATAAAATACAATAAAATGATATAACAGTATGTTTATTTGTCATTAGGATTTTTTTGTTGCATGTTATATAAGGCATCTGTGACAGCAGAATACAAAATACATGTTGATTTTTTACAAAGACAACTGATTGTGCAGACAAGAGGCTGATGAGGTCGTGTATACGAGTGCTTGTATCGCAAAAATGTGTAAGTCACACATTTTTACACATACATCAATTATTTTAATATGTTCACATATACATCTTGAGAAATATAATTTAAAGATTTTGCAGGATTGTAGATTGTCATCCTTAATACATTCACTTCCCAAAAAGGATTATGGTTTATAAATGAAAGGGACTTGATTATATTGAGATTCCATAGTAATAGTAATTTGCCAACAACTACATATCGTCTGTATGTATACAATTGGGTTAGAGAAGGTCTGTCTTTCAATGTGACACTCAACATGAACATGCACTAAACTGAAAATGACAGATTTGAATAAGTCTATCTTCTATTAAAAGTTCCCTTGGCCAATACTATTGTACACAAAACCACAATTAAGTTAGGTTAGGTTATTAAGGCTTCCCTTTACACATCACATAACAAACTAGAAAAACAATAAATAAATAATATAAATGAATACTTTTGCAGAACACCAAGACATATTTTGGAACACCTTTTTAAACGCCAGATGTGTTTAGGTCCGGACCAGGAATTTTCCTGCTTTGGTCAAATACTTGACTCCTTTGAAAGGTTTGTATTTCTCTCCATACATGTCCAACCGATTCACTTTGAGCCCTGAAACAAGACAGAAAGTAAGCACCATCACAGATTGAGCCCCTAAAATACACGACTCCCTGTGATACCTGATATGGCCAGCTGCTGGATTTTCAGTCCAATGCTGAGGGAAGGGTTCTCCTCCGGTTTAGGGACCCCAGACTGAATGCTAAGCGTTCCCTTTAAATTAGGAAGTTTCTGAGGATTAAGCTTTCCAATATCCCAGATCAGCACCTGCCAAAATATTCAAATCCATTAATAATCTCATTAGGTATTGTGCAGTGAAGATCCTAAGCAAAACAAAATATTCACCAATCGTAACAACATGACTTTACCTTAGTAGCGAGGTCAAATGTGTAGCTCCCATGTGTGGCTGTAAGGTTGGCATTGAGCACAGTTTTAGGCATAGGTATGGTGACAGATAAACACTCAACTGTCTTCCCCATTGTTTGTTTGGGTCCAATTGTGATGTCCAGGCGTCCACAAGATCCAGAGTCAAAGAAACTTATGTTCTGCTTTACGTACACTGGAATGGCAACTAAACTGGAAATAGAAGCAAAAAAAAAATGAGTGAAGACCTGACATTGCATTTATGCATTTAATAATAACAAACTTTTGTGAGTTGACATGGTAGGTCATCAGATTGAAATTTCCATCTGGTGGTATGAAAGAAAGCACATGCTCGGCCTCCCAGCGCTTGAATCGAACACAGGGGTGGAAACTCACATCATCGAGAAGACGGGGATTCTGTCAACAGCAATCACATAAATAAGATAGATGTATTCTTAACCTTAACAAAAATACATTTTGTTTGTCTCTACATAAAGAATATTAAAAAGGTAACTTGTTTGGACAAATAAGGCTACTGTGCTGTCTTCATCCAAGTAGAAAACATTTTTCAACTTTTGCATAATTGTAAGGAATGTAAGAACTGATTGGCTGATTGAGGGGGTCCTCTCTTTTCACTTTGATTGATTGAGGTAATTATTCATCCCATCATCAAGCAAAACACTACATTATGTTCTTTAGCTTATTTATTGTGAGTTTGATTAAAAAAGAAACTTGCATACCATAAAAGACAAAGTCAGATCAGGCATACCAGAGAGCCGCACACAGGCCTCTATTACACCCTGAATTTCAGCAAAAACTGTGGTACCTGAACCAAAGAAAAACAGAGTTGACTACATAATTGGTGTATCATACAATCAGTATGGAAGTTCTTCATGTAAAATGTCACACCAGATTTGTCAATAATGGCATCTATTTCCTCTATAACGTCAAAGTATGCCTCGTTGTTGGTGTATTTCACACCGACGCGCCTCCATGGGACATTGGATAGTTGCCCTGTTGGCAGTGTATCTCCAACGTTACTGCTTCCTGTGATTAAACAATCCAGTTCAACAGATCAGGTTTGGTAAGTAAAATCCACTAGTATTGATAAATTAAAGTGATTTACCCGTGAGTGTATTGACAACAGATCGAAGGATGTTTGGAGGTCTGATCATCTCCTTGAGGACATTGGACTCTGTTGCCAGCGGGAAGCCGTTGTCAAGCATTTCTTCCAACAGCTCATATACAATAACCACGTTATCCTTAATCACATTTTCTGTGCATTCACCAAAGTAGTCCTGTTATTACAAAGGAGATGTAAAACAATAACTCTACCACTAAAATATATGAATAATAAATATTACTAAACCCATACACTAACCCAGCTCACAACAAGATTAACATATTTAATCATGACACAACGCTTTTGTGTCGTTACGTTGGACCTTATAACAATTTTACTAGGGCCTGCTGTATGTTAAAAATGCAATGAGGCAAAATACCTCTGTGGATGTGGATAATCATAGTGTGCATAGTGAACCCACAGAACTTCCACATATTTACATTAAACTTAACATATGTTCGGAGGAAACTGGAAGATCACACATATACTTAATGATTTTAAATATTTAGTACTGTTTAAAGTCAGTTACGAAAATCAATAAGCTTCATTTTATAATAAGGTTTATAAAAAAATATCTAAAATCTCAATGTCAGCTTTCAAGCAGACGATGGAGCCCCAGCCAAAAAGTGACAGAGTGTACCTTTACAATACAAACCCTCTCAGTTTGTGCTCACCTGAATAGTATCTGCCACTCTGTGCAAAAACTCGATGACAAACAGAGGGGGGACTTCAGATTGGATGACTGACAGTAGGAAGAGTTTTCCTCTGTAGACACTAATGAGGTAGTGATGAGGGGTCTGCAAAACGGGAGGGACATTCTCAGGGTCCCCTGCTTTATCTTTCGCCTCAAAGAAATAGTCGCAGACACTCCTGCTGATGACACTCTTCCAGTGTTTCTCCAGGAAGATGTCTCCCGTGTTATTAATCAGGAACAGACTGTGAATCATTTCAGCTGCAACAATGTGCGCTCTGTTGCCAGTGGAGGTTCATATAAAAATAAAAATAAAAATAAAAATACATTAAGCACAATTTTAAATAAATGCTCATCAAGATCAATTGTAAATACAATCTTTGCATTACTTAAATTATAGCATCTATAGCTCCAAGTATAATACGCAAATCACAAAGTTGAATGCATGAAAGTCCCTTAAAGTAGACCAAAGGCTAAAGAAAAGTTGTTAAGTGGCGTAACAGCAAAGAAAGTAAGAGTAAAAGGCGCTTAGACAAAGTTTTACCTGCAGAGATCGCTTTGCTCGTCCGATTATCAGAAGTCGGAGGAAATATGGCAGATGTTGAGAAACAAATCAGCTCATGCAGCTGGTTTGCCCACGTAAACACTTCGGCATCGGAAGTTAGTGTGTTACCAATAATCACTTTAACGATTAAATATATTATAATGCATATAGTACTGTAGTACATATACATTCAACGCTCGCTAAAAAGTAAACCGCAAACGGGTGAAGTCATGAAGTGTTGTTATTTTTACTCAGGCAAAATTATCAGACAGCTAAAACCTTGGCTTATTTTCCCCCGATCTTGTCTTTCAAGTTGACGTGATTTAGGCACCCGTCGAGCGTGTAAATATTCATATGATGAACATCAAATACAGACTTGGGCATTATCATTCTGACACAAAGATTTATTTCTCTACATAACAAATTGCGAAGGAGTTCATTAAACCATTCTTGAACGCACATTATTGAATTAACAATCATATCTCAATTGATTGCTTTGCATATAGTTTTAATTCATCTTTGTATTTTGAGCAAATAATGTACTGAACTTCTAGTTAACGTTAGCGGAGGTGTTTCTCATGAAAGCCTGTTAAGTTTTACGCAGGGCATAAACAATAGTTTCCGTGGCAAGCTTGCATTTTCCCACCAGCAGCAACAACGTGCTGCGCGCACCTCTGCATCGACCATGGCTTCAAATGAACCAAAGACAAAGAAACACAAACTTTCAGAAGATGAAGATGAGAAAGATGTCTCACCTTCAAAAAAGATTGCCCGCCAACTAAGGTGACTCTGGACTATATTTACGCGTAGTTAAATCATGCAGCTTCATTTGATGTTCCATTCAGAGATTGTGTTTAAGTGCATAAATCAATTGTAATGCATACTTGACTTAAGCAAAAAGCGGATAATTGTAAAGCATATGTCAAAAACTATTCAAGGTCGTTTTGAAATTGTCGCACTTTACGATCACACTTGCCCCTTACCTCAACTCTGAGATAACGAACTGGCTAGTTTGCTATTGCTAGTGTTTATCTGTCGCTTGATATCTGCTAAAGATCGACTGTATTGTTTTGAGGGCTTTGTCTGTTGACCTTATTTTGCAGATGTCCAGGTACAATGTGTGCAAGTAGTGTTATTGGCGCCAAACTGCTGGTCTTCGCAAATGCAGAATCCATTGACCAGTAGTGCCATCTTCAAGGTCCCCGGTGTCAGTGAAAGAAATTGTGTGTGAAATAGTGAGAGTTTTTGAGAGTCTGTTTCTCATGCTCTGCAGTAATGTTTTGACTGAGCTCTAGACGGATGTAGTGAAGAAAAACCACAGCATGATCCTATTTACAGACCCGCCCTTCCCAGACGATACACCAATCAGTGACATGAGTGCTAGTTGCAGGGGAAAATCGATGTACTAGTACACAAAATGCGAAGTTTTGAGCCTTTTCTGGCCAGGTTTGAGGTTGTTCAACAGGTCTGTCACTGTTTGCCTTCTGGATCATAAAAAGACAAACCATGTCTTCTAAAAGGTAAGACTTGGATGTCAGCCTTTTTGCACTGAAGTGACTCCACAGTGCACATCTGTAGTCATATGGATGCAAACCAGTAGTGTGTATTGTGAAATAATGTGTGGACGTATGTACCCAATTAGTGCTTGTTCATGTTTTGCTTTTCTGTATAATTTCTTTATGCTGGGTTCTTGGATGTAAAAATTATGCTAGGCAATCATGTGGAGGTGGCATCTAGACTAACATGAGGAGCGGTTGTCCTCTGTGGGTTATTCCTATAGACAGCAACATCTGGGTTTTAATAGATGTGATACAGAGAAACAATGCCAGGCGCATGGATCTTTTTGTGGTATATATCACTGGCCGTGAAATGTGATTACTGTTTGTGAGACAACTCCTATTATTGTGCATTGACACAAAGCACTGCTCTGCACCACAAGGACTTATTTTTTTGCACGAAGTCTGTCTTCTTGGAATGTTGTTTTGCAATGCAGATCTAGAACACTGCCCTAATTTTCCTAAGGACACAAGTCTGCTTTTATATAATAAATGGGATTTTCTTGCCACCATTCAATTTGGATTGTAAGTAATGATACATTTTTCCTGATACTCTTGTCAGCTATTGTCCTTATTGCAGCACATTCAATTAAAAGTCATGTGATTGTGGCATATGGAAGCACATGTGAGAACTATGCAGCTACGCTTACAAATGCAAGACAAACTCGCAGTCACAGTACGTCCAGTGATTGATCTGAAATATGATCTACTCAATTAACAAATGTTCTGCTCTCAAAGTGCTTTTGGGGGGAAGGGTTGGTGCTCTGTTTCAAAAGTAAGAGCATGACCCGTGTGAATTGCATAATAACTTTTTTTGTTTTACTTTTCAGCCCAAATTCGTTATTTGGTATGGGAAACCCTTTACTGGATATCTGTGCTGTAGTGGACAAAGACTTTTTGGACAAGTAAGTTATCTGCAGCTGTAAATGGCAAAATGCTTGCAATATGATGCAGAGCGTTTTGACCCGTAACATGAACTAACTTGTCCTTTTGTTAGTGCTCAGTATGGTATGCACTTTTGTAATATGTGACTTTAGTGAATGTCACACCACTTTTGTTTTAGTATTAAGTAACCATTTCTTAATTATTTTCAGATATGCCCTGAAGTCTAACGATCAGATTCTGGCTGATGACAAGCACAAAGCACTGTTAGTATTTCCATGTTTATGTTTTCTTACTCTTCTGACATTTGACTTGCTGTTATACAGTACATGCCGTGTCACTTTGTTTAAAAAAAAAAAAAAAACAATCTTGTTGTGATGGCGGCTGTACATTCCCCTCTGCACTGGAATAGTTCTGTCAAAACAGGCACACACCAGAATCCTCACAATCGACCTCAGTTCTTACCGTGGCCACAGAAAGGGCGGAGAAAGAGCTTCCTGGGCCAATCAAAAAAGAGGAGTCACCTCCCTCAGTTAAAAAAGCAAATATTTACCTTCAGAAAATTGATAAGGCATGTATATTTTTGTCATGAGCTTTTAACATCACAAATCCACGCTCTACCAAGACATGAACAGGTAATGGTTGTTGAGAATATGTTTAGATTAAGAAATCCTTTATTTGTTCCACAGTGGAGATATTTCAGTGTTGCATCACAAGTTACAGAACAGTAGGAATGAGGAGCACGCAACACAAGTGAATATTAAGTATAGCACAACCCCATAGAATCAACCATGCTCTAGTCCATATATATTATGTCATTACTTGCCTTACTTGACTTTGACCCTACCTTTTGTGTTTTGTCGAGAACCAGACACTCAATTTCAATCCAATTACCATCTTTCTGCAGATCATTAGCTCCAGGCAAAGCCAAAGAGCCCATAAAGGCACAGGCCTGCTTTATTTCAGATGTTTGTCTAATGGACAAAATATTAACATCCTTGCATTTGAACATGTCCACATTTGGAAGCATTGATGTTTGAAGATACTTTTCAAAGACCCATTTCAGTCACTCAAAGTTGTGCAACTACTACAGAAATTGTGCAGTTATTTGTGGCTTGTATTTGTTCCCTAGAATTGTAAGGATAGGATGAAAAAAATCGTGATGGGGGTGTAAAATTAAGTGACTATGACTTCACACAATTCAGTAATGCATCTGGTAAAAAGTAGGTCAGATGCCGATACTTATCCCACAATATCCTAATACCATAAGCATTTAGAAATGCAAACATGTCTAAATGTTTATAATGCAAATGATTAATTTAGGCCTTCTTGTATTTTTGTTGTTAAGTGGTGATTTGTAATATTGTTTTGAATTCTTTAGCTTTGAGGAGTTGGTGAAGAAGTTCAAAGTTGAATATCATGCTGGTGGAGCTACACAGAACTCTATAAAGGTTGCCCAGGTAAGGTCTGAATGTTCGAAGATGTCACGGGCTATAACTGGTCAGATTCATTTAAAATCTGCTTTTAGTGGATGATCCAAGAACCTCATAAAGTTGGTACTTTCTTTGGCTGCATTGGTGAAGACAAGTTTGGTGAGATCCTGAAGCAGAAAGCCGAGGAGGCCCACATCGATGCTTATTACTACGAGCAGAGTGAGGAGCCAACGGGCACATGTGCGGCCTGCATCACTGGAGACAACAGGTACTCTGCATCTCAGCGACGACTGGAGAGTGGGAAAATGCCTTCTTTTTCACTCATAGAAAGTTTTACCTTTCTGTAGTTTGTCACTGTGTTATTGCTCACACAAATGTATCTTTAGGTCTCTGGTGGCAAACCTTGCTGCTGCCAATTGTTACAAAAAGGAAAAACATCTGGACTTGGAGGAGAACTGGAGGCTAGTGGAAAAGGCCAAAGTGTACTACATTGCTGTAGGTTGATCTCGTTATTTAACCCTCAGATTATTTTATTTGTAGTTTACATCAGGGCAGCCAAATATTTTTAATTTATTTTTTGTTGACGCTATGAGATTAAACTTGTATTATTTGGACTTCAAAGTAAAAATACTATGAGAATAAAGTCATAATATACACCGTTCATAACAAATAACCCCACCATTAAATTGAGTAATCAGTTTAAGTACATAGTATACAGGATTACCATTGCAACAACGCATTGGTAGGGCAAAACTAACCTGTCTCACAGCGGTCTAATATATATATTATCATCAACGGTGTATATTGGAGTAATCAGTTTAAAGCTCCGTGCGGGGAGGGTGAGCAGAGAGCGAGAGGTCATCTTTCTCATTTGAACATTTCTCAAAGTCGGTTATTGCAGCTTTAAGTATATAGAGGCATAAAACCATGTTTGTGGCTGAGCCTTCATTACTTTTGGTCCAGTTTTGTTTCAGTCCAAGTAGCTGTGAAAAGTAAAATAGCCTGAGAAGTTTTTATGGCATAATTCTATGTTTATATGTGCGTAGATCTATTCGCTCCAATGCTCATATATTTTACGAACACGTGATAGACCCCTGATCTAAAGCTTCTGTCAACTCTGCACTGTTCATTTAGCATATTTGTACGATGGCTCTCCATTGTCTCCATTATGCACCAACTCTTTATCTGACTTATATTCTCATAGACTCTGACTTCAATCTCATAGCGTCTGCACAAGAAAATCCCTTTGCTCTGTTGTAGTATGTATACAACCATAACTGAACCTGAAGTCTTAAATAACTGGAGAACATTTTTCACGTCTTTCAGGGTTTCTTTCTCACTGTGTCTGTGGAGTCTATCCTGAAAGTGGCAAAACATGCCTCTGAAAACAATAAAATGTTTTGTCTGAACCTGTCTGCGCCCTTCATCAGCCAGTTCTTCAAAGATAACCTCATGCAAGTTATGCCATATGTGGACGTCCTCTTCGGCAACGAGACGGTAATTGCTTTATTATTTACAATTACGCCTAAAGTAATACCTTAATGAGAATCATTGTTTTTTTTGTCCAGGAAGCGGCAGCATTTTCAAAAGAGCTGGAATTTGAGGTACAAAAAGACCAATTCATTTGAGTGCGGATCTTTTTTTTCTAGTCTGGTTTAATCTTTTACAATAATAATGTATCCCTTATTAGACCAATGACCTAAAAGAGATTGCTAAAAAAGCCCAAGCTCTGACAAAAGTCAACAAGGAAAGACAGAGGATTGTTGTTTTTACTCAAGGAAAGGACGAGACCATCATGGCCTTAAGTAAGGCTTTATTTTGTTTTGTGTATATAGCCTCTTGATACAAATAATATTGTATTTTTTTTGGCCAGGTGATAAAATTGAGACATATCCTGTGATAAAAATTGACCCTAAAGACCTTGTGGATACAAATGGCGCCGGAGATGCTTTTGTGGGAGGTACACGGACACCTTTTGAACTTGTTTGGTATTGAAGTTTGAGATTGGTCCGAAACATTATGATGTTGTGGCACAGGTTTCTTATCGGAGCTGGTTCAGATGAAGCCACTGGATCAATGCGTGAAAGCAGGTCACTACGCTGCCAATGTCATCATTCAACGTGCTGGGTGCACCTTTCCAGAAAAACCCAACTTCAGCTGAGGACTCCCCCGGCTGTTTTGCTGCAGTTAAAACTTGCTCCATTTGAGTTTTCCCAGAAACCTCAGTAACCTCAGTTCGTCCAAGTCACTTTCAACAAAATTGAACGTTCATCATTAATCGATTCCTTTTTGTACCACTTGGGGTCAGTAAAGTAACACTGATCAAAGTCTTCCAAATACACTAAGATCATAGTTTTTGGGTTTTTTGAAATCTTAGTTTTTAAAGATATTTTTAATCATGCTTTTTCAACAAATTGATTCAGACATCTTAACAAGGACACTTCAAATCAGAAGGACCGACTGAACCGGCAGCAGACTGTATCTGAGGAATCCGTTTTGATCAAACTATAAAAGGAGTGATTTTGTGTTTGTCTGGATTATCTTCCACTCATTATGTCTACATTGTCAAAAGGAAATCCTCTACCTGTTAAATAGTAAAGAGTCCATTGGGCTTTTTCTGTCTAGTGTTATAACTAATAATCAGTATTTTTTTTTTTTTTACAATTAACATGTATGGAAAGTCTTTAGTCTTGCTTTGCTCATTTCTGTGCACAGTCAAATATTAACATGGTCTAACAATACATTTGAAATTTGAAGGAATTAATATTAATAAAGATAAAGATGGACAAGGATGCTACTTGTCAACTTGTTTATTACTTTAAAAAAAATGTATAGTCATGAATTAGAAAACCTAAACATGTTGGAGACAAATAATTAGGGTCTCACTAAATATACAGGAATGTAACCCATACAATTTCCAAATCAATATTATAGGGAATAACTGAATATTTGAAATGCTGGGAAGCATTGAATTTATTTAAATATACTCTGACCAAATTAGTTTTTGTCCTGTTAAGCGCACGTCATGTTTGCTGGTCTTCATTGACCTTGCAGCTGTTCAGTTGCAGTCTCTCCTCTTGCAGTGTGATGTCCAGAGCTCGAAGCTGCTTTAAGAACCCGTGGTTCGGCAGAATGCACCGCCGTTGTCGCACATGCTCAATGGCGTCTACAACAGTTAAATTGTGTTTGCTCATGAGGTACGCCAGAACCAAGGTGGCCGAGCGGCTGCGACCCATCACACAGTGTACCAGGACTTTGTCTGGAACAAGTTTAAGCACATTCATATCCTTTATCTCTGAGACCAATGCTACCAACACAATGTTTGAGGCTACTCACGGTGGGGGCTCCTGAGTGCTTCATGGATGAACAGTGTTGAGGAGCAGAAGTACTGGGACATGTTAAATGTGGGTTTGTCGTCGGCCTCCACACCCAGATACTGAATGTCTGAGTCACTGTAATAACTGGCTCCTGTTAGAACATTATTGAACTTTCCCTCTGCTGCATTTAGCACATGTGTGATGCCCATCTCCCTCAGAGCCTCCACCTCCAGAGCAGTCTTTCTGTTTTAGAATGAAATATGACGATAAACGCTGTATTTCTTAAATGAAATTTAGCCCTTAATGGCTTCTTGTGGACTCACTCATCTCCGATGTAGATATTGGGCCAGACCTCGTCCACATGTGTGTAATCCGGCGCAGAGCCGGACCAGAACAGTTGCTCCAAGTCTAATGTCCCAGGAGTGATGTAATCACTGTTTGGGTCCACTCGCACTGCTGCGTAAGGGTTTCTGTATCTGCTCTTATTCACACATGTCATGATGCCACTCTGAGAAATGGAAACAAATACAGTAAGACAAAAGCACAGCACTGGTGCTAATGATGTCATTGTGCACATTTCTGTATATGCTTATGTCAAATGCATGCACAGGAAAATAAGTACATGTAACTTACTTTGTAAAGTTGATCGGCCTGTCCTTCAGGACATGTGTGTTTGTGTCCATGTGGTCTGTGCTCGGAGTGAACCACTGGGCCGTGTGACTCTGTGGGTAACCTGATAGTTTGAGTCAGCTGGGCTCCAGCACCTGGCCTCAATTCTGACACAAATGTAACAGTTGTATTAAAGGTTAGTTTTTATTGTGAGGCTCTTCTGTCAGAAAGCAATATGATCCTATGGGAAAAAATGGAATGGAACATATTGTTGTATTATTTGGTCTGTGGTTATTTTCTAAAGAGTCTGTCATGTTTGTATGTGTGTCCTATGAGCTGAAGGTTGGTGATAAAATGGTTGGTTTGAATCCTGCTTACAACATAAACATTGGTTTGATAGGCAGGATAGGTGTGATATCAGCTCCAATTGGCAAATGCTGCTCTGTGTCCTTGGGCAGGACACTTAACCTGCCCTGCCCCCTATGTCTATGTACACTGGGTTCTTTGACGTGAAGCACTTTAAGTAGAAAAGTGCTGAACAAATTTGACCCCTTTGCAGTCTACATTTCTGGTTTTATATTTTTTACGACATGTGTCCTATTAGTCTGCGCTGCTCCAGAAATTCATGGCTGGTTCAACAGTCATGTTTCAGTCGCGATTGCCCAACAAAGGAAGTCAGGTCATCAGGTAGTTCAAAAACCAAAGGTCCAGAACAACTGACAACCACTGTAGAGTGGACAATTAAATATAAAGTAACTTTTAATACATGTAGTGATCAGGGCTATTTCTAAAGTTTGAGGTGCTGTTCATCAGGTCACTGTAAAGTCCTTCACCAATGTTAATTTCAATACCTTCCTGCTGCTGAAATCATTGTATACATCTGTGTCGCATAATATCCCTTTTTTTAAGTGTGAATGTTTATGGGTGAAATTGTCAGATGATCCTGGTCGATGATCGATGTTAAAAATGTGTGTTATGCCCAAACTGTGAAGAATGCCCTTGTTCCGAGCTGCTGCCCTGAAACACGTTTAAAAATTGTAATAGTATTATAAACAGGATTATGAAATTCCTCGTTGAGAATGCAAACTGTGAACATTTATTTAGTTTGACCAAAACTACCCCTTTACACCATTTTTGATTTTTTTTTCATGAAATTGCTGCTGGCCTAAAGTGTAACATCTGTGTGATGTGTGTTCATAGGGTTCTCTGTGGGACATACTGAGACAAGTGAAAACAACCATACAAACCTGTCAGCTACAAGCCTTTCCTTTCCAAGCCTACTGTTTCCTCTGCAACTAATCATGTATAGTTTCTGGGTAAAAATTTGAGAAAGTGTAAATCCTAAGGAAAAGAGCGAGAATTGTCCCCTGAACTTAATCATTAATTGTGTGACTTGGTTTTCTGTTTGGAGAGTGTATTACTACAGATATTTGGGGGCTGCCATTCATCAGCCTACCAACACCAGCAAGAACTAAGATGCATACAAATCGTGCATGCCATTTTCAGCGATGAAAGTGTCTTACACCAAAATGTAGAGAGATTATACCCTCTGTGGGCGGTTATCCCTCCCCTATTGGGAGCTCGAGGGTTCTGCGCAGTATCTCTGCTGTTCCTAGCACTGTACACCACTCCTCCCGCTTCGAGTTGTGGTTTGAAAATCAGGTAACCCAGCTTTAACAGAGAAAATAATTATATAGCCACCACAATTTAATAAGGATACGTATTTGACATTGAACACAACTTAAACTATAATACATTTTAAAAGACAATTTTGAGTACTGTATACAAAATACCATCTGTACATTTACAAAAGCCATTAAAAAAAAGTTACACAAAAATCAAAGTAGTGGACACAATGTTCTTTTGAAACTTATATGTTTGTCAAGATTAAGAAGCAAAGCGAGAAAATGTCTATTGGGGTAAATAGCCCGCTTCTGTATGATGTGTTTCAGAGCATTGGGTAAAGTCAGACGCTGGTGCAACATCAAATAGGCCACAACCAAAGAGGCGGAGCGACTCATCCCCATGATACAATGGACCAGCACTTTCCCTACACACAGAACAAACATTAATCCAAGTATTATGAGTAGCCGAGTTGCTTTAACCTTACCATCTTTGGCCTTCAAAGCAGCATGGATGAATTCAGCTGCTGGCTTGAAGTACTGGCTGAGGTCAAAGTTTTCTGAATCCTCTGCTGGGATGCCAAAGTAAACGCAGGTGTCGCCATAAAACCTCTGGTCACCGATGCTCCCCTGTTTTGAGTGCGCTGCGTTTAGGACATGGGTGATACCGAGCTTACATAATGCATTTTTGTTCTGTGCCACAGCTCTGGCAAAACAAATACGAAATGCAAAACAGTTCAGTTTATAGAACAAACAGTAAGGAGTTAAGATTTAAAACATTGCTATACGACAAAGATACTTACACATTTCCTATATACAATCCAGGCCAGACCTCATCCACTGCAGTGAGCTCCAATGTGCATGAATCCAAAATGGTTTCCAGCTGTTTGATGCGCCCCAGCTCCTGTGATTGTTTGTGGCTAGACATAATGTGTGTTTGTTGTGATTCTCTGCCTGCCTGCGTCTGCTCTGCCCCTTTCTGCCAGACCTGTGTCGGACTGGACAGTGACAGACACGAGCAGGTGCCTGGATCCAAATATAGCCCCCTTGTGTTCTCTGTGGGCTTGGTTGATGTGTGGTTATCTAATGTGAGGATGCATTGATTGGCCTGGTTGCTGATGCCTAAAGGTGTAGGGGTCAGAAAAAATAGTGTGATTATTTTGTTTAACTGTATTGATGCTCTATGAGATGACAAATAAAAGTGATGAGTAAAACAATACAGTACAAATCATATAAATACAATTGATAATATTATAATAATTGAATTTATTATAATAATTGAAAAAGTTCAAGTCATAGCTAAACCCATCTACAAAGCACACATCCTGGCCTTTTAATTGAATCAATGCTTATATAACATTAAAGCTGGGGTGCCTGACTCAAACCACAAAATAGAAGTAATACAATCCATGTAACTAGTTTTCACATGCATATATTTTGGTCTCTTTCTCTTTTATGTCTAAGAAATTTTAAATTAATCTAATCTAGGTCCTCATCTCAACTTCTACTGGAAGTGTCAAGAACTAGATACAATCCCTGGGGTGACCGGTCCTTCTCAGTCGCTGGACCCAGACTCTGGGACAAGCTATATAACATATTTATTCGGACTGGCTTTTAACACTTTCAACACTCATTAGGGAGGTGACACTTTTTTATGCTTTTTAACCTTGAGTGTAGTAAAGGGTTCTATAAATAAAATTGATTGATTCATTGATAAAGATGTGAAAAATAGAGAACTGCCCTCAATCAGCTCTTTCTAGTAAGTATGCTCACGATACAATGTTTTCTTACATGATAAAGACACGATTTTGAGATCTGATTTGTTCACAAAATGTTACTTAAAAATGTTAAACAAATCTATTATTGTAAGAAAAAAAAGTACCCCAGCTTTAAATATCTTACTTCAAAATGCTAGCCAGTGCACTAATGCACCTCACTTAGTGTGGTCCTACTTTCTAAACTGTATTTGTATTTTTTTACCCTACAGAGTAATTTGCTTACTCAATTTTCCCTTCTGCAGTGTCTGATCTAATGATATGAGCTGCCGCAAGAATCCCCTGTTGGGGAAGATCCAGCGTTTCTTTTGCACGTGTTGAATGGCGGAGAGCAGACTCATCTGATGGTGGATCATGAGGTAAGCCAGGACCAGAGCAGCGGAGCGACTGACCCCCACAGCACAGTGCACCAACAGCTTTCCTGCACAAAAACCACAGGATTTCACCACTAGCTCCTTTCAGCTAAAGAATCAAAAATCAAACTATTGGGATTCTCATACTGCACACCAGTGTTTTTGGACCTGTGTCGACAGTGAACACAAAGCATGTTTTTGAGACCTGCGTTAAAAGGCTGGAGAGGAATCACCAATGTGCAGATGGAACTGCTCACTCCAAATCAGGAATGAGCAGACATAAGGACAGACAATCAACAGTTTGCAAATTTATGCGGCAGCTGGTAATGCGTTTCTTTCTTTACTGAATGAATTTCATGGTCATAGAGTTGTAATACAATAAAGAAATGTTCTTCTAGACGAGTTTGCTCAAGCAAAACACACAATATTTATTTAATATTATGATAAAATTCATGGTCTTTTAGGAAAGTTAAACATGCAACAGTCCTAGTGGTGTCTAAATTAGTGACATCTTTGGACGCTGTGTTTACACTGAACATGGCTTGGTAAAAAGACTTGTTTGAAAGGAGAGTTGAAAGCCAGTGTGAAAGAAAAGGCCAACCCCAATTTTTGGTTGAAAACCCCAGGTTTTTGGTCAGTGTGAAAACCCCTTGTGTAGTGCCTGGATTTCCTTAAGGCACTCTGGTTTCTCCCACCACCCAAACCATGCAGCTGATAAAATCATGTGATTGCTTGAGAAACAGGGCAAAACGGGAAAACGGTAGCATTATTATTATTATTATTATTATTATCATCGTTATTGATGATGATGATGATGATATCAGACAGTTTTTCAGTAATTTGGTCTTGGTCAAAGCTCAAATAAACCAAGAGCCCAGTATAACAAACCTTTATGAGTGATCCTCTTAGCTGATTATGTTGGTTAGTCTGCCTTCACTGAAAGCTCGAGAGACATTTCAAATTAAGCCGACTTTAGTTTTAAATTGAACTGAACTATACAAATGATACATGTTTATACACCAATATCTAAAGTCTTTAAATAAATATTGATATGTTGTTTATTTTGTGGCACAATTTCATTTCATATTGGTACCTTCTGTTGCCAAAGCCTGATGTATGAACTCTGCAGCAGGGTAGAAGAAAGGTGTCAAATCAAAGGTGGGCAGGTCATTAGCCGGGACCCCATAGTACTTCACCGTGGTCCCGTAGAAGTCGTCAGTCCCTTTGCAGCACAGTTTACCATGTGATGCATTCAACACGTGGGTGACACCAAGCTGCCAGAGGCCGAACTTGTCATGGGACATAAACCTGGAACAAAGCATACGATTTCATCAAATGCCTGCACTGTGAAACAATTATTGAGGTGTCTTCTGTAATACTTTTAACCTTTTAGGTACCATTGATTTTTCATTATTTTTTATTAGTGAAACAGATAAAAGTCAAAGCCCTGAAACTTTAAAGATGATACAGGATTACCAAAATGAATAACACAAATGAATAAAAGACAAAATATATAATAAATATTTCGGAGAATGTTTGCGGCATGTCATGCCACTGTATGGAACCTGGATTGAAGAGCACATAAACAGCGCTGCATCTTTACCTAAAGGGTAAATTAATTCACAGTAATCTGCATATAAAGTCATGTAACTTCATGATATTTTTCAAATTTTGTTTGATCTTTTTACTCACAATGAGAAACAATGGAAAATGTTATTTTACATTTTTGAATCCCTTCCTAGAAAGATGTAATTCAAATCATACATGTAATTGCATGTATTGTCCTCTCATAAGATGTAGACTGTGTAGTTTGTATATTGCGTAGTAATCTTAGCATGTAGATTATTGAAACTGATCAGAAACAGTCTCAATGAAAGTGAGATGTTCTTATAAAATATGCGGTGGTAACACTCACATGTCCCACAGATACAGATTTGGCCAGACTTCATCTCCATGGCGGCATGAGCGCGGAGCTGAATATAGTATTTGCTCAAGATCTCCAACAGAGGGACTTCTCCTGCTCCTATCTGACTCACTCTCACATTCTGTCTGATTGTTTTTGGTTGCCTCCATGTTATAAAGAAATAAAGTCTCTGTGCTGTTTTCAGTGTGCACACGCCGGGCTGCAGAGGAGTGTTTGAGTGTCACAGACAGGTGATCCAGTTTGGCTATGGTAGGATTTTACTCTTCTCTGTTATAAGGTTCTTACAATGAAATGCAAGATAGTTTAAACATTAAAATGTAAATCTAGCCTGAAGACACATTTGTCTTGGCTTTTATTTACATGTAGTATTTGTGTATTTCATGCTGTTCCTTTTGTATTTTTTTGTACATGTGAAGCAGAGAAAACCAATTTTGCAAAATAAACACATTTATACTGGCATTGGTATTGGTGTACGTCTCCACAGACTGACTTGAGCTGTGATTTCCTAAGAAATAGAATACATACAGAACATAACCAAATATCCTCACTTGAGTTTTCCATCAAGCAACCATAAATGTCCAAGAGGGAAGCCTTCAGCTTCCTTTATCGTAGATTCTTTTGCATTAAAGCTAATGTATTTCCAGAGATTTCAAACTGCCTTTGATAACAGACTACAATATTATACATTTTTTATTCACTCCAATTTCAGTTATGAAATGTTATATTACATAGTTCTGTTGTTTGTTATTTGTTTAAATGCAATTACAGCTTTTATACTTTTATTAGCATGGCAATTTGAGTTTTATCTACACATATTTACAGCTCTCTTATGCTGTATTCATATATTGCTACAAATGTATGCTGCAACATATCGAGGTTCTCTAGTCTTATCTGGTGTTTTATATACTACATTATAGGTTATATTGCCCTTTTAGTAATAAGTAAATACATGTGTGTAATTGGAAGTCAGCGCCACAGGGGGGCAGTCATGAGGCGCTTTCGCATGTGCTTGCCCTTCCTGTTTGGTGTTGCTTAGCTGTGTGTCTGGTCAAAACCATAGACCATGCTGGGTATAATTTACAGCTCTGAGTTGACGTGTAAACACAGAGAGAAACGACCACTCCCCGGAGCGCTCTGACACAAGACTTCGGTAAGATTTCTCCTCTCTCTGCTGTCCACATGTGATTTAAACTGTTCTTTTTTCAACTTTTTCCGTGACTTTTGAGAAATTGCAGCGTTAATGTGTCGCATGTTTTCTTACTACCACACTTTGTCTTTAGATGATTGGGAAATGCGCAAAAATAGCACAGTTTGCGCACTCACAACGCCGGGTTTATACACAGAAGCGCTTCTGTCACGTCCTCAGTGAGTCACTCTGTAAAGCAGCCAGACCAGCTGACTGGACACTCACACATCCCAAACTTAAACTTGAGACCAGGGCATCTGCGTGATGTTACCAATAAACTCCAAAGACTGCTTAAGAATATTAAGAATATCCCAAAGACTGCTTAAGAATGTTGTAATTTTCTGACTGGACTGTTTTCCAGGTGAGTTGCATGGGCTCAAGGGAGACTATATATTCAATATTCATGCTGGTTTACATGTAGCTTACACCTTACGTCTATCTTCACCTTCATGGATGTGTCTTTAAATTAAGTAGGGTGATTAATATCCCCTAAAACTGTTTACAGAGATTTACTATAGATAATAATAAAAGTAAATAAATCCTATGTTTCCCAATTGGGTATAAACTAGAAAAGCTACTTGCCTTCGCTACGTCCTCCCTTTTTAACTAAAATGTTCAGAAAGAGATGTACTTGTCCTAGTCTCTTATCGCCGTTGCTTCTTAACAGCTCTTAATAGCTATATTAGCAGGATACCTTATCATGTACCTGCCTGTAATTCGTGAGTCTGTCGTTACTGTTCTCATATTGAAGCATTATAACCGGGTCAGTTCTGTAGAATGGACCCTAGACCTTTGGAGCTGGAGCACAGGATAAACTACTTATCTGCAGGTCAAAGGGACACACAAGAGGACAGCTCTGATCCACAGATGAGTGGAAGAGCAGGTACAGTATAGTTATGTGGATGGTTCTGTCTGCTGTGTTGAAATAACATGTACATAAGGCCTATAATTCTGTTTACGTTTGGATTATAGCTCATGCATTTTACTTCCTGGATCCTGTTCTTTCTCAGTCATCACTTTAACATCTGCATTTTAGAAGTGGGCTGTTCTTTGTGTTGTGCTCAACACAAAAAATACACAAATATCATCAAAAGAAAATATTGACTCAAAATAAATTACTTTTTCATTTTGTGGTTTAAACATCTACAAATAATGATTTTATCAAAAGCCAACCTCAAACTGTTTGTGCATTAATGTGTTGCTGAGAGATAAATTTGTCTGTGCTTGTAAAATGGAAAAAACAATAACAAAACAGAAGTATTGGAACACCATTCCAACTTTCTGAAAAGAGTATACTTCTGTATCTTCTGCTACTGCTGACTTGGCTTATGGCCTTCACTGAACTAAAGTATCTGCTTTTGTCACACTATAACGGAGGGACTGGAAGGGTGTATGTGCTTATTCCACTCAGCAGCATAATAGAAGTAGATGGAAGTAATCTTGTGTCATTTGTCTCCCTACAGTGGCATGGCAGCGCCACAGGACGGAGTGAGTTGTTGGAGCTGTGGGCAGGTGGCTCAGTGGCTTCAGGATGAAGGGTTTGGAAACTATGTGGAGCTGCTCTGCAGTCAGCATCGGCTGGATGGCCCCAGTCTGCTGACCCTCACAGAGGCTGACCTGCGCTGCCCTCCTCTTGGCCTCACTGTGTTGGGAGATATCAAGAGACTGGCCTTAGCCCTTCACCGGCTGCAGAGGCAAAACCTTGTGCAGATACAGATGCTGGGTCTACAGCCTATGGACGGTCTCATGTCTGGACACTCTGTCACTCCTCAGGGGGACTGGAGCAGTGAAGCTTCAGATGTTCGATATGATGGAAGAAATCTTTTGTATAATGGGAGTGAGCTCCGGCAGAGGATCACAGACCGGGCCAGACCTAATTCAGGAGACTCACTGTGCCACATTCACTCTAATGGAAGGTGTCGCCCTCACCTGGCTGGACGACTTGACCCTGAGGTCTGGAAGACTGTGGTCAGCTGTGTATATGTGTTCCTTGTTTTTGGATTTACCTCCTTTGTCATGGTCATTGTACATGAACGTGTCCCAGATATGAGGACATACCCACCTCTGCCTGACATATTTCTCGACAGGTAAAATGATAAAAACGGCACTATCACCCCAACGCTCATAACTAATCAAGCAACTGATCTTGGTGTTTGTGTACTGCTAGCGTTCCCAGAATCCCCTGGGCTTTTGCTATGGCAGAGGCTTGTGGACTCCTCCTCTGCTACATGTTCGCTTTGATCCTTTTACTTCACAAGCACAGGTGAATATGAGCTTTATTGAAATCTTACCCTTCTTTAAATTAGTATGTGCATGTATTTTCCATGATTTGAATGTCATAACATTCCAGGTCTATACTCCTGAGACGACTGTGCTCCCTGATGGGAACTGTGTTCCTGCTTCGCTGCTGCACCATGTTTGTCACGTCGTTGTCTGTGCCAGGGCAGCATCTGAAGTGTGCCAGTAAGGTAGGAGAAAATATCAGCTCCTTTGGGAATCATTTTTTGTTGAATATTCCCACAGGTTATCATTTCAGTCTTATTTTATACACAGACCTTTGATGATGCTTGGGGCAAGATACAGAGGGGCTTGACGATCTGGACTGGTTTTGGAATGACTCTGACAGGGGTGCAAACCTGTGGGGACTACATGTTCAGTGGACACACCGTAGTCATCACACTACTCAACTTCTTTGTCACCGAATGTAAGTTCTAAGAATGTAGGCTCAGCAATATTGACTCAAGAGTTTAACTGAAACAGAAAAAGACCTTGTCTGTGACAACACCTTTTTGATGGTTATATTTTTGAAAGCTACTACAAATTTAGCCAGAATTTAAATGGTTGATGGTTCTATCAGAGTGTGCTTCTATTTCTTTTACGCTTGTATTGAAATGTGTTGACTAAGTCATAGCATCCACCAGGGTTTAAGACTATCTTTGTTTTTCTTTGTAGACACTCCTCGAACCTGGAATCTCATTCACACCATTTCTTGGGTGTTGAACCTATTTGGCATTTTCTTCATCCTGGCGGCTCATGAGCACTATTCTATTGATGTATTTATAGCCTTCTACATCACTACTCGCCTCTTCCTCTACTACCACACCTTGGCAAACACGAGGGCCTTCCAGCACAGCCGAAGAGCACGCATTTGGTTCCCCATGTTTTCATTCTTTGAGTGCAACGTGAATGGACCTGTCCCGAATCAGTACCATTGGCCTTTCAGCAAACCTGCATTCATGAAATTGATGATTGGCCAATAGGAGCCTTTTACACTTGGGAAAAACTATGGTCTTTGATATTCCTTTTTAAAGAAAGTAAGTGTTGCTATAAGTCTTAACTTAAAACACACTTTTTTTATGAAAAAACTGGAGTATTCATCAGTTTACATCATGCGATAACCGGTTTACATGTAGCTTACACCTTACGTCTATGTTCACCTTCTGGAATGTGACTTTAAAAGTTAGGTGTTTTATATCTCCTAAAACTATTTACAAAGATTTAATTTAGATAATACAAGTTAATAAATCATATTTTTCCCAATTGGGTATAAATATTTTTCTATTCTATTTATTATTTTTTTGTAAAATAATGGGTAACAGAATGATTTTTGTTTACAATACAGCAGGTACTTCTATTTCAACCATGAGACTTTATCAACATCATCTCCCTAAAGTTTAGGGCCTAAACGTTTACATAATGTATGTTTGCAAAAACATGAATGTGCACTTTTATTGAATACAATTAAAGTTTTTAAAGTCAAATGTGTGCAATGAAGTATTCCTTTCCCTATTTAAATAATGCATCAGTTGATATAGCAATTACTGTGGGCATATTTGGAAAGGTTTCAAATGTTTAAGTGTTTATCCATTGGAAGAATGCTAATTCTTTTTGAAAAATTATAATAAAGCTTTCGGCATTTCACACACGACCAGAGCAGAGAAAATGGTCCGAACCAATCAGACTCTGCATACATCAACCTGAGTGTTGACAGCAGCTCATCACCAGTGGCTGTTTCACCGTTGCTGCTGTGAACTAAAGTGCTGTCGCAATGTATTATTATTAATAACATAAAAATAAATAAATGCACATTTTTGTCTAAATCACACAGATAGAAAAATAATGTCTGGTAAAACTAAAGCCACCCAAATATTTATAGGCTGTCATTTTTTATGAGGATATGCAAACAAAGACAGAAGCAGAAGAAAGTCACTTGCACTAGTAATACAATCTTGCACTACTATTGCCACTGTTTCTTTAATTGCCACTTTTTATTGTACATGCACAGACTATATTTTTTACCTTTAACATGTTGGCACACTTCTGTCTTTTGCACAAATCTGAGTGAGTCTACCCATGCCAAATGTGACATGTACATTTCTCCTGCGTGAGACCAATAAAGTCTATCTTATCTTAGAAGAGGGAGGAATAAGTAACAACCTTCTGCCTATAAGACCTTGAGAGCAATGAATGGCATCTACAAAAGAAAAAAATAGGTCCAATCACTGAAGAGAAGCCTAAATCTGCCTTGCCCACAATAAAACAGTGGAAGACTGAGGACCCTTCAGTGCATGAAGGAGTGCCACCGCACAGCTGTCTGACTGTACTTCAAGTCACTTATTGACAACCTAAACTAGGACCGCAAACTGCACAGCCAATCTCACTTTTTTGCTGTAAATAAGATACCACATATCTTATACATTTGTTACTTTTTACTTGATTGCACATTTCCTGTACACCCTGACTAATCAATAAACCCTGATCGTGAGATCAATGCATTTTACAGATCAAGGGCACCCAAAGTGCTTTACAATTGCTCCAGATATTTGGTGCCACTAGACCACTTAACACTGTAGAACATGTGTTTTTTACCACCACAATCTGACCCGATCATTGACATATTTCATGATTTCAGTTCTGATGTGTTTGTTTCTTGTGGGCGGTTATGTAGTGTGGCAGTTGCACGATCTCACCACTACGCGGCAGCAGTGATACCCAGAGTACACAGCCTGAAGACTCCGGTGTTGCGCTTCAGACGGTCGTGAAGAGGCGCATCTGTCAGACCAACAGAGCGCAGTCACACCTCAGCCTGGCATCCAACCACTCTCCCATTCCAAAAGGTACGTTTCTGTGTGCATGCATGTTGTGTAACAAACAGTTTGGACATAAATGTGTGTAATATTTTCTTTTATTTATTTTCATTTTTATCATGCCTCATAGAATGTATTAAATTGTGTATAATTATTCATAATTGCTTAACTTTATTCCTCCAAAAAATATCAAGTTTTAAAAATATATTTTTGGTTGTTATACATAGCAAACATAATGAGACAACGATACAATCCTTGAAAAGCAACAGCCTCTGAAAAACCAATAAAAAACATTTCCCAACAGAAAATAATGAGGTAGGGCTTGCTATTTCAAAAGCCTGTATCTGTTTTTGCCTTTGATATGAGGATGACTGATACAGCAGGAGGAAGCACCATTTAATGTTTTTCTCAGTTTGGTCCCAATTAAGGAGCATATGTAGGGAAAAGGGACTGACCTCTTCTTATGGGGAAATGTATTCTTATGTAATGATGTCTGGTGTATAGCTACTTGGGCTGTATATATGTATTAACTTTACTTTATCTGTGGCGACATTTCACAAATTACACCTCGTCTCCAGTGACAAAAAAAAAATAATCTTCAATTGCCGTACTAACATTGTTTACTTGGTATTTACTTATTTTATTTAAGTCACGTTAATGTTGATAATACAAAATAAAATATGGATTTCAAAGATTGGTGTCGTTGCTACAAATGGGAAACCGGATTTGAGTAATTCTGAACCAGGTATTCATTCTGTGGAGAAGGCAAATGGATGAGGTAGTAAATGGCTTCATCTCAACCCATTTTGTGGTAGAAAGAACACTTCAGTACACTCTGATTCTGTGGTATAAAAACCTTTTCTGGAGCAGGGTGCTGATGGGCAAGGCTGTGTCAGGTCAGTGCGCTCTTCAGTCTGCAAAGATGTTTCACTATCACCGAGGGATTTCAGTCTTTCAGCAGTCAAATGTACTTACACTTACAGGTCATTCCCTATAATAGACCTCCAATGTATCCAGGAGTGATGCTACTTCTAGTTAGAGGTGACATAATGTATTTCTTTCACGAACAACGAATAATCGATTCTGTGGCCCCCTGGAGCTCACTCACACACTGTCAGAGTAGATCAGTAATGATGCTCCACGAAGTGACTGATAGCTAAGTGTATGTGCCTTTAATATGAAATGACAGGCACATTTGTCTGCCTGTCACAGCACAATGAGACCGTTTTAGGTTTCTGACAATGTCGTGCCCTTTTCCATTCTCTGTACACTAGTCTGTGCAGATCTAAAATATGAAAGCTGTACTGTACACAAATATGTGTCCAATAATCTTATTTGTCAAGGCCGTTTCTTATTAGTTGAGAGCTGCCTTGGCAGAGATGAGGATTCACATGCACTGTTTTGTCCTGACCCTCGCTCTGTTAACGACCCCATGGTACTTGGAGAGCAGCGCGTTAAGAAAATAGAAAATGATCTGAATACATTTGAATTCATTAAGCACATGCTGAGTAGCTGCCTAAAGGTGAATACAAAGAGCATATACATAACAAAGCAAGCGCACACTTGATGAAATTAAATATGAGCCTCACAAAATAAAACCCTGTAATTATCTAAAAACAAAAATCTTTTTTAGCTTTGTTCAATTCACATGACTCAATCAAGGCAATAATGACATGACAAAATGTGGCCAAAACAAGTTAGAATTAAAGCCGCAAGCGGCGTCGAACTGCCCTCGCCATGCCGCACAGCCCTGCACCACCATGCACCGCACGATCCCGCGCCGCACCGCACCACGGCGCACCAACCCACGCCGCGCAGCGGAGGTGGCGCCGCGCAGCAAACATTGTATGCCCGTAGCCGTTGAACAATGTTTGTAAAATTGTGATGAATATGATCCATTGGCTTGGCTCCCCATGTAAAACTTTGGCTCAGTCTGTAGGGGGCGCTAAAGAGCCAATGTAATATTTCACACCTTCAGGCGACCTAGGCCCAGGACAACAACAACTGAGTCAAGTTTAGCACAAATCAGACTTTGTATGTGTAAACAGGAGCACATGTATAATCCATATATGTACATTCTCCATTGGATGACCATGTGACTAATCTAAATTCTACGAACAACTATTGACGGGACGTGTTGAGATGATCGGCCAAATCGGTGAAACAGCCGAGGCTGGTTTGACGTTTGTGCAAGGTGTACATTTTGCACAACTTTGACATAGTCTGTAGGGGGCGCTAATGGACCAATTTCAATTAATTAACTTTCAAATGATCTAGACCAGGGGTGTCAAACTTATTTTGGTTGAGGGCCGAATAAAAAAAGAAAGGGCTGGTCAGTGGCCAAAAAAAAAAGTGAGTTTTATTTATAAAAAATTTTGGGAATATGAAGGTAAATAAATGACTTGTTTCACATTAGTTGGATATTCTTTTCTGATTAGAATTAGTTCAGTTGCTGTGGACTGAACCAAAACTGGACCAAAACTGGGCCAAATATTGAAGGTATACAGGAAGATTTTCTACTTTTGGGCGGATCATCAAGACTATTGCTCCTCTCAATTGTCAATCATTCTGATGATTTGTGCTCGTCAAAAATGTCCTGACAGTTTTGTTCAAAAAGTGGAAGTGGTTCTTTCCTAAGAAAATTGGGAAATCCTTTATTTCTTATGGAATTAAATGTTATGGTTGTTTTCTTCGTAATGGATAAAATGCCATTGTCGCCTATTATCATTTATGCTGCTATTTATTATAATAATTTAAAATCATCCCAAGGGCCACTGGAAATGGTCTCGCGGGCCGGATCTGGCCCCCGGGCCTTGACTTTGACACCTATGATCTAGACCCTGGAGTGGAACAATGGATTAAAATTGTTTGCAAATCGGACTTTGTTTGTGCAAACGAGAGCTAATTTGTCAAAAATGGCAAAAAAAATTGCCACTTTTTGCTGCTCCGCTGCTCAAACAACGTTTCACTGATCAAAATTCTATGAAATCAAATGTGTTTAGACGATGTGGAGCAATTTTCAGCCAAATCCGAGAAACAGCCGAGGCTGGTTTGATGTTTGTGCGAGGTGTACATTTGCCATTAACACAGAACGTTTGTCGTCGCCACGGAAACAGGGTAAAAAAATAGGTCTTGGGCGGCTCAGACTTTTTGAATCAAGAGGGCAAAACTAAACTATGTGCAAAGTTTCAAACCTTTTGACAAAACTGAATGTGGTTGTCCCCATGTAAAACTTGGACATAGTCTGTAGGGGGCGCTAATGGGCCAATTTCAAATATTTCACTTTCACGTGAACTAAACCTTAGAGTTGAACAATTGATTCAGGTTTTGTGCAAATCGGACTTTGTGCAAAGGGGAGCTATTTTTCTGTCATCAAAAATGGGGAAAAAAGGTCACATTTTGCCGCTCCGCTGCTCAAACAACTGATCAAAATTCCTTGAAGTAATTTTGATGGTACATGTGTTGAGATGATGTGGAGCAATTTTCAGCCAAATCTGTGAAACGGCCGAGGCTGGTTTGATGTTTGTGCGAGGTGTACATTTGGCTTAGACACAGAATGGGGAGAGTTTGTCATCGCCACGGCAACAGAGTAAAAAATAAGCCTTGGGTCTGACTTTTTGAATCAAGAGGGCAAAACAGGTTTATGGGCAACATTTCAAACATTTTGTAAAAAACTAAATGTGAAAATTCCCATATAAAACTTTGAAATAGTCTTTAGGGGGCGCTGATGTGTCAATTTGAACCATTTAACTTTCAAATGACCTAGACCACAGAGTTTAATAATGTATTAAAGTTTTGAGCAAATCAGACTTTGTATGTGCAAACGGGAGCAATTTTAATATTGTCAAAAATTGCCAAAAAATAAATCATATTTTACCGCTCCGCTGCTTGAACAATGTTTCACTGATCAAAAATCCATGATGTCATTTTGAAAGTACATGTGTTGAGATGATGTGGAGTAATTTTTAGGCGAATCGGTGAAACGGCCGAGGAGGAGTTGCTTTCCAAACGACATGTATGAAAATTATTGCTTTGCATTTTTCCATTTTGCAATGAAATTTATGGGCTTCCTGTTTTTCAGAGGGCTTGGCTATAATAAAAAAAAATTCAAGTCTTGACTTGAGGAACATGTTTACTGAATTTCATGGCTCTACGACAAACTTGACCTCGAACCCTCCCATAGGGGTATTAAACTGGCTGTTGTAGGTAGCACTGTTTTGGCATTTTTATAGTCCCATAAAAATAAACACCAAAGCAAATTTTTCACCAGGTCCATCACGCACCGCCAATGATGTTGGTCCATTGCCTTGAGTTGAAGAGCTTTCAATTCCACAATAGTGAGCAAGTGGTCTTCACAGACCAAGGTCACAAAAAGCACTTAACTATGTTTTTGGAGTTCCCCTTTTCCCATTTCCCTCTCCACACGATAATAACAGAAGCGAGACGCCAAACACTCTGGTACATAAAAGTCTCCCTCCATCACCAACCTTCATGACATTCACACCTACTGAACATGCTTTTAGTGGTAGGGGAAACCAAAGCAGCTGGAGGTAACCTACACAACACAGGGAGAACATGCAAACTCCACAAAGAAAGGCATTGTCTGGAATTGAAATCGAACTCAGAACCTTCTACCCACTGCACCACCATGCTGCCCAATAAAAGTGTATAGTCTAAATAAGTATAGTTGAGTAATAATGTATGAAAAGCTACAGTGTATATTGTTCATTTATGGTCACCTGAATCTAAAACTTGAATCCCAAGACGTTTCTTCTTTCCAATCTGCTACATCTTCAGTTTTGAGACTTAACTGGCAGCTATAAATATCTAGGGATGAAGAAGACAATCATTACGGTACAAAATACAATAAAATACAAAGCACAAAATTATAAAACATGAATGGGAGAGGTAGAAGCCACACCACTCTCAGAAGGCATAAAACTACAGTTAAAGAGGAATAGATACTACTCTATATGGATATTCTTAATTGTATATATATATAATTTTACTCATAATAAGAATAAAATAATGTTTTATGACGTATGAAGGTCAATCTCTGAACAAAGATTAGGAATGTAATCAAGAATCCTGTTCTTAATATTGTGTTCTGTAAGATGAACATTTTAATAAATCAAAAAAAGGTAGACCTACTTCTCCATTCAATATTAAATACTTTAGATATGTGAAAATAAAACCATAATTTAGTGTTAAAGAGTGATGGACCAAAGATTGAACCTTGAGGCACTCCACAGTTTATTGAATTAATATGTGATATGACGTTGCTCATACAAACACATAACCAATCATGTTCCAGATCAGCCGTCTAAAACTAGAATTAGCACTCAGATGTATTCCAATGTGGTTTTAACGCAAATGGCAAATAAATTAATCTGAACCTGAATCATTCTGAGATACAAAAGATTTGCAAACCCAAGATCGAACATTTTCTTTTTCAATCTTTTTTTCATTAAATGATTCTTTCCCAAACAATTGTATTAGCGCCCTCCATCTGGAATAGAACAGCAAAGTGTAATTTTGAATCCTTTTCTCTCTATGCAGATATTTCCAACGCGGTGCGATGGGCAGTTTGATTGTGGAGGGTGGAGGCTTTGAGGTCCTGATGAAATGTCCTTGATTGACGGCACAACTCAGTCTTCCCTGTCAACGCCTGCTCAGCTCGTGTCCTTAAACAGCAGCGCCTCTCCTCAATCCCTCCCATGGGGCCAACCCAGCCACCCAACACCACAGCTACAGGAGGAGTGGCCAAAGAATGACACTCGCCTCCTGGCTAACCTCTCTCTCCTGGGCCAACATGATGACTGTCATATGTCCCCCATCCTCACTGCCTTGCTCCTGGTGTGGTACTGCGTCACTTTGGTGCTGGGGCTGGTGGGGAACATTGGTCTCATTTGCATTATCTCGCGTTGTAGGGAAAAAGTCAATGTCACCAGTATTTTCATCTGTAATCTGTCATTCTCTGACATTCTGGTGTGTGTCTTCTGCCTTCCATTCACAGTCATATACACGATCATGGACCATTGGGTGTTTGGGGAGTTCATGTGTCGTCTAGTGCCGTTTATCCAGTGTGTATCCGTGACTGTGTCTGTGCTGTCCCTCGTCTTCATCGCTTTAGAAAGACATCAGCTCATTATTAACCCCTCTGGATGGAAGCCCAGTATTTCCCAGGCCTACATAGCAGTCATTCTCATCTGGATTCTGGCCTGCAGCACATCTTCCCCTTTTTTGGCCTTCCAGCTACTCAGTAAAGAACCCTACACTAATGTACCCATCCCAAAATCCTCACTGAGTCGACTTGCAGATTTGTCAGAAAATTACAATGCCTCTTTTAGCTACAAAAACACATCTGCACATTTGAATTCATTTCAGTACGCCTTTTCCCATGGCCATACAACGCTACATTTGGAGGCCTGTATGGAGCATTGGCCCTCCCCGAAACAAAGGCTGGCTTATACCACTTGGCTTTTGGTGTTTCAGTACTGCGGCCCTCTTTTGTTAGTACTGCTCTGTTATGTTCGCGTGTTTGTGCGCCTCAGACAACGTAAAGACATGCTGGACAGAGTGAGGGCCCCTGAAAACCAGAGGGTCACACATAGTCGTAGAATTAACATAATGCTGGTTGCCGTCATCACGGCCTTTGCTCTGTGCTGGCTGCCACTCACCATCTTCAATGTGCTCTCAGACTGGAAACAAGAGGCGCTCCCTGTGTGTCATCACAACCTGTTGTTCTCTCTCTGCCATCTGCTGGCCATGTCCTCCACTTGCATCAACCCCATCATTTACGGCTTCCTCAACTCCAACTTCAAGCAGGAGGTGAGAGATGTGATCTTGCGGTGCCGCTGGAGACCTGTGGAGGAGTCCGAGCATTACCCCATATCAACAGTGCAGATAGAAATGTCCCGTACCTCTGTGCCTCAGAACTGCAGGAGCAACTCAATGTAACTTTTACTCATCATGTTGAAATATAGTTTATATTGTTATGTTACAATGTGACTACTTGTGTAATGTTTTGTTCCTGTTTCTAAAAACAGTACTTTGTTAATTTAGTTAGATATGATTGCATAACATAAAGCAAAAACATACTTCGGTGTTTTAATCAAACTTCTATACTGTATTAGTTCATTATATTTTAGATATATTTATGGCAGCTTTGGTGTGAGTAAAAAGTGATGTAAAAGAAAAGAGTGAACTAGATTTTGAACTGTCAGACAACATGCCAATAAAAATAATTTTCTGTGGTAAAGTGTATTGTTGTGAATATGCTAATGTAGGAAGAAACATTACAATATGAAAGCAATTAAACAACACAGTGCAGTGCCATCATTTGAGCCCTGTGACCCGTGTCTCTGAATTTATCAAAAAGAAAATTGTCCCAAAAACGCTTTGTCCCAGTTTGTTTACAAGAAATTTCCCAGTTCTGAGCATTTCTAACAATAACAGTAGAAAAGGTTATATTTCAAACTCAGAACACTAAAATGTACACAATCTTTACAGAACTCATAAACTGACAGAGTGAACCGTGAAAGTTTGAAAAATGTCTCCCCTGGCCTACCACAATCTGGTTCATTAGTTTTTAAAATCGTGTCTATCTATGGGATTATCACGGAAGACATAACAAAGTAAAACGTCTTCACAAAAAAGGATGAGGATTGTTCCCATTTACAATTAAAGTCACACTCAGCAGATAAACGGCCGGGCCTCAGCTCCATAAAAGGGTCTAATTCCTTGTCTGAGAGAAAATTGGCGTGATGTAACTATATAGAATTTTGTGCGAATTAAAAAGACAGCAAAACCTGTTGAATAATATTCAATATTTTGAATCACATTTCCCAAACTTAAACTTACCTTGCTTGTTTCACTTACATTTTCGGAAGACTAAATATATATTTATTATTATTATTTTTCAAAGTGTAAAAAACAAAACGGAGGGGGTGCCGTTTCCCAGAATGCACCGCGATACAAACTGCTAGCGCGAACGATGCACGGAACGATTCATGGAGTCACTGGACTGTGCACAACTGTGATCAACGCCACGAAACAAACCCCCACGATCGTAAGGGCGTTTATACAACTCTTTCCCGAGTGTTTTAATTTGTGTACACTTGGCTTTCGTGTGCATATCCCAGAGTGCCTTGGGACCAGTCACTTTTTAGGGAAGTACTTGCTAACTGCGTTACTTGCAGCTTAGCATGTTTCAAGCACTAGTTAACAGCTAGGTTAGATAAACAGCGGATTTCGAGTTATTATTAAACAATGCCAGCCCCCTTTATCTTTTATTACACCATCATTAGAGTTTTTTTTTAACTATATGGTTTTCTGATTGAGAGTCCTTTGCCTTTGCTTGAACAGGCTTTTGGTTTATAGTTTGACAATGACAATATAATTTGCAGTTTCTATGCATGTCCTGTCATAATAAAATGAGTTTTTTGTGAATTCTCCTTTTTATTCTGTGTCTCTTGATTGTAGCTATCTAACCAAAGAGGCCCGTGATGGCCACCAACAAGGCATCTGTTCTGAAAGGTAACATTTATTATCGTGTTTTGATTTGGTATATGCCATCTATAATAATAACGGTATATGGATGTACTGTTATTGTAATCACTGACACAATGTGTACAGATGTCGTTGCTTATGTGGATGTGTGGTCATCAGACAAAACTGAAAACTTTTCAGAACCATTTATTCTTAAACTGGAAGAAATGGGGGCTCAGGTATTTCACGTGTTGTATTGTTTGTATATTTCCTTTGCTCTCGCTGTATAATAGTGGATGTTTTGCAGGTGAAAAAAAGATTTTCCAAACACGTCACCCATGTAATTTTTAGCTATGGGCATCCTGCCACGTGGAGGAATGCTAAAAAGGACAATGTGAAGCTTGTCTCAGTTTTGTGGGTCAACAGGTACATTTAAACCTATTAATAAGATAAGATAAGATAGACTTTATTGATCTCACAAAGGAGAAATGATTCTTTTTTACCTTGCCAGAATATTATTAACATTTACATCCTTTTCAGATGTTATGAAGAGGCAGAGAGAGTTAATGAGGATTTGTTTCCAGCTTTAAGTGAAACCAATCCAGCTTTATTAAATAAAAAAGTTAGTATAGTTACAAAATTGAAGTAATTATAGATATATTTTTACATGTAGCATAATGCAGTGTTTTGTGTTTTTTAGCATCGATGCATGCAGCCCAAAGATTCACCTGAAAGAACCCCCAACAGTGACAAACGTATGAAAAAAAAACTAGACAAAATGATGAAGAACGTCACTCCTTCAATGCCACTTTGTGAGTATTTCTCCTAAATACTAACATCACAAAACAAGTTTTTAATTGTTATATTTATGGTTTTCAATTATAGTTAAAGAGTTTTCACCAATTATTATTGATGAAGAGAGTGGAATTATTTACAGCCCAGCTTTTAAGAGGTCTGATTACATGGCTCGACGTTTAAAGGAAAGAAAAGAAGAAAATGATCATATTTCAGGTAAATGTGCCGGAAACTGTCTTTTTATTGATAGTGATAAGAGCATAACAAGAAGAATGATTACGAATGAGTATAATACTGTCTTGTTTTAGAATCTCAAATCAAATCGCCCTCTGACCGGAAACCTTCTCTTGGGAACTCGCCGACTGTCTTCAAATGTCCTTGTAAGCAAGTCACCTGCTCTTAAAAGTAACAATAATGATTAGTTATGTGTATAGACGCTTAATGTTATTTTCCATGCGTTCATATGCCTGAAGTTTCTACATTTCAAGTTTCAACCAATGTAAAATATTTAACTACACAGAAATGACAAATTCCAATGCTTCATTTGTGTATGTCATTACAGATAACCAGTCTGATGATGAAGCTGGTCCTTCTGTAGCCGAAACGGGGTCAGCAGCTGAATCTCCTGCTAAAGAAGAGGGAACATCATTGCCTGACATAAAGCAACATCATCACGAACAAGAGACAACTGAGCAGCTCCGCGTATCTTCCTGGAGTCATGGGTCACCGGAAAAGATCTCTGTGGAACTTACAAACGTAGAAGGAAAAAAGGATGAGGAGAATTTGTTAAGTTCAAGAGGGTCATCAAGAAGAATAACATTAAAACACATGGAATCCATAAAAGCAAATCTGTTCACTAATACTCCAGACACGACAGGCACATCTGACAGCAAGAAAAATAAGAAAGTCGGCAGGAGGTCTTCAATGAAATCTACTTCAAGTTCAAAAGGGAAGAAACCTTTAAGTAGTGAATGTACAAGCAAAAAGGGAAAGGGAATGACTAAGACAAACAATTCTTCCGAAGAAACCAAAACGTTGTCGCCTGAAAATGTGAATTATGCAACTAATCTTTTTACTACTGCTATTTCTACTCTCTCACTAGAAACTACCTCCCCAGAAGGGAATACGAACTCGAAACAGACCTCCCTTTGCTCTGCCTTGGTACAACCAGACAAATTATCCTGTGAAACACTCAAAAATGTTCTGTGTACTGCTGATGGCGATGATGACGTGTTTGAGGACTATTTTTCTCCTGCTAACCTCAATTTTAATAAAAAAAAGGCTCGTTCCATTGGCCCCATTGCAAAAACCGAGCAGTTTCCCTTTGAATTGGACTCTGGCTCCACAAAGGTAAAACCAAGAAGAAGTGACAGTGCTGTGAATGATATTAATATGAGCAAAAAGAAACAGAGCAAATTACATTTTAAAGACCTCCATACAAGGAATGCTTCTGAAGAGCTGACTGACTTGGCTGTTTCTGCTGAAAATTTAAAACCACTCACTAAAAAGAGGAGATACAGTGCGCTGCCATGCACCAGCATGAGTGCACCTTCCACCACGCAGCGAAAACAACCACCCCAGTGTGTCAAGCAAACAAAGTCAGAAGACACAGATGCTGCTTTGGAGTCACATGAAAAACCTGACTGCAGTCTTCGGAGTGACTCTGTGACCAGTGAGTAAGGCCCACTTGTTTATTCTTGAGTAAAATTCAAAGGCCGCTCATTTTTAGCTCATCAATGTGACATTGTCACTTTGATGAGGGGTTCATTGGCTGCTGTAAAGTATTTTTTTTAATGTTTCAACATATTGATACAAGGTTTTATGTGTTTTAACACACATCACATTGTAAACTAGCTATATGGCAATTGTTTCACTGATGTATGTTTAAAAAGACACGGTATGATTTAGTGGATAGTGACAGTTGAGGTTGCCAGAGCTTGTACTCCCTCTGACAGCTGCACTGTTTTTCTTTTTTAATGAAGGAAATGAAGATGCACTTGCCAGTGAGTTAACGCGGACTGAATGCACAAGTCTCCAGATGATGGCCCCCACAACAAGGGTACAGATTCATGTGCTTTCACACTTCTATTTCCTAAAGAATTTATTTAAAAAAAACACTATAATGTACTTAGCCTTTTTATAAGTCTTTTGATTGATTCTATCAGATCTGTTCTCCCCCTCCACCTGTGGAGGACCAAAACTCACCCGCCATGTATTTGAACTAATGTGGATAAAACGTTTTGTGTTAAATGAAATACATTAAGTCTGTGTCAGCCACTGTAAGTGAAGTTCTTGTTTTAAACTAGACAGTTAAGAACAATTGACCATACCACCATAAATGTGACTTGGAGTTGCATACTTATTAAACCTGTGTTTACATAAATTCCTTCCAGGTGCAATAAATATAATTCTTGGCTATAATGTTTGCAGAGCTGTATGTGATGATTTATGCAGTAGTAGGTTACTATGCCAACCAATAAATACAATTCTGCCGAGTCTCTCCAGATTGTGTGATAGTTGTATCATATGATGGCATACACATTTTAAACGTAATTACCAAGTTCGTATATGTGCTTGTAAGACTTTGAAAAGCATAATCTCAGAATAACTCGCAGTATAATTTCAATTGGCTGAAACTACTACTGGTTTCAAGACTATGGTCGTTCTCTCAAGTCCTGAATGTTTCCTGTGTTTTGAGTCAGTGATGTAATGTATCACTTCCTTTCTTCTGAAATGCACCTGGGGCTGATGTCTGTGACCTCATCATCAGGATTCTGTAAACAACAATATTTGTTTAATATCCCTCAGTTTTTCTTTATTGCTAAGGTGTGATGGACGCAAGCTTTCTATGAAGTTGGCTCAAATTCATGGTGAAAATATGGCCATCAAAAGGTTGTGCCAATTAGAGAGTGCAGTTGTGGAAAGCTGCGCTCTGTCGGTAGATTGTTTTGGCAGCGTTGTGTGAGCAGTGGGCCTTAACCTATGACTTCCAGCTGCTGGAGCAGATATGAACGTGTGGCAGGAAACTGAGCAACGGCGTGTTTACAGATGCTACTCAGCTGTTTGTATGCCGGGATGCAACCAAAGTCAGCTTTAGCCTCCGCTTTCACTGAAAACTATAATAATAGTGCAAAATTCATAAGGCAGGGTGCAAATGAGTATGTTTACTCTTGGGTCCAGTTGGAACTAATGATGATGATGATGATGCATCGGTTTTATATAGCGTTTTTTTGGACACTCAAAGACGCTTTACATGTCATTCATTCACTCCATACGCGGTGGTGATAAACTACTACTGTAGCCACAGCTGCCCTGGGGCACACTGACTAATGATTGGATTAGATAGATAGATAGAAACTTTATTGATAGAAACTTATTAGTTTTAGATTAGATTAGTTGTTTAAATGAGATATAATCTACGTTTGATGCAGAAGAACATGTTCTAAGTGATGCCACTTGGGGACATTGTAATAGATAATATTTAAAACACTTTTTTAATTAAATTGATAATTATAAATGGCCTTTTTTATTTTTAAAATCAATGCTTTGAGTCATAAAATCACATTTCGCTGCTCTTTCATGCGTCGGAGTCTGTAAATAGAGTGACAATCGATTAAATAGTTCATTATTGAAGCTGTGATCAATATATCACTGCATGAGATTTTTGTCATTGAAATTGCATGATCAATACGGGCATAATTGTGTTCAGTTCAACTTATCAGTGCAAACGGTTAAAGATGTTTTTATTCTATCTCAGCGAGTTCAGTTCAAATCAGAATCATTTTTATTGCCATGTAAGAAACAGGAAGTCACAGACTAGGAAATTGTTTTGGCTCAAAAATTAAATGTAAACCATAAAAAAAGAGCGCACTGAAGAGCCGTGGCGACCATGCACGGCGCCATCTTAGATGGAAATCAAAGCACACTTTTTCAAAATATTTTTTTGCTGGTATGTTTTAATGCTCTTTTTTTTGTCCTAATTTAATTAATTTAACATATTAGTGGAAATCTCTAACTTGTTTTTTTGTGTATTTGGATAAGGTGGAAAGAACACTGGTCATGACAAGTATGCCCACAGAGTAAGTGTTCTTCTTGGCATTTCTCGATACTGTCAATGTACACATTTTGCAATCCATTGATTGTGATTTACAGTTGATACGTGATATGTGGTATATAAAAGTATTTATTTTGTTTGTAGTAAACAGAGCATGGTGGTTCAGGTGGTCAAGGCGTTGGGTCAATTCACTCTCGTGGATGAAGTTTGTGCGAGTACGACTCATGTGGTGTCAGGCGGTCATCGGAGGACCTTGAATATCCTCTTGGGCATAGCTCGAGGCTGCTGGATTCTGTCTTATGAGTGGGTATGTCATTCAACAAGGCCAGACTCAAAGGCCGCACATCTTTTTAAGTTGACATTTTAATTTGATTTGTTTTTCTCAAAAATCAGATTCTTTGGAGCTTGGAGAAAAGGCATTGGATTCCAGAGGAGCCCTATGAACTCTCAGAGCAATTTCCTGCCGCACAGGTTTGCAAAACTGATTCCTTCAAGAAATGCTGAAAAGAAATATCCAATTACTAATTAATTATTATATAGTACTTAAAGCTGGGGTGCCTTATTTTCAAACTGATAAATGATTAAATAGAATCTATCATAATACCTACCAGTTCACAAATACTTCAAAAGAAAAAAAGGGCTAACCTGCCAGCAAATCATTTTTGCCACCAGCGCAACTTAAAAATGTTTTCAGACAGAAAATATATGTAGGAATAATCACTCTTGAGCACATCTCTGCCCAAAGTGTCACTTAGTGACTCAGTTGGCTCCTTATATATGAGTAAGCATTAGTTTTGCAAAATGTCAAATTTCTCAATGTAGAGCTGTCTAAAATAGGTAAGGTCAATTTAATCTATTTCTTAGATGAAACAAGTTAGGAACCCCAGCTTTAAACGTAGAGGGCAAGACAAACTAGCCTGGGTGCAGCCGAAACTTTAGCCCCATCTACATCATTTTCAATTGTGAGGAGGATTTGTCAGGCTAAAACAAACATGAACTGGACCATTTCTTTACGGTTATTTACAGTTTTTTTTATTGTATCTGATTCATGTCCTTTTCAATACATGCACACACTATTATGTTGGTGGCAGAGAAATTTTCATTAAGCGGCAAAACCGGTAGAGATCAACATTTAACAAAACATTGCTTGCCTATATTCTGCAAGCATAAATAGAATTTGACATTATAAACAACATTCTACAAAATGATTTCACATTCTTAAATAATTTAGATTTCTGTAATGGATCAATCAGTAGTAACTTCAGGCCTTCTCTGTACCATTTTCTCCATCCATCCAAGCAGCATATTTATTCCCATGGTATTTGGTGGAACACATGATATAATCTGTTGAAAACAAAAGACTTGGTCGTGTTCCAGTTCACAATAATGGTGAATGCTCTTTGTGTTGTCAGAGCGAATGTCTTTTATCCTTTGGCTGGTTTTGGTGTTTCATGGTGTCAGAGAGAGCTTGAGAAGTCAGCTGGTCTTATCATCATTGTTGTGGTTTTCAGTGAGTACCCAGAGCCTTTCCAGTAGTACCATTTGATTCCATTGAAGCGATTTGAGTTTTGCCCCTGCTGGTAGTACATCCCATTCAAATTGGAAGGTCCACAAGCATCAAACCACCAACCTTGAATAAACACAATCCAAAAGATTATAATAATTTATCTCTAACACCACAACATGATTCTATATACCTCTCACATGTTTCTGGGAGAATAGTTTACAATCAGTTAATAACACAACAAATATGATTTACTATTGCAAAGCTAATGTATTTACTTTTGTATGTACTAAGCAAAATTATATACTGTTTTAAAGTTGCTCCTTTTGAAGCTTTAGTGTTCATGTCGCTAAACAATTAAATATATTTTTTGATTTGAATGTATCGATAAACAATTAAGTCAATAGTTTTGGGCCAAATCAAAAACACAAAATGAATACTTTAATCAATTGCAGATCATAGCAATGGAAAACATTTTTGCTTCACTGTTACTGTATTCGGTGCACATTTTTGGGGGAATGCAAAATGAGACTTCAGATCTCAGGAGCAGAAAAGACAAGAGCTGTGTTCCCAGCTTCTTACTGTCAAATGAGTTTGGAGCTTAATTCTCAAGAGTTGAACAGTGATCAAGATAATTCTGACTGTGCCCATTGGCCAAATAACCTGTTTGAATACATTTTGAGAATATTGTTAGTATTTAGATGTGAGATGGTGGAAGCTTCTTGGCATTTCTGATGGTGTAATGTATTTTTCGTACAAAGTGTCTCTTACCTCCTGTTGTAAGTTGGGAACATTTGCAAACACACTTGTCGTTATCCGCGTCTTTCGTACTGAACTCACTTCCTGGTTGCCCAATGCTGCTTATTTTTCCTGCTGTTCCACTGTAGCCTTTTAACTGTATCCTGCAATATAACATAAGAGAAGGCACGGTGGTTCCTTGATTTAAACATGAACTACTTCTACTTGATGATTGCAGGTGTTGGTTTTCAGCTTGACTTACATAACCTCTTTAAATGTAATCATCAATAGCAAAATGATGTATGTGTAAACATGAGTTTTTTTGTGTGTGCGACCGCTCTCAGAAACTTTTAAGGGAAGAAAATGCATTCAAAACAGACTTCAAAGGCACCGTGTGTGATAAGAGCAAACATTTTTGCTGATGGGCTACTCTGTTCTTGCTTAATGCCACGTGACACTTATATATTATACACCGACAGGAACTAAAAACCTTTCCTTTGATGTTGGGAGCACTCACCTGAAGTTCTGAGCCTCACTCTCCAGCGAAAATTGGTCGTACTGTGAGAAGCCAGAGTTGCCTTCCCAGTCGTTCAGCTGAATTCTTAATTTGTACGAATGGGCATTTGTCAGTTTGTAAACAAAATCATTACCAAGCCAGTATTCATCAGACGGTTCTCCAAATCCCTGTCCAAAAATAAACAAAATTATAATAACTATATAAATAAGAGCCTGAACATTAACCTGCTTTTCAGATGTCTCTTTAAGTTGTGGAGAAAAGCGTATCCAAGGATTGACTTTTCTCCAAAAAAGAATTTGCGCTGACCTTTTTGTACTCTTGCCACGTACGGTGAAAGTCAACATGGCCATCAAAACGTTTTTGTATCACAGTCCAGCCTCCCCCATCTGTCTCCATGTCACAAAACACCTTCCAACACAATTTACATATGTTTACATGACCTCATACACAAAAGCTGCCAATAATATGAGGTATTTTTTCTTAACGTGAGATTATGCAGTATTTTTTCATAATCATAAACTTGCGGGGATGTTTCTGATTTTATTTTTCTTGAATGTTTAAAATCGTGAAGTTAAAACGATCTATACCAATGGATGATTAGAGTACCTTGCAGTCCTGTGGAACATTTTTAGTCATTTTTTTCAGGTTTTTCTGGAAGCACAGCATTTCACTCGAGCACTTCAGGATAATTTCCATTATCCTGAAGGGGTTTCTCACATGCACTGTTCAACTGTGGATCTAGGCCTTTCTACCATAACTGGCCGGCTCCATGAGAAGATTTAGGCATTTACATTCTAGTAAATGTTACAATAAAAAATGACAATTATTTTAAGAGGTGACAATTTGTAGTAGTAGTAGTAATCTTTATTTATATACCGCCTTTTCACTGCAGATCTGAGTCTCAAAGCGGTTTACAATTGTTAATTTTTTTGGGCATTTGTCTCTCACTCCACACAGAGATGGGAGCGGGGTCGCAAGTACAGGAGGCGCATGCCAGACTATTGGACATATTTTTAGTGGTAGAGGAAACCAGAGTACCCGGAGGAAACCTACGCAGACACGGGGAGAACATGCAAACTCCACTCAGAAAGGCCCTGGTCCGACCGGGATTCGAACCCAGGACCTTCTTGCTGAGACGCGAGAGTGCTATCCACTCAGCCACCGTGCCGCCCTATGAAAGATTTATTTGGTTAGATAAAAAGTAACTTTAGTTGTTGCCGATTTGTGGCATGCACCATCTTTGGTTATGATTTTACATTTTAGGTTTACTTTTGTTGTACGACTTTTGGGAGGTGTGCAGTTGAGGTTAGAATCTAGATCTTGGCATTCAACATTTAAGTTTGCATTACTGGATAACTGTCCCTAATTTCCAATAGGTCAGTGGACATGGATAAAAACAGTAGAAGTGGAAAAATAAACCAAAGGCCCCTGGAACAACTAGATAAGCTGCTTTGTCACTACTGGTAAATGCATTCACCTCAGCTTTGGCATCATGCAGTGGTTTACTCTCAGGCTAAATTAATCATGTTGAATATCAGGCTAAAAATCGTTTGAGTTTTGTCTCAGGAGGATTTTGAGTTCTCACCTTAACCTCCGTTGAGTCTGGGAAAGTCAAAGAGTAGACGCCACTTTGAGTATTGCCCGACTTAAAGACGGCAGCACAGTCTACATGTGTAGTTGGAAGGTCTTTCATCATGGCTGTTTTGGATTCTGAAAAGAGGTTTGAAGTTATTAAAGCCAAACATTTTTATTTTCTGTTTCGGACTGCACATTATTTGAATAAGAAAAGCATTAAGTGCATCAGAGAAGAATATTATTATATAAATATAAACATGAAATACACACATATATACAAGAAGTCACGTTCGTTGTTGTAAAAACTAATTCAATGGAGTATATTGTAAAGTGTATGAATGTAATTTCTAATTTTGTCTCCTGAAAATCCTGAAAATTACTTGCAATTATTGTAAGGTGACAAATTCTTCCTTTTTAATGCACAATTATTATTTATATTTTAATGATTTGTGTGATTATATTTCTTTGAGTGGTCTTGTGTGTGAACTATGCTACACAAATAAAGTTTCCTTGCCTTGCCATTATTTATAAATGTATCGATTTAAAGTCCCCTGTATCGAAGTATTGAATTGTGTCATGAGACTTGTCATTGCGACTGCTCTGAAAAACAAACAGCCCCATTGAGGATTCGAGGCTCTGACCACAGAATCATAAGGCAGTAGCAAGTCAGAAAAATTCTTACAACCAACCTGTGAATGTGCCCACGGTAATGGACTGAATGAGGCTGTTGACAGAGTCCACGAGTTGTTGCTGCTGGTTGTGGAGGGCAGTGTTGTTGGAGGACACTTTGAGGAGCTGCTGTTGGAGTTGTCCGATCACCGCAGTCTGTCTCAGCAGCAGAGCCTCCAGCTGCTGTTTCTCCTCTCGTAAAGTCTTCAGCTCCACCAGCCTCTGTCCCTCCATCTCCTCCACCCTCTTCTCCAGGTAACTACATCAAAGAGTGAGCAGGTGAGTGTAGCTCAACCCTAAAATTAACCGGAGAGCTGTACTGTAGTACCTGTTCTTGTCGCTGAGTTTACTGATCTCGTTGCTTTGGACTATAACCTGCTTTTCCAACTTGTTTGTTGAAAGTGCGTTTTCAAGTAGCTTCTTCTCAAGTCGAGTAGTTTGGCTAATTACCTAAAACAGACATAGTTGTACATATACAATAGTTTAAAAGTAAGTTGTGTTCAATAAAAAAGCGTTTTCCCAGACCAAACCAGCCATGGCTCTTTGGAATGTTATGTCACATGAACGCAACCTCTTAGAGGCTAAATTATTGTGTGTGCATTATTTATCAATAGATATATTGAATATGGTGGTAAATTATGATAAATACTTGTTGGTGGTAAAGGAAGCTGGAAGCTGAATAACAAATCAGTTGCAAATCAGCACAGAGAGGATAAAACACAAACAGATATTTGTTCTTTTAAAGTAATATTTCTCTTAAGAAGGAACATAGTTACTTGTAGACACCTGCCACAATTAGGACTCATAATTTCCATGCAGTCATTCTTTCAGTAAATCCTGGTCCTTGTTTCTTGTCAGTGGACATTAAGTGATGACATAGAAACTGCAGATAGAAAGTCAGATGTGACATGAAAAACCAAAATGAGGGAATGTTTTATTCCTTAAAGACCTTCAGCTGAACAAGGGGTCGGGACCTTGCTTTAAGTTCTTTGTTTAGAGGAACTGAACTCAGCAAAAAAGTGTTACTTTGTTTACATAGATCCTGGGTTTGTGTCTGTATCAGGGCTGGTGATGCCTTTGAACAGACGGATGTGTGATTGTGACAAACTGATAGACCCATTCTGTGGGAATACGGCCATGCTAATAACAGGAAATGCTGTACAGTTGGCTCACGTAAGGTCACGGGTGTGTAGCCACAATAATACCCTCACACCACACAGCATGTTTTTCACTGTGTTTTTCACATTGCCATTTGTTTAACAGAGGAAAGCCCCTTCGCAGAAAAGTGGATTTGAAAATATTTTTGTTCTGATGCTTTAAAAACAATGTTCTGTTATGTATTAACAGGTGCAGTGCCCTATATTTCCCCTTGTCGCAGTGTTTGTTCATGATTTTGTACTATATTGTGTAGCTTAGAAAATAGAAGCTCACCTGTGTCTCTACGTTGGTCAATTTCTTGGATTGTTCCACGGTTTGGCTCAGCAGACTGGCTCCTATTTCGATCATTGTGGCCGTTTGGTTTTGGACTGCCGTCTGCTGCATTTGAGCGATGTCATGTTTCAGACTGTCCTGTATGTAGTTCTCCAGCTGAAATGCAAATAACCATTTGTTTGGTTGGAATGAAAACCTGTAACCACTGATATAAGAGTACACCAGACTCCATTTTCTCAACTGAGTCCAGTCTTAACCTGAACATTTTGAGGAGCACTGATCTATAATATGGAAACCATTTTGATTCATTTTTGTGAACCTTTTATTTTTCGGCTGTTGACAGCGGAATGTCCAGAACATTATTTAAGACTTTTTGTAACTTTTGTAACTAACTACTGTATAATATGCACTATGTAGTGGAGTTCAGAGGAGTTCAGACGTGAGAGAAACACAAACGCAGGGTCTTTTATGCTAAAGCTCATGATTCATGAAGTACAATGAAATTATGTAGATCAGATTGATGTTTACTTTTCCTGAAAATCTGCAACTTTGCGTTGCCACTGTGGTTCAACCTTTTTTATGAATGAAAGGATTCAGATCAGAGTAAAGGTATTTCCGTCTTAGATGTGTTCCTGGGAGGCAGTCTGGTCACATGCCTCATAAACAGGATGAAGTGATGAGTGAGGAGTTACATCCTCGCTGCACAGTGACGCAGCCACGGACCACTGTCCAATTAGTGCTGTCATCTGGTTGTTTTATGTGAAGCTTTCCAAAACGTCATTATTTTTCTGTCTGTGATTCACCTATTGTGATTACTGCCTGTGTTTGTGCTTTTCCTGTTTGTTTGTGTTTGAACTATTAAAAGATGTTAGGGGCAGTGCTCCTGTTTACTCACTATTTTTAACCTTTTGTTGTTGCTGACTTTTCCAGCTTTATCGAGACATCTTTGTTTCTGTAGGACTATGAGTATACAAAACACATATTGTTGTTTATTATTGCCGGGGGGTTTGGATTGTGGTTTTTATTGCAATTATTTGTGCAGCCCAAGTGGATGCTATAGAAAACTGCACAAATCTATCTGCAATAGATTGTCTAGTTAATTATCCTCCATGGTTGTGTGCTGAGAGTGTACGTTTTCTTATTTAGACGGGCAAATTTCTATTTTTTGTTTGAATGCACTCTAGAAAGATGTTCCAATCTCTCTAGTTTCATTTTTTTTTTCTTTCTTTCACTTTGGTTTGATTTGTGAAGCGTGTCTTGTCTTTGTCTTGAGGTTTTGTGTTGTGAGAAGTGGCGTCAGGATCATGAAGAGAAGGTCCCCCCGAGTTCTTCTGTGGTGAAGCCGAGCATTTTGTCGATGCCAAAAAAAACGAGTGATGGTGCGGTGAGAACAGCTCTTCTTTATTTAGGAGTTTGCTCATTAATCACAAAGAAGGAGATGTTGAAAAGATATGTAACAAAAGCTGCATTTCATCTCCTGTGCACACCTGTGACCGTCCCTAACCGTCACTCAGCAAAACTATCTGCTCCTTTTGTGAAGAATAACACTGACATGGGTTTTGGTATGAAGCTTCTTTGAATTAGTTTTTTCTATTTATGGCTGGAGACTATTTCAATGACAAATAAAGCACATCACATTAATAATACGTTTATGTATTATGCAGTTTACATTTGAACCCAAATCTCTGCTACTATAAAAGAAAGAAGCACTGGAATAAATCAATAATTAAAATATAATAACTGCCCCATAATGTCTGATTGTGGTACTCCTCATCATCTTATTATGGTGGTACATTTACATCTGTAGTTCTATTAGTTGCATTTTAAACCCAATTTCAGACCATTTTTTAGGTTATCACAAAGAACTATTAAGGAATAGTGCAGTCCTATTTTACATGTGGTAGCCCTAAACTACCCTTTAAAAAGTCCTGATTTCTACCTTGTTTGGATTTGAGGGTACATTACTTGACTTCGACTATTATATTTCTCGACGCATATGGTTGGGGATCTTTTTTCTTTTTTTGCTGACATTTCCATGGTACTTGAGTGTAAATAAGTGTAAATATTCGAAACGATAGGTCAACCTCTGATATTTTAGCCAATGTTTCTATAGGTTTCTACAAGGTACATTTTGATAGTAGGTCATTGCTTCCCTCCTGCTCATAATGTAGACATGACTATTGGATGTCGAAGTGCTGTAAAAAATAATACTTTTTATGAGGCCACAGGTATTATACAAGCAAATATTGTGTCTAGTTTTGATTCTTGTATATTGATTTAATACCTGTTGAAAATATTGCATTGTCTAAAACGTGCTATAATTGACAAAAAACATAATTCCATATCATGAGTAGGGCTGCAGCTATCAATAAAGCCATTAATAATTACCTTTAGATAATCAAGTGATCTTTTAACTTATTTGCAACCTTATCTGTATATAATTTATAATATATATGACATCATTTTATTTCGATTCGTTTGACTAGATTAGTAGCTTCAGCCCTAATTGAGCAAACGATCTGCAACTTGGCAAATGGCACTCAGCAAGCATTTTAAATTGCAGGGCTTTTCTTTGCCATGTTCACAAGAAATTACATATTATTAAATACTGATAATTTGGACAATATTAAGATGAGCTTTTACCTTGAGAAGCCACTGCGTGTTGTTCTCCATGGTACCCTCCAGTTTCTGCAGCCGCTGGAAGGACTCGGTGATGTCCTCTGGCCCGTCCCGTTGTACCGGGTCGTTGTAGCTGCCCTGACAATTGTCCTGCTCTGGAAGAAGGAAGGTGTAGCTACAGGGCCCGTTCTGGATTTGATACTGCCTCTTACCAGCATCTAAACCGTTGTAGCTGGATCCTATGGTCGGGCACAAGCTTAATGTCAGCAGACTAATTAAAAGCATCATTTTTGTTTTGTCTTCTTTGAATGTATGAAGAGAAAATGTATTTGAAGTTCTATTCCAGGTCGGACTGAAGTTGTGTGTGGTCCGTAATAGTGTGAGGATTTGGAAGTAGCTGTGCTCTTTAGGTGACCGGTGCCAGACCGCATGTGGGAGCCTTTCATCAAGTCCTAGTGCAGACACTTTGTAAAGCTGCCCAGAGCCTCTTTGTGATTAGCCAGTGCATTGTCCCAGCCACGCCCCCCTCTGCGACCGGTCACTGAAGTGGACACAACATGACAAACAGTCCACACATTACATACACTGCCGAGTTGTATCCTCCAAGAGCCGAGTGTTTGTCCGCGTCACATTAAACTGGGCTCAGGATGCAGCTGTCCAACGCCAGTGCTCTCAGGGATTGTAAGCCAGTCATCCACAATTTCCCGGCGTACGCGCAAACAATTTTTCAACAACACAGGCCAATATCAGAGATTGACTGAGAAATAGCAAAGGAAGAATTGAATGGAACCCTTTTTTCTGCGTTCTTGGTTGTTCTGAGAGCTTGGGATTTGAAGTTCCGGAAATTGGAAGGACATGATGTAAATGGTTAATGTATTTGTACTCATAAAAGAAAACATTGTATATGGACTTAGAAAAGATGTATCCAGGACCAACTCAGCTTAAACAAATAACGCCAGAAAAATCTTTCAAGGGGGAATGGCTTGAAAAATAATCACATTTTTCAAACATGAAAAAATTCCAAAATACAATGATTATTTTGCTCCATTTCGACAAGCCCTACTCGGACTTAATCTATGTGGTTTGCGTCTCCATTACGCTTTAGGTTAGTATCTGGTACCGTATCCTAGCACTCTCTACCCACAACGAAACAGTGTCCGGGTAAATTCCTTGGTAGAAACCTTCTAGAACTCTGGCCAATCAGTTAAAACACTTAAGTATGTGATTGGCCTTTGTTCGAACCGGGGCTGAGAATGTACTATAGAAGTTCACGGCACCGGTTGGTAGGGCTGGTACTACTTTACCCCGCTCTCAATTGGGGTAGAGTAGAGCCAAGGAAAGTAGGGTAGGGCCAAACACGACTGGTGGAAACTGAGCTTTTGACACAGTTTCTAGTGTCATAATTAAGCGTGGATTTCAAATCTATTCAGCCCTTTTAAATACAGATGAGATCACTTGCATATAACATAGTTCAGACCTCATCTGAAAACCAAGAATATGAAATATTGATATGATCCGTACTGTACCCTTTCACCATGTCCAAAAACAGGGACAGCAGAAGGCCTTCGTTTTGTTTTTTAGTTGTTCGTTATTTCCCTGAAACATTTTGTTTTGTGTCCGATGGGCATTGATGTTGGGATCAAAAGGGATTTTTTTTTCAACAAAAACATTGCTCCTGTCAGTAATTTTGGATAACATAATATTATTAGATATCCTGTCTATAGGTTAAAAAAAAACTATTCAATTTTTATATGTTACCTGTACTAAGTTTCTGAAAAAAATATCTGTATAAACATTTTTCTTAGGGCATTGTTTTCAACAGTTCCTCAACTTTGAATGCATGGAGGCAAATAAAATTGTTTTGGATGGACTTAAATGCCTCATGTTTTTCTGTAACCCGTGTGCTTTGTACAGTATAATAGTGGGAAGCGAGCTGATGTAATATGTTTCTCTAAAAGGAAAATGAACATATTTAAGATGAATTGGAAAGGGGGAAAGCACAGCGGTTGTTCCAATAACACAATATTTCAGGTGTTCAACTTGAATCCGTTCACAGTTCTTGTTGTAGTGTTATTCAAAGGAAGGAACGGTGTATTTATAATCTATTTAAACATGTGACCCCCGGGAATGTTTCATAGATTCATTCAGTCTCTGAATTACTCAGACATTTATTTGTTTTCCTGTGTTGTCAAGAGTTCATGCTGCTGCCTCCTGTTCCAATGAATAACAAGTTGTTAATTCTTCAGTGTTACATGTAAACACTTTGTCTCATATACAAAATTACTCTAATATATGTACATATTTACATCAGGTTTTATTTTATTTTTTATTGAATATGTGAGTATTTTTGTCTTCCTCCTTTATTGGATATTTGTTTTGTTTTTACTCTTGTTTTATTCTTTATTACTATTATTTATGATCTGTCTTTTATTTATTTATTCTAACACAAGGGGAAGAAAGTGGGGTTAAAGGGAACAAATTGTCTTACTATGTTATGTAAACTGATGAAAACAACACAAAATAGAACGTCTAGATATTTTATATCGTTTTCCAAACAGGAAGTGGATAAGTTTGAGAAATGGGGCATGTTGGCAGATCATCAGATGTTTTGGAGATGGTCACACCGATGGGCAGGCGGATAAAGGTGGTTGATGAATGCTGGGTTTAGCAACGCTTCACAAAAATTATAGTGGAAGAGGACTAAAGCTGATTGGAAAATAAGATGGAACGAATGAAGCTGTCCTGAAATGCCAAGAATATCTCAGTCTGTGTGAAGTCTCTAATTAACCTGTGTAATTGACAACATCTGCGTCTTAGCAGTGCTGAACCATCCATGTGTGATGTACACCACCTCACTCTTTTCCTGATTTTCTTCTGGCCTCTTTCTCTCCCTATTCTGGTCATTATTTTCTTGTTTGAGCTGAAGATGGTGTAATGATTAACATCTTATTAACATCGACCTATTAATCATTTAATTTAATTAACTCAAAAGTACATACTATATCATATTTTTGCACATTGTAACCTTTTGTCCCTCACACTGTCTGCACTTAGATCTGCAGACTGCAGAGGCATCTGTCTGCTGGGGAGCACCAGCAGGACCTGTTCCAGGACCAGCCCACGATGTTTGTCTCCCAACTATCTCAGCCGCCGCCTCAGAGCCTGGTGCAGCTCATCGAGCTCTGTGGAGGAGCTGTGAGCAGAAGTGTGCGTCAAGCCGGCCTTTGTATCGGGAAGTACAGGGGCAGGAGGCCAGAAGGCAGCAGGGTGCTGTCAGAGAAATGGGTGCTTGGTAAGAAGTTGATCCCATTTGCAATTGAGTGGATAACGTGGATAAGCCAAAACATTGATTTCTTGTAATGCCTTTTTCTATTTGCTTTAGGTGAAATATCTTGAGTTATACGTTTGAGTAGTTTTAAAATACATAAAGTGTAAGCACTAATTCTAGCATTGAATTTTATATAACATGTGAAATATAGGCTCCAAAATAGACCTTTTTCTGATTATTGGGTTAGGACATCTCATGATGTTTGAGGTTCTATATTTATTATTTCATTCATTTATAAATAGTTTGGCCATAGAATTTTGTTTTGTTATCGTAAATTGGTTTAATACTGGCCATTATTTGGCCTTGGCAAATACTCATTATAACACAATTTTTCATCCTTATTTCTTGTATATTGTTTATTACTTGTGTAACCTATTAACTGCAGAATATTGTGGATTATTATTATATCCACAATATATAATATATCATTATAACATTATTTATGATTGGGCTCTTTTCTGTTTTTTTACAGACTGCATCACTCATTTGAAGCTGCTGCCTTATGATGGCTACATTTTGGATTAAAATAAGATGTGCCAGACAGTGATTATATATACAAGACCACTGGACATAGAAAACAAACTATATATAATATCCTTAATTATCGTTCTTGTGAAGGACATTTCTTCAATGCCCACTGCTTTCAAATGTGATTTTTAGTGATTTCTCTTTAATGTAAAATGATCTTTATACTGATGCCATGGAGTATCAATAAAAACTATGCATCTACAATCTGGTGTCATTATTCAGCCTTATTTTGAAGAAATATTTAAGGCAAATGTCAACACTATACTGTCAGTTTTGATTGAGCTGTTAAACTGGTCAAAATTTGACACTCGCGAGATAGCAAACTGGTAAGTGCTGATTTTACTGATAACTTGATTTTCATAGGGAAAAAGAAAGAAATTTAAGGATAAGCGTTTAATGATAGGAAAAAACAATTAACTTTCAAGCAACAAGCGTGCAAAGAAGACTGAAACTAATCCGCAATCTGTTTTCATAATGAGCAAGTGAGACGCTCGCCTCTTATTGGCTGTGCCCGTGATGCGTCCCTCGGCCAATCAGAGCTGAGCTTGTTGGAGTGTGGCTGCACCATGAGCTGCTGTGTGCGGGAGGAGGCGTGCATGACATTTCACTCAGCGGTAGCATTAGTTTGACAGTTCTAGGTGCGATTGAGAAACACTTTGTATGATTTGCCTTAACAGCAGTGCCGGTGAGGACTTGTGTGTTGACGCGTATTTGAAAGAGAACTTTAGTTAATAGAAGCATCTATGCAACTTACTTTTCGCCGACACGTTATTTGATGCTAAAGCACTTTTCAACTTGACTTGTATATACCTCGTTTATGTCGTGTTTGTTTTTATTGCTTGTCCTCAAGTAGTTCGCGTTTAGGGGTTTTATATGCGTCTCGCTGTTTGGTTGCAGCTCAAGACACTGTCCATCTGAATTGTTCACAAGGTTAAAATTAGCATTAGCTGTTAGCTTACCAATCTGCTTCTGCAGCTTTTTAGTTAGATGCTGACTTATCGGAGTATTTGTGCTTCAAATAGGCCAGGTGCAGTGTGGTACAGATAGGGCTTGGATTGCCGTGTTTGCAAAGTGCAGCTCTCGGATAAGTCCTGGATTCTTCAGATAAGGACTGCTGTGCTGGGGAACATGCTGCTCTCTCTGGTCGTACACACGTACTCTTTGCGGTACTGGTTTCCAGCTACGATCATGCTGGGCACAGCTCCAGCCTACCTGCTGTCATGGGGGGTCTGGCGCCTCGTATCCACCATCCTGCCCTCCAGAGTCTATCACACTTTAGATGACCGACTATATTGTATTTATCAAAGCATGGTCCTGTTCTTCTTTGAAAACTACACAGGTGTAGAGGTAAGCCACACACTGTCACATCCCTTTACACGTCCTATTCTACTGCAGATATCTGAACACATTGTAACTTAAAGCAAAGACAAACGTTAGATAGTGCAACAGTTGTGCAAAAGCACACAAGCTTGATGAACTGGTCCAGAAAAGCTAGATCTGTAACATTCCTTTGCACCACTCCTGAGTTAAAAATATTTTGTATGATTGGCCAGATATGGAGTGCATCTCCAAATATGTTCATTTGTTTGTTGTAGATTATAGTGTATGGAGATATACCAAAGAAAAAAGAAAATGTGATCTACCTTTCCAATCACCAATGTACAGGTACAACTGAAGGGTTACTAATTGTGTGTATGATTGTACAAACATAGTTCACAATCTCATAATGGTCTCTTATCAAAGCTGACTGGATCATTGCTGACATGTTGGCCATCAGACAGAGTGCCCTGGGTCATGTTCGGTATGTTCTTAAAGATGGACTGAAGTGGCTTCCACTGTATGGCTGGTATTTCTCTCAGGTAATGGAGCAGTAGGAATTAGACTGTCAAAGGTAGAATATTCTAAATAAATTGTAAATCGTTTTTTGACTAATTCCTTCAGCATGGTGGAATATATGTCAAACGCAGCTCAAAGTTCAATGAGGAGGCAATGAAGAAGAAGCTGCAGAGACAAACAAAAGCTGGAGCACCAGTAAGTTTCTTCCACTGATATTCAAAACGTCTCAAAAGATTCATAAGAATCTATTCTATTTGGTGTTTTATTTATTTTTTGCATTATAAGGAAGCATTGTCTTGGGCTATGGCCCCATACGGCAACCATCCTATTTGTTGTTTACTATTTGTATATATGGGGAAGGCTCAATGAGAGTAGCAGACTGTTCATAAACTTATGTTCCAACATAACAAAATGCAAACAGTGCAACATTTATCAGTTAATACATTTTGTGTTAAACTCTAGTGCCACTTTCACATTTTGATATGGTATTTGATCATTCAAAGGTTGGAAAATGACGTGTTTGGGACCTAGTTGGGAAATATGCAAAATCGTTCTTTCAGAGTTCAGTTCTTGCACAGTTAGATAATAATAATCAGGCAGTTTATAGTTTCCTGTCAACGAGTTCACAAAATTCCGTCAACGATGCAAACTCCAATCCTGCATTTCATGTTTTAATATATGCTTCACATGTCAAAAAACCGAAAAATCCCCAAATGTCTTTATTTATTTTGGATGTCGGTAACGAAAATGGAATGATCCAAAGGTACACGGTCCAGAAAGGCAGTTTTCATTAAATCATTAGAAAAGGCCACACCATCCTGTCTGTCTCATCGAGCTCTGAGATGATCACTTGAGCTCTTTAACTATGACCTCCTAACAATATCACAACAACATAAACTGATACAAACAACAAATTTGTGTTTTTTTATTTTTTTATTCTGAATTGCTTGGGATATCCTTAAGTGCCTATGAGTTGTTGCTTCTTCTGCAGATGTACCTCGTCATCTTCCCTGAAGGAACTCGTTATAATCCCGAGCTCAAGAATGTTATCGTTGACAGTCAGAGCTTTGCCCAAAAAGAAGGTAACACAACATTTGAATGTGGAGCCTTCCCATTCACCTTTACCAGCAAAAGACTTTTTATTATATTATTATTCATATTTTATGTATGAAGTGTTTTCTGCTGTTAAATAGGCTCGTTCATTCTGCATTTACTTTGTGGAGATTAAGTTTCTATCCAAAGCTGCAAATATCACCTTCCCCCATTAATCCAAATAAGTCACGAGATGGAATTATGCGCTCATGACATTATCTGTTTTTAGAGCGGTATTAGTGGCAGCAGTTGGTTCAGAGGCAACAGACTGAGATCTGGTCTCAGGACACTCTAACACAGTAACACATCATGCTGTCTTTTATCATATTTTTTGGGTTTCTAATTACGGTGTTGGATAGAGCCTTTTATGTTTTTGTCTCAAATATAAAATGAAATGTCCGCAGATTTCAGAATCATCATCCTAAACTATGACTTTTATTCTACTTTTTGAGCACAGAATTTATGCAGGGCAAGTGTATTTGTACAGGGCAAGGCCAACCAAAGTGCTTCACAAAATAAACATTCAAAAAAAAATTTAAATCTTTTTTAAAGTAGCAGTATGTAATATTTGCATTTCAAGTCATCATTAAATGGCCCCCATATCTCAAAAGGCGTTATTAAATCATGCTCTTTTCGAATACATATTTAACTGAAAACAGTAGTTCAGCCGAGATATTTGAATATCAAAATTACTTTTACGACCTGTAAAAGTTGTTATTGTTTTGATTTTGATGTCCTACCCTCCGCCGTTTTGCCAATCAGGAAGTGTCATGTAAGTCCGTGATCGGGTTGCCAGAACTCCACTCACTAATCTCAGTGGTAAAATAACATGTGGCGCAGAACTAAAAAAGGTCTTGTTATGACTCTCAAATCATTAATGACAAAACGAGGATTTATATCGGGACGCCTTTGAACAATTGAGACAGCTGATAAAAGTTTACGTGTGATGCAGAATTTGCTGGTTTGACTCAGTTCTTTAGAGTTATTCTTACCGCGGGAATCGGTGGTCTAGTGGTTAAACCCACGGGTTCGATTCCAGATTTAATTGCCTGTTATGACATTCTATGACCGATTGCTTTAAAAACGGTAAAAGACGAAGGTCAAGACGTTTTTTGCAGATCATAGTTTAATTGTAAAAAGAATAATTTAAGACCACATGTAACCCAATTAAAATAATTTTAGTCTCTTTTTGATATGGGAGTTATACATGTTTGTCTAAAAAATAGGGAATAAATAAAATTGAAAGGTGATATCCTCTGGAGCAAACCTTGATGTTGATACGCTGAAGAAATACGTTCCAACATCCATTCTTCCCACTCCTATTTTGGACATCAATTGCTTATAAATTTTGGATAATCTATAATTACATTGCTTTTATTTTGTTTTGTGTTTTTTATCTCAAATGTCCAAATAAAAATACAAAATTAAAAATTCATTCAACATTAGCATGCCTCATGGCAATGTGAATGGAGACAGACAAACAACTGATAAAATAATTCCCTGTGTTTGCTGCTGGATTTGGTGTGTATCTGGCAACATGAGTCAGGGAGAGTGGGAGAGGACTACAAAATATTGACTGTGACTGCAGTATCACTTTTGGCCAGATTTTGTCATATTGTTCCTTTTAAGTGTCTTTCAGTTGTATGGGGTGAGGTATCTTTTTATATTTTCTTCACCTCTGGTTTGCACTGTGTTCATACAATTCAACCAAATTGAACACCTTCACGTCCATCCATCCATTTTCATCCGCTTCATCCGTTGGCGGGGTCGCGGCACCTTCACGTATTAATTTAAATTATATTTATTAACAATAAATTCATTATTCATTTGAAACCACATAATTAAAAGTAAAATTGTGGAAATATGTTAGGTGTACCAGTGCAACCGTGCAATAGTGTTCCTCTATAGTTGTCACAACAAATTTAGATATGTTCAAAGTTTGATTGTTGTCCTAACTGGTCTTTTTCCCAAAGGACTCGCGGTTCTCAAACACACACTGACTCCACGGATGAGAGCGTCGCGTTTGGCTTTAGAGGCCATGCAGGGTCATCTGGACGCAGTCTATGACATCACTGTGGCTTATGAGGGAACTCTGGACAGCAATGGCCACAGAAAACCTGCTCCATCCATGCCAGGTAAAGGGGCTCTATTATGTGCTCTATGGGTTTTCCTATTGTTGCAGCTCACCATTATTTTACATTCATCACTTGTGCCAAATCATTTGCATTTTCTCCGGTGAAGCATAGTGACGATTGTTGTCACTGACACAAATACAGGGTGTTTGATAGTTTCTTATAGAACGAATAACAAACGTCACCAATCAGCAGCGTTCTTCCTGTTGATTGACCGTGTGTTTTGTTGTTTTTATTCCTCTTCCTGTGTCAATAAACACTGAGCAGGAAAAGAAAACTTCCCGTTGGTACACATCCATGTGTTTTCAACAAGACGAAAAGCATTCTTCCATCACGCACTTCCTGTACTGTTGTACAAAAACTTATATGGCGCTTTTCAGGAAACTCAAGATATGGAAAAATGTGTTTTTTTTTATTTTCCTCCAGGATTTAGCCTAAAATGTTTCATTACATTCTCATAGAAATCTCCAGTAGACTGTAGCTGTAATTGGTCACAATTACATTGTTAAATACTGTTTATTTTAATTATGTGACCCCTACATTGAGAATTTCTGGTCTAAAACATTTCTTAATGCTATTATAGACTGTACTGTTCTAGATTAATGCCCAACAATTAATTATTGAATAAATCTAAATATTGCTGAAACGGTAGACTATGGAATTATTCAATTTAATATTTAACTTCTCTGACTTCTCATTACATTTTGCTATGTGCATTTATTTATATATTTTTTTTATATGGACTTAACAATAACATTAGTGTGATGGCACATGTGCTAGTTTTCAACACTAGTCCAAAGGAGGCTTTTACAGATAAAATACATTTCAACTAGGGATGCACCAACACCACTTTTTTCAAAACCGATACAAGTACGTTATTTTAAGTACTTGCCGATACCGATACGTTTATGTGGGTATTGGTTACCGGTCTTCTGTCGAGTTGGTCTGCTCGTCGAGATGAGCTCCCTCAGCTGTTTATGATGTAATGCAAACCTGCGCTGCGCGTCTCACAGCACCCAAAGCAAACAAAGATGGCGTACATGTAGTCCGTTTATTGCTTTAAAAGTTAATATACGAACAAATTAAGACACGAATGTCACTTTTGATGCAATTTGAGGCGAGATGTTGATGGTTCCGTGTTGTGATATGTGGGTTTTAAGAGTACGAGTTTTGTGTAAAGTTTGTTCTAAGCAGTCCACTGCTCTTGTGAAACTACACTGCTGCTGTAACCCAAATCTGACTTGCGCATGCGCAAAAACCCGACAGAATGGGGAAAAACTTGATCTAATTAAATATTTTGTTTGAACACACCATTGTTAATCATGTTGAATACAGACGATACGATACATGCATTAAAATAAATGTATTATTTCCATCATGAACCCGACAGACCAGTCACCGGACGCGTCGTCTGCCTACGTCAGTAAAATGACGTATGCAGCAGTCAACTCAGGGACTGCTATCACACAGTAGCAGTGGACTGCTTAAAACAAACTTTACACAAAACAATATACAATAAACAATATACAATAAACAGACTACATGTCCGCCATCTTGGTTTGCTTCGGCTGCCGTGAGACGCGCATGCGCAGGTTTGCATTGCATCATTAACAGCTGACGGAGCTCATCTCGACGAGCAGATCAACTCGACAGAACACCGGTATCGGGTCCTACAGTATGGTATGAGAACAAGCCTATGGAATCGACTCGATATCAGTGCATCCCTATTTCAAACAATTACAGTAAAATTTGCAGGTGAGAACAACTCTATCTTAACCACTGATTGTGCTGTAATTTATCTGACTTGCTGTTCTGTTAATTGAGCTCATAAATTGAGTTCCACCAAGTTTCTGTCACCTAAGTGGAATGTTATTTATTACCATACAAAAGACTTTTCCTGTTTTTGTTTAGGCTTCATTTTTTTATGTTTGACAGAATTCCTGTGTAAAGAATGTCCCCGTGTCCACATTCACTTCAACCGAGTGGACATTAAGGAAGTTCCTCCAGAACCCATGTTTTTCCGCAGGTGGCTGCACCAGCGCTTTGAGCTCAAGGACCGGTAAGAGGCCGCTGGCATGATGTGGTAAACACTGAACATGTGGTGACCTGTGATAACATTTTGGCACTGATGTAGATTCGATTTGATCCTGTTGTTGTCCCAATTGGATAGTCCGGTATTAGTCATAAGCATTTGAGTTTTACCACACTGTCTTACAATAAGTCTGGTATAGAAGAACCAAATGACTTTATTCTACCAAGAAAAACGAGATGAATCTTCCTATTCATATATATAATATATATGTGTGTGTGTATATATGAATGAGAGAGCGAGACATCATTATTGGTCAAAAACAATTGATCAAATTTAATTAGAATGAGGTTTGTTTTTGTTTTTTTGATCTACTAATGTCTGCGTTGGTCATTAGGCTGCACTAATGACCTTTGTCTGTTAAGCAGGAGCTGCATTAATATTAGTCAGGGTCCAGAATCGAAACTATAAGATCCACCAGAGGGCAGTGGGGGAAGTTGTTTCTCTTAATGCTTAATAATACAATAATAATTTTGCCATTTCTAGTTTTGATATTGATACAACATTATAGTTCTTTGCAGGCTGATGAGAAAAAATGATTAATAGTGCAGTCAAGTGTCACTAATGTAGGAAAGAAGGCCCATGGTCCTCTTCACATGCATCTGAGGGACTACATTATTACGTTAGACTACAGTGTCACCTACAGATGAAACAGACTTATTTGTTTTAGGTTTGACTTTGAAAACAGTTATGTTTTTCCTCAAGGTTGCTGACGGACTTCTATGAATCGGAGAATGCAGACACAAAGTGCAGGTTTAAAGGCGCGGGCTGCCGCTCCCCTCTGAGCCTGTCCAAGACGTTTCCGTCAGTGGTGGTTCTGGGTGCGCTGACGCTGCCGCTGCTGTTGACGGCGCCCGGCAGGAGGCTGTATGTGAGAACCTGGGTGTGTGGGACGCTGCTCGGGTGGCTCTGGGTGAAAATCTTTCCTTAACAAATGGAACAGCTGCAGCTCCCACATTCACGCACAAAAGAGCAGAAGACGATGCAATTTTCTGTATCAGAACAGAGTGTGACGGTGTGGCACAGTGACTACACGCTCACACTGTCCCAGCCTTTTCTACCAACTGCTCTCTGCAACACTGCAGGCTTAAAGACACTGTCACAAAAAGGAAACCATGTCCCATTTAAACTAAATATTTAATGTATCTACTTATTAGTAACCCCAACTCAAAATGATATATCCTGCATGCTCTCATTGTCATAAATTATTGATTAGTGACAACAATTCTTAAATACTAGCTGCATTTAGGCTCCAACTATTAAAATGAAACAGTGCCAAGTACTTTGACCATGACCTACTCATGGTCAGAATTGTCTGACGTACAACACACCAGCCTGTTTTCAATGTATCATAAATTAAGTGCACTGACTTATTGATATCAGTCCATGTCTTATTCTTGTTTGTCACAGGGATTATGCACTTTGCTTTATTAAAGGTGGAATGTTACTTCAATTAGAGCTATTTGTTTGAGAACTTGTATTTTTTATCATGAAGATATATTTTGCTCTTACATAATCGACAAGGATGTCTTTGTCTTGATGACATTGACGGCCAAACATTGCACCTTTTTTAACCTGACATTTGACTTGCTCTCCTCTGTAGAAGTTCCCCAAGCCCCAGCTGCTTTATTTACCATGTAAATTACATTATCTAATGTATTTAAAGATGTTACTAATGTGCTGTATGTTATGTGTAAGCCACTCATGGGGAACCCAGCTGCAAGTGTAACACACTGAACTTTTATGGAGGAAAGCATGTTCTATGTGGATAAAGTAGCTTTACTTTAAACCATTAATCATGGGAGTGTTTGCCACATTATTATGCGCTTTTTGATTTGCCATTTAGACTAAAAGTATTTAAATATATGTATTTTATATACATATTGGTGCCGGTTAAACCAGTTATATACATTCACAATGCTTATTTCTCACTAAATATCTACCTATCTGATGAAGCCATGTGAACGATCTGTCACAGGTTCCTGTGCGCTCAAAGCCATATGGTATTACCGTTTCATACATTCTTGTTTACTGTTTTTTCACATGTCACTTTAAATTGGTCTTGTCCTATAGAGTTTAAGCTTATTTTCCTCTTGTGTGTGTATGTCATTTTTTACATGTAGCTACAATACCTCACTGAAAGAATATCCTTGTCAAACCATTTTACAGGCATTTTTAACTTCAAATCTGACTAGCTTGTCAGGAAACTGCAGACTGTGCAATGCCAACTGCTGTAAACGTGCCTTCTCTTTGGAGGAGTGTGTCCTCGGTCCTTTCTCAGATAAACAGTGACTGCAGAATGCTTTATAGTGGTTTATTTTTTTCTCTTTTTTTCAAATGTTTTGGCTCTGGTCCAATTTGGAACGTTTCAAACTGGACGTTTTGGTAAAGATGCCGAATGATAATAAAGTTTTGATTTGTTTTTAAGATCAGTGCCTTTTTCTTGAGTTCACCGTTTCTCTCTTGTGGTGAGCTGCACATAAGTTCCAGAGGTTCTCCTCTGGTCCTGACACTACGAGTCTTTGTTTTGAAAAAGTACAGACATGGGAGGAGGAGCATGTTCATGAAGAACTTTAAGAAGAATACTGGTATTTTATGTCTTATTTATGGAATAAAAGGGGTTTTCTATCAAAGACTTTTTTTTGTAGAGTGATTAATTTGTTTTGAGAGTTCGAGCAGAGGGGGAAAAAACCTGAAATATAAAGATGTGTTTGTCAAGTGTTGTTTATCTTAGTTTGGGTATGTTTAAACTGCTTGTCCCATTGCCAAAGCAAAAAAGAATGGTTTACCTATTTTGTCGCTTTTGCAGTATATTCCGCAGGTTCAAACAGGAAGAAAATTAAGTGTATGAAACCCTACTATTGACAAGAGTCGTCCACTTTGACAACATCTGGCCAAGTTTGTTTAGCATTTTAAAGAACAAAGTTATTAGAGTATAGCTTATAATAACTTGTTATTAGTAAATGCAGGAGCTCCGGCCTCTGACGGTGAAATTGCTTAAAATGTTTGACATGACACTAAGACGCTGTATGAACTCGTGAACTGACCTCAGAGTTCTGAAGACCTTTCTTCAGAATGTAACACATACTATTGTACGTATAACAAAATCTGCATGAACCTTTAGTTTTGAGTGTTAGAAATAACAGGTTCTCTAAAAATATCAGTGGGTCATCTATTTTCCCTGCATGATTATCTACATATATAAGCTTTATTACAAAATGCATATACAGTCTGAGGAACATACCTTTTGGAAAAGAGAAAAATCTTGATGTCTTTACGGGTTGTTCCAACTTCCCAGTTTGGAGGAGCCACCTAAGTGGAAAATTATTGGGCATAGTGTGGTGTGCAATAATATAACTTACCTCAGAGTAGCCTCTGTTGCTTGTTAACCAGTCATAGAGATCACTTTGGTGAACTGGTGATTACAGAACAATTCGTCCACAGGTTTGGGCATAAAATGTTCTCTAATCTTATTTCTAAATCAGAAAAAAGTGAATTATGAATTTGTTATGCCAATTGTCAAATAGGAATAATAACACACAATGTACCTCTGAAAATTACAATATCTTTGCAAGATAAAGTTCAACGTTGCACCCTGACCTGTTGGCTGCTGTCTGAGGAAAAACTCAAACCATCATCTAAAAAGCTAAATGTAATATATGTGTTTAATCTCCATATTGTACAATGGACATTGGGTCATTTGATATAAGTGGTAAATGGTTTCTGTGTGGAGTTTGTATGTTCTCCCCGTGTCTTCATGGGTTTCCTCTGGGTGCTCCGGTATCCCCTACCATCTAAACATGTACAATAGGTCTAGGTACCATCATATGAAGAAGCAGGCCCTATGAGAAACTCTCCATGGATCCAGACCGTGACCTGTGAATAGACTAGGACGGAAATTAATATTTATTTTTATCATCTCTTACTCGGTTGATTAGTCTTTTGATTATTCAACTAGTTGTTTTTGATCCCATAGGTCAGTGTGCAAGGGATTCTTTATACGTTTGTTTGACATAGTGATGGCTTGTCACAGCCTGGGTTGTTTGAATAAAAATACATAAGATTTATCTGAGTAAAAAAACCTCAATCTTAATTTCTATAAAATGTTCAAAATGAATCATAAAATTAGTTGAAAACAATTTCAATAACCAAAAGAGTAGTCTTCAAAGATAAATCCAGTGTGACCTTGTTCTTACGGGGAGCTTGGCATCAGGGCCTCCATCTGCAGCAGCGTGTGGACAGCCCTCTGAAATGTCTGGACTTCTACTTTGACGTAGCGTACAATTCTACAACATCACTATTACACTGAATGGACCTTCAGTAAAGAAAATACATGATTACTTTGTCTGAACGTGTGTGGTTCTGTAGATGATGTAGTCTGTGCTTTACATGTGTGGTTGTTATGTGGCATCTTTCACTCCATCCCATTTTTCCATAGGCTGAGGTTCAACCAGTTTCTGAGCAGGACCGACAGGCAGAGCCGGGCCGACACCCAAAAACAATTGTATCAGTCTCTTTCACAGTCTTGAAGCTGTCTCTCAGGCTGCCCAGGCTTGTCTCAACAACAGGAGCTGGAGGAGGAGATTAGGTGATCAGTTTCATGGTCATTTCATGGATAATAATTTGCATGTCAACCTCCAAGCTTCAGCAACACTCAGTGCATTGATTGTGAGGGTTTGGATTATATGCTGTAAAGAAATGATCATACGCATTAAAACGCACTGATTAACTATGACACAATGTTCCAACAAATCAATCAAAATGTAGCCAGTGCCAAATCAGCATAAATCTAGGAACCTCTCTCCTGTGACCTGTAGAGGGCGACATTAGACACCTGTGGTACTTCACTTTTGCTTATGGTCAAATGTTCAAATAATCAGACTTAGGACTTTTCAAACCAGGAATCTAACTTATCTTAATAAATAATCTTGTCCCAGTTAAATAGTTTGCGAACAAATTAGAATGTTTTTATTAGACTAAAAAACACATTTTCTTTTGATAACCTGTAAGAAAGAGAGTGTGACACCAAGAGCTGAAGTTAGTCTTCAATTTTTCTCTCTTCTGTCTGGATGGAGGCCAACAATACATGTGAAAACTAATGATAGACCCAAACTTACGAGGGTTCGTGTTGTGGTCTGAAAATTGAGTATCCCGAGTTTAACTGGAACCAGCAATAGTAAACACAAAATAGAGCCAATCAGAGGATAAATACATTCCTCTTTCTATTACTAGACTCTATCAAGTGATTATAGATGAATTTCAGGTATCTATTTTCCTAGCTATGATTTAAAAAAAAAAATACAAAAAAATAGTGGCTATACCTATTCATATTTCCACTGTAAATTCCTGCTGTAAAGTAGTAGTGTGGCGTATTCTCTAACTCTAGGGGGCAGAAAAGCACTGCTCTGTTGAGTGCGACCCACGATTAAACTACAGGAAGTAAACAGCTCAACTAAACCAGAGGTATTCCCATTCCCTGATCAATAAAAGTCATCGATACGCTTTTAGACACATATTTCATTTGTCAAGAAGATTACGGCAGGTGTGTAATCTCTTTTATATAATATCAACGCTAACTATAATAATTGTATTTCTGCTACAATGTCTATTTTAGCTGCTATTTCTGTTTTCCATGTTCCCATTCAAGCAGTGATGGCGGTGGACTGGATAGGATTCACTTATGCTGCTGCCATTGCCTTTGGAGGTTTTATGGGATACAAGAGAAAAGGTGTGACTTTTATGTGCCTTTAATGTGCTCAAATGTGAATATGATGATGATCAGCCATAAGGTGTTGTATGATTTACAGGAAGTGTCATGTCCCTGATGGCTGGCCTGGTGTTTGGTGGACTGTCAGCGTTTGGTGCCTACAGCCTCTCAAATGACCCCAAAGATATCAAGATACTTCTGAGTTAATAACACCAAGAACTTCAACAGCAATATTTTTCTATTGCACATTATAACCCACTTGTTATTGTGTTAGTGTCTTCTGGGCTGTTGTCACTCGTGATGGGAATGAGATACAAGAAATCTGGTAAAGTCATGCCTGCAGGTGCTATGGCAGGGCTAAGGTCAGGCTTCCGATCTTGGCATAAATGCTGTATAAAGATGCTAAATCCATAACAATGTTTTCTATTTATTTTGCAGTTTATTGATGGTGTTTCGATTGCTACTTCTTATCGTCACGTGATCTGAAAAACTAGGGAAAAGGTGGCACCACTAAACCATTCCAACAGTATTGTTTCCTAATCCGTGACAGAACTGCAAACCTTTACTTTCAGTCCAGTCATTATAATTTAGAAATGTTGTATAATTTATATTTGTTCATGGGAAAATGTGAAATAAATGACTTGTGAAAATACAACGGACACTGGTAAAATCACTGCTTTAATATTATTGTGATGTCACAGTTTATTATGCGAAACCAAGCACTTGCATTGCATTTTTCACATAGGCCTCATTAGGTTGTGGCTTCCTCTTGCCGCCTGGTGCCATAAACTTTTTAACGGTGTCAAGGGAGGACATCTTCCCTTGAAAAGTCTGAAACAAAGAAGTGTGTCAACCCTTTAGCAAGCTATAAAAAGGTAAATGATGACGACTAGTACCTTGATGCAGGTGAAATCTTTGAGAATGTCTGGAAATTTCTCCTCCAACATCAGAGTGCATTCAAACAGCAGCACATCAGCGTACGACTGGCTGCCTCCAACCAAGTGCATTGATCCTTTCAGCGCCTTTGATTTTGCATTGAAAAGTAAATCATATTTATGGTGGATATGCCTGAATGATTTTGAATACCTCTTCAAACACAGGAAGGTAGCGGGTAAGAGCCTTCTGTTCAATGTTCTCAAGTTTGGATTTGGGGTCTGGAGTAAATGGCAGTATCATTATCATCTCCATAAGATCCATTGTTCCCTCTGCATACATGTTGATCCTGCATCAAGGATTAGTTAAACAAAAGTAGCCTGTAATAATATCTACGTTTCCATTCCTTTTGAATGTGCATTTTGATGAAAGGAGATCCCACCCATATAAACCCATCAAAATATGAGATCAAAACATCGCTGTGCTGAATCCACAAAAAGTAAAAACTAATAATGCTGCTCAACCAATGAGTATAAAAAGTAACCGGAAAGCGTAGAGTTAGTACGCTTGAGAAGTGTCCAAATTTTGCAGTTGCATTCTCTTGTTTGGGGGTTAAATGTTTGTATATCAATTAAACAGGACCCCCCTCTTGCCAAATATTCAGATTGTGTTTGTGATTCACATAAACTAATTTATTTACTAATTTAAATATTTGCCATATAATAAATGGAGTAATAACAGAAAGAAAAGACACTCCGACCTCTGGAGAGGTGTAATTGCAGCACCGGGACACGTATCCAGGTAACATCACCCAAACAAGCGCACCATGACACAAATATTATTCGCTTTTTTGATACGCATTTACAAGAATGGAAACGCTGTAATACAAGTGAAAGTTCATACATGGCTTTCTCTTTGAGGTTTTTTCCCATTAAATTGTACTTCTCTGCAATGTAATGCAATATTGCCCTGGTTTGAACAAGTTTCATGCCATCGATTTCAACAAGAGGGACCTGCTGAAACTTGAGCGCTCCACCTGTGAAGAACATACAACAGGTGATGGGTGCGGCTTGATGCACGATCTGCCGAGTCATCCCATGTCTGCAAAAATGAATGAACTGAGGATAGAGTGCACACTGTGACTCACCATCCAGAAGTTTTAGATATTGATCGCGGGATGTAAGAAAAACTTCCTCAAACTGTAGAAAAACAAAATAATTAAAAACATTAGTTTGAGCATTAATGGTGAGAAATTTAAAGTAAATAGAAATTATATATATATATTTTTTTTTTTACAAAAAACTCACGTCAACGTCTGCCACGGCCAGAACCCAGCGAATAGATTCCATTCTACCCCTTCCATTGAAGTAAGTCAGCACAGGCTTACTCATGTTTTCAATAGTATTATGATCAGAATAAGACAGAATCCTGCAACAACAGAGAATGCAATGAGGGTTATGCACAACAAAGGCGTTACTGTACCAAGTTTAGAGGATCGTGGCGCGACCTTTTCGACGTCCCAGCAAAATACGTCAAGAAAAAACTTCAGCCTGCGCGACTTTATGAAGGGAGTCAACGGCTTTTCATTGGTTGGTGATGAAACCTCATTATCATATTTTACCGCAGAGCACTCTGGGAAACACCATGAGCGAAACCGATAAACATAAGTACCTGTATATATACTTTCTACATCACGTATATTATATGGATGTGAGGGCGATCTGGCTGCGACATCTGTCACCCCATCGATCGCTAGGGTTGATTCGGCTGATCTGGCTGGCTAGGCGGGTGTCCCCTTCCTCCCTCACCGCTCCATGTCTGTCCCTCCCGATGCTCCGCGCTCGGTGGAAGAGGACGCGCTCCCCCCGGCGGACGAGCACCATCGTCGGTATACCAGTAGCTGCGCTCCCCTGCTAGAACCTCCAAACAAGCTCAAGGCCCATTTGTAGGAGAAACGTAGGGAAGTCAAGCTCCAAGCTTCAGACACATCCAAATACGGCGCTGCACGTGGCAGTCTGCCTTCCTTTTTCTACTTTGGATATAATTAATTTTTTTTAAATCCAGTATACTCAGGTCCCCTAAATGAATTCCAGACACAAAAAAGTAAATATTCTTTTTACTTTACTTTTGACTTGCTTTATTGTTAAGCTGCATAAAATATGTAACAAAAAATAGTGTAGCCACGATAATAGCTCAGTGCAAAACAAATTCATAGGCCCTTTTCATTGGCTGTATTTCGAAATGTATGGCAATACCGTAATTGGCTTTATGCTATAACAGGACTGACACCAAAATAAATACATACATTTTCCAGTTGACAAGGCTACCATTATATAAAAAACACAATTTTAATTCAATATAAAAAATATATTTTACAGTAACAGAACTTTAGCCAAAACATGTCATATTTTCCTCAAGATAAAATGCATATTAATCAGTATTGTTTTGGTGCAACATTCAGTGACAACTGTAATACAAAATATCCACATTTAACAGAAGCAAAATTTTCCCCCCTTTTTACAATAGTTTAGAATTAGAAGAAAAACACACTTGGAGGGCAATAAGGATCAAGTATTTTTGCTGGTTGCATTCTCATACACAGAAAGTTCCTTTATATTATAAGTTACAACATCCACAGTACATATAATGACACAGATTTATTGCTGTGCTAAGATGCATGTACACAAATTCTCTAAACCTACTCTTTGGAAGTGAGGTTTTTTCAGCGGTGCCATGTTTACAGGTGGTGTAGAGGCCACTAGCGGTGTCCGTATTTGGCGGACCAGTCAGTGCGCCCGTGGATGGACTGGACTGGTGGACGAGGCAGTGTACCCAGTGTGCTCTTGGATGGCAATGAGATGTTACTGTTTATCTGACTGCGCCCAGACCGCCAAGTTGCATAATCTAGGATAAAAGTCACACCACGTATGAACACAACTGAAGTGTCAAAAATTGTTAGAGCTGAAATAAAATCCTCACTTGATGCTGTTGATTCATTAAATGAACAATGAGGCCTTCTTTGACCTGCAGAACTGGTGTCTTTTTTGTAAAAAGTAGGCAAATATCCTTCTGATATTGTGTTTGTACCTACAACAGAAGAAACATGAATTAAAGCCAAATGACAGATGCGATCGATGGAGGACACTAGTAATAATGCATCGTTTTTATAAAGCGCTTTTTTGGACACTCAAGACGCTTTACATGTCATTATTCTTTCACCCCATACACGGTGGTGATAAACTACTACTGTAGCCACAGCTGCCCTGGGGCACACTGACAGAAGCGAGGCAACAGTATGTGCCATCGGCCCCTCCGACCACCACCAACCATTCTCACACACACCAGACTCATTCTAGGCAATGGGGGTAAAGTGTCTTGCCTAAGGACACAACGGCAGTTTGGCACTTTACAGCCGCAGCCGCTCCACTGTGGCTGGTGTTCCCAGAGATTAAGTGTCTTGCCAAGGACACAACGACAGCAGACAGTGGGAGTCGATGGTGACAGTCGGGCTCGAACCCACGACCCTCTGGCTCAAAGGCCAATGCTCTTAGTAGTTAAGAAGTCCTGTATGAAATTAAGACTGTTATAGTACTTCAAATGTTATATTGTTGTGTCCAGCGTCTCAACGCACATATGTTGGTCATTAGGCCCGACTCCATCAAACAAAACCTGTCAGAGACAGTTTTAATGATTATAATTTATAATTATATAATCAAAAGGTAGCCATTATAAAATGGCTACCTTTGGCGGCAGTGTCACACCAACATGACATTTTATTGAAAATTAAAATTATATATTTTCATTCTCACACGGGACTATGTTAATTCAACAACATTTTAAGCTTTTAGAAATAACACAGTAGAAAAAGAAAAAGTATGAGGGTATGAATTTCCACTACAGAAAATGGCAAAGGGAGGAAAATAATAAGAATAACTATTTTTCTCTATTACTTTCTATCCCAGACTTGTGCCTTAAATATGTTGTGCTCTTGTAAAAAGGAAATATTTTTTCACAAGTCTGCCGTTTGTCTGATGTACATTTTTGAGATTTAAAAATGTATTTACAGTCTGCTATGGAGCTGCTACAGAGCTGTATTGCAATATTTATTCTCAGTACCTGCTGTCAATCTTAGAGTTCACTACTTATAGACACACTTCACACGGTATTAGTCATTCACTCGGTAGTAAACGACTACTGAAGTCACGGCAGGTCTGGCTAAGGATTTGGGTGAGGGAAAAAAACTATTTGCATATTCTCTGAACAACAATTCTGCCAGGGAATGTAAACTTTAAAACACAACTGCATGTCATGTTAAGTTTGTTTTTAAAATTTTCTCACAAACTACCGCTTGATAGAATATTGAACTGTCTCTTACCATGAGCACCTCTGCTTGGTAAGGTGCCTCCAAATGGAATTGCACTGTTTCCCCAAAGATGGCTGCTACTACTCATGTCTTTAGTTGCATTTAATGTGACATTCTTTTTTGTAGCAATTCCTTAAAAAGGACAATAGAAACAATGAAAAGTGCTATGAAATGTGTTATGTGTAATTTCATACAATTATTAGTCATAGTTTATATTATTATAAATAGTTTTAAATCAATTAGTGAATTAAATACCAGGTAAATATCTTGACTGTCTCAGGTAATGCTGTTTGGCAGAGGCTGTTCTTGAAGGTTCCTGGTAATTTGAGGTTTTGTTCAAATTCAAAGGACCGTCATCTTGCACTTTTGGACGACTGTAATCCAGCGCATTACCATATCTAAAAAAAAAATACATTCTTCAATTACAAATCATAGTCACTGAAATATTAGCGAGTCTTCAAAGTGTCACCTGGGCAAGGGGCCATCTCTGTGTCGATCGTTATCTGTGGAGAAGTTTGATTTTCCAAGAACACTTAAAGACAAGTCATTGTCTTCACAGTCCTCCCACTCATCCCCTTTATACCCTGTGCCATGGCCCCATCTGCGACGGCCCCCTTTGGACTTAAGATGAAGGCTTGGCATGTTTGTGTTCTCAGACGGCTCCCTTGTCTGTACACATACATGTAATTAATGCAGAGCCAATGACATGAGTGAAAGTACTATATAAAAGTACAAGTCTCACCTTAGTCTGAAGACAGGTGTCCACAATGAAAGGGAGGTGGCTTTGTGCTGTGGCCGGTGTCTCTGCTTTGAGGATGTGCTTGGGCTGCTCTCGGGACAGGTCTGTGTGCCGCTGGTAGATTGCGGCCTGAGCAGCAGCAGAGACCGGGGAGGGCTGAATCGGCTGCAGTGGTCTGGAGAAGTGCTGGTTTGGAGGCGGCTGTGAGGGGGGCACAGGCTTCAGGAGAAGGGGCTGCTGTTGCATCACGTGGGCCTGTATTGGGGCCTGCATTGGCACATGGGTTGGCTGTGGTCTACCCTGCTCGAGGATTTGTTGAGGAGTGCCCAAAGCCTGGCCCACGTGAAAATAGGAATACCTGAGAGCCTTGAGCACAGACCACATCCATAAAAAAAAAAAAAGTTTCCAAATGCATTTGAGTCATTGTAAAGTAATAGAAACCTGTGCTGATGCCGGCCTCTTCTTTGGGTCCCATTGCAGAAAATCTGTCATTAAGTGTATGGCCTCTGGACTGGCATTGGGAATGAGTGTTTTCAAACTGCTGGGAACACACTGAGGCCAACGGAAATTCATGCCATTTGCCAGAAGATACCCTTCAGGCCAATCATTCTAAAAAAAAAAACAACAACAACAATCCGTCATTAAATGGAAACAAAGACACCAGAATATAAACCACATACCTTCTTTGGTGTACCCAAGACTTGGCATATCTTAAAAATGGTGTCTACTTCACTAGAACCCGGAAAAAGAGGGCGAAGTGTATACAGCTCAGCCATAATGCAACCAACTGCCCACTGGTCGATAGGCGAGCTATAAGATGTTGATCTGAGGAGCACTTCAGGAGCCCTGTACCTGAAGTACAAATACTTTGAGATTCAATTTGAGTGCTTCAAAGTGACTTTGAGAAAAAAAACTCACCACCGCGTTGATACATAATCAGTGTATGGAGGGCGAGAACGAATCTCCCGCGCAAGACCAAAGTCTGCAATTTTTACCAACTCTGGGCCCATACACAGCAGATTCTCAGGTTTCATGTCTCGGTGGAAAAATCCTAGATAATACATAAACCATATATCAATAAACAAATCAATAATCACAATACCTAACATACTATACCCACCATGTTTATGGATGAATGCGAGACCTTGTAATATCTGAAACATAATGTTTCTTACAGCAGACTCAGGAAAAAGCCGAGTCCTACAAAAATCACAGTCAATCAGAGTAAGAATAAAACTGTAACCAAATGATACACTTTGGATGTTCATATTGACCTGTCTTTCATCAGCTGATATAAATTCTCCTTCATGTACTCAAATATAAAGTACAAGTGATCGTTTTCCCGGATAACCTCCTTCAGTTTGATTACATTTGCATGGTTGAGCTTCTTCAACGACTGGGGACAAATAGATATACTAAGCTTGTGCATGATCAATAATGACATACCAGCTGAATCATGCTGGAAAAGAACACATATGGGACACAGCGTGGGGTTTAGAAGCAGGTCCTGACCGTCACTGAATGAAACCTTTAAGATATCCATGTAAAGCACAAGATTGTTTGCCATGAGAACTACAGATTATTGGAGGGATGTTCACAGGTTGGATGCAGTGGCATAATACAGGATATCCATGCCAAATATAAGAAGTTGCAGTTATAATAAATTAACACAGCCTTAGTTACATGCTTATTTATGGTCTTATTTTTGCTGGGTTATAGGTATATTTTGCATCAAATGGAAAATGAGTGCTCGGGTCAGGGAACCAAAAATCACCTTCTAATTGTACTGACTCAGCTGTGAGACCTTAAACTGTGAGGAAATGTAAACAACAATAAAAATGACAAATGATTGGACAACTGAATATAAATGATAAAAATAATTACGTTTTAGGAATATGCTGAAAAACTAATGACTTGTTTACCTTGACCTCTCTGAGGTTCATACATTCTTCCCAGGAGTAAAACTTCCGTTTCATTCTGGAAAAAAAAAAGGGTTGATAATACCACATATAATATTTTCTGTTCTATTTCTTGTGTTTGAACTGTTTGATTCTCTGATCTGTGTTGGCGAATTCAATGATTGTGTAAAGTTATCCGAGATAACTAAGGTGGTGATTTAGGGCTATACAAGAATGAATTGAATTGAATTTGTGCTTAATCTCGGGACATTTGAAAGCCCTTTAGTCCACTAGACATTTAAGCCAGTTAACTTTATTAGAACCAGATTGGTGGCATTCTAGGGACTCGTTCATATATTTCGTAAACCGGACAAAATCAGAACCAAACCAAACTTGAGTAAAACTAAAGCGGGATTCACTCACTTTTTAATGGCAACGAGTTCCCCCGTCTCCAGACTCCGGCCGAGGATGACAGAGCCATAGGTGCCATCCCCGAGCTGTTTGATGTTAGTGTATCGGTTCATTATTACTGGTTTTTTACATCACCATCAGAAAGAGAAACTGGTGAAGTCCTGCCCCCCGGTGCTGAATGCGGCCAGATTTTCCTGTGACAACAGCAGAACACCTCCGGCAGAGCAGAAGGACCCATTGGCCTGTTTGTAGCTACCTGAAAAATACAGTGAACATATGTGAAGCTTATCAAGTTACCTTTCTCGATCTTTCTAAAGTTATACCATGATCCAAGCTAATAACAGGCCAGGTTGGAGGCGTTTGTTGTTTCAGATGGCCTCAACGTTAGATTAATCACCGTTATAAACTGTAATAACTTAAATTAAGTTCATTGTCCACTCTCCTGGTCCTGAGCTTAACCCCAGAGATCGTCTCAAATGATAAGAACAAGTAAATCTTTGTGGCTTGGCCCTGCAGCTGCAAAACAACACAACAGCGCTCGGCACACAGATGAATGGGCGGGTTCTCGACAACAACAAAACATGAAATCATAGATTAGAGCTCACCCCACACATGTCATATCCACGGGAGAACATATCCAAACATTCATATTCTATTAATTAAAGGTTTCAGATCTGTACGAAGCGATGCCATGAGCAATGCGCTGTGTACAGTACAGATTCTGCGGAAATATCGCGATGTTTTGTCATAGAGAAATCACAGCGCAGTCATCTAAAATTCTAAATACTTCCTTTTAAAATATACTTTTATTTTTTAGATGAAACTAACCAGTGTATGTGCAATAATACTAGCATCATCTACTTTATATATTTTCGTAATAAGTACATCACAATTAAGATAATTTCTGTTACTGTGGCAACTGCTGTGGCCATCTTGCAGTTGTAAAAAAGACACCACTGTCTGTCTGTGGAATAGACCGTTGGGCTACAGTCTATGGTCTGACGGCAGGATTGTGCAAAAACATGGATTGACATGGAGTTAGATGGGATGTGATAGTAGGAAGACTCATTTCAAAATCCGAGATGATCCGTGGTGTTGTCGGGGTACATTGAGCGAGTTCTCCGAGTGCATATTCTAAGTATAATTAGAAATAACGCAAACATTGTTGAAATTGTGTATGGGTTTAACCCAAACACGCCTGCTCATCTGTTTGGTGCATCACTCGATATACTTAGAAAAAGTAAAAATCCTCCTCCACACTTGGTTGCAGTTAATATAATAGATCCATGATTTTCACTTGGTTGAAAATGCTATAATTAACCTTTTAACTGGGCTGACGTAAACAAGCTTTATTCACTTCCGGGTAATCGATTGACGCCGAAATTTATTAAATACATAATAAAAAAAAGGTTATTTTCTAGTTCCCAAATTGGGTTATTATAAAATATATGTTGAACGCAAAAGTACATGGACCTTATATGGACATAATGACCATTTTATTTTTTATCTAAGTTTTTCTTCAAATAGGATTTGTACACGGGACCTATCTGTGTAAATGTAAGTGAAAATTAAATTATTACATATGATCTTTTAAAACAAAAATAACTCGTGTTTTACGTTGGGCTCTATACTATCCACTATAAAATTCTTTGTCAGCATTTTATATTTTCTAAGATTAAGAGATCCTTTATTTGTGTGGAAATTTCCTAGGACTCAGTAACTTGCAACATGAAAAAAGGTGACAAATTGTATTTAAATCTGACCATGGGACACTGTACTATTATGTACAGTAAGTATTTTTCAACAATGTGCTTTGAGCTTGAAGGTTGTGGGTTCGAGCCCACTGCAAGACACTTAGACACCGATGCCACATACTGGTTGCGTCACATCTGTCAGTGTGCCCCAGGGCAGCTGTGGCTGCAGTAGTTTATCACCATGTGCAGCCTCTTTCTAAAAAAGCACTCTATAAAACTGATGCATTTGTGTTATTGCTATTTCAGATGTAGGGGAACACTCTAGGCAAGAATTTGCTTTGAGACTCAAATTAGTGAGATGGAAATAGAAATAGAAAATATAATAGTTACTTTAGCTCAGGGGAACCAGTTCTGCGGATGGGTCTTGAATAGAGCCAATGTTTCAGTTCATATGAGAACTTTGTCAGCACCAATCAGTAGTTGGTGGGGCGAATCTTCTCCTTCATAATGAGCTGAAATGTTGACTCCATTGTTAAAATACTTTGACTGGAACTGTACTCCTTTTAACCAGAAATCCAATTAATTATTTACCGTGACATTTGCGCTGCCAATCAGCTGCCCGATTCACACCGCACCAGCCCAGGTTTCAAATCAAAAACTGTAAAAATAAATATTTATTGTATTTTTGCAAAGTGTTAATTTTTGTTTTTCACAGATTATAGACTAGAGACAGTTACTAATTTTCAATATTGAAATATTGAAAATTAAAGAACGTAATACACATACATGCAAACGTGCAGGTTTCTGCTTATCAATTTTTTTTTTTTAATCAATGTCCTTGTTTTTATCTCTTTTTTTTTGTTTTATATTTTGATAGAGGCCAGAGAGAGGGTTTTCAGATCAGATGCTTTAAAACCTTAAAAGGAAGGAATTTCATTTTATTGAATGTTGCGTTTTGCTAGGGTTATAATTAGATTTCTTAGATGATACTATAGGTTTAATCCAAGGAGAAGTAACATATGAAATAAGTGTTCAATCCTTCATCCATCACAAGATATACATTAACTTACCCCAAGCCAAAACTAAACCAGTCTTTGAGAACCATACATGGTTTATTATAGACAGTGTAAACATGTTGAGCAGCGCCCTCTTGTGGTTTGTTTACGTCTCGAGCCTCAGTGTACTTCCTGTTTCAGGGCAGAGGCTCGTGGTGCTCAGCGAAATGGCTGCGTTTCTTCGAGCTCGTAAATATGTTGGCTGTGTTGTTCGTTTCTCCGACCGTGAACTGTAAACGCCAGTTCTGATCGGGAGTTGAAAAGTATAAACTACAGCCCGCGCTGTCATGGTGGGTCACTCTGTTTATTCCACACTAACGAACTAGCATGGTGCCTGGTTAGCTGTTGTGTTGTTAGCCTACGATCCTACGTCATCTGTCATCCCTAGATAAAGATAGCTGAGCTGTTTTAATATGCTTTGCCCCTGAAAGTTTCTGCCGCTCAATGGTTCATTCAACAACAAATAAAAGCATTTTCAATGTGTGGCATATATTTAATTATATTTAGGTTTTTGTTATTCCAAGCATAAAATCAAAGTCTTCATACCTGTGTGACAGTCACTTACCTGCAAAGCACGGTGACTGACTTTATCGCCCTAGAATTGAACATACAACTTAAGGTACAGCTACATTCAAATTATCCTAAGGAAAGAATCGTTCAGGCATTTGAAGATTCTCAAATATTGTTTAAAAATAAAAGTCTTGTATTTTTGTCAGCTGCTGCAAGGAAAAATTAAGCAAGTATTTTGTGCAACAGGCTGACAATGAGGCAGATTTCGGGGGCACGGTGGAGGATGAAGATGAGGGTCCAGAAGAATCGGACCTTCAGGTAAGACTTTCTGATGATGATTTTGTGAATGGTTGTAAATTATAAACGCTGTGTAACCTTGGTTTGTGAAATATGCTCTATAAATAATGATTATTTATTACATACGTCACCAGCTATACTTCTGTAATATCACTAGCCATAATTCCTAAAATACAGTGTAGTCTTAAGTCAACAAAACTCCAATGGACATTTAAACCACTGAGGCTTTTTGTGTTTTGTCGTCCTGATTAGTATTCTGAATGTTGTCACAAATGGTAAGATCCTTGCCCTTATATAGTTTCTTTTTTGTCCAGGGTGAGCTTAATGCATTCAGAGTTCAGTGGATGTCTGAACTTCTACCTAGTCCTGGAGCGAGGGGTCAATACCTGCAAAGTAAGGGACAAAAGAAGACTCAAGAAATGGTTCTCGAAGAAAAGGTGAACATTTAGAGTGATCCTTCTTGCTTTGGTGCCTTGTTTTGGAATGCAGTCACAAATGTCAATAATTGTTTTAAGTAACCCCATGGGGCCCTTTGCCTTCAGGCGACAGAGCTGTTCTTAAGAGCTGTTCATGAGGAGCAGATTGGAGCAGTCTATGAAGGTATGGTTGAGTTTAAAAAACAAGTTACCTGTATCTTAAAAACACATGTTAAGCTTTTAATTTATGTTTCAGCTATCAAATACTATCGCATGGCGCTGCAGCTTGTGCCTGACATTGAGTCTAAAATCAACTACAGCCGTCCAACTGATGCAGATAAGATGTTAGTTTAGTAGATTGATGTAATTTGCCTCATCTCATTCAACATAAAACATAGCTTTGCTGAATAGAAATGGCAGATTTAAAGTTGATTAAACATCCTTTCAGTCAAATGTTTCAGCAAAATGGTTCTATGGTTTGCAGGATGGAGCAGAGTGATGCTGACATTGAGGATTTGCTGTCATATTTTGAGCAGCAACTCACACTGGAAAGCTCCTATCCAAAGTTCTGTGTTCCTGAGGTGGACATGACTCAGACTCATATTTCGGGTATAGTCTGTGTAAGGTGGTGTATCGTATATCATGTGTACCCGTTCTGAAAGAGGCCCTTTTCCTCTGCAGTCTTGCCAAGGGAAATTCTAATGTACATATTTCGCTGGGTGGTCTCCAGTGAACTGGACATGCGAGCTCTGGAGCAGCTTTCTTTGGTTTGTCGTGGATTTTATATTTGTGCAAGGTTTGTTTCTCACCAATTCAATCACAAATAAAAAGTTCCAATCCTTACATTAATTATCATTTAATTTTTTCCAGGGATCCAGAGATCTGGCGCTCTGCTTGTTTGAAAGTTTGGGGAAAAGGTAGCACAAAACTCTCCAAGCCCTACACAACATGGAGAGAGATGTTTCTGCAGAAGCCTCGTGTTCGTTTTGATGGTTAGTTTTCTTTATAAAAAGACCAAAAAAAATCAAGTGAATTTTTTTTCAACATCAAATATTTATTTTTAGGGGTCTATATCAGCAAAATATCGTACATTCGTCAAGGAGAGGAGTCCCTGGATGGGTTCTATAGGCCTTGGCAGCAAGTTGAATACTACAGGTATGTCCCTGTATGTAGACTGTAAAAATGACACTAAACTTTATGTACATTGAACTATTGTCTGGTGTTACAGGTATCTGCGATTCTTCCCTGATGGTCAGGTAATCATGATGACCACTCCTGAGGACCCACTCACCATTATTCCTCATCTAAAAACAAAGAACACCAGGTAAAGAATCCTTCAATTGTATATTTCGAATAATTCCAATAATTTACTTTGCAGACTGGATTCCATTTTGCTGGGTCATTACCGTTTATCACAGGAGACAGACAATCAAACCAAAGTATTTGCGGTCTTGGCTAAGAAAAAAGAGGAGGTAAGGGTGAAATTGAAAGTGCTTGTATATTTAGTGTGTCATTAATTGACATTCACTGTATTTTATTTTAGAAAATGAATGAGTACACAAGGAATCGGTTTTCTCGACGGAATCCTTTGCCCGACGCGGAGCACAGCTTCCATGTGGGTTTGCAATTGTCCTCTGGGGGGCGTCAGTGTTCCAATAAACTGATGTGGGTCCACCACTCCTGCCACATCAAATACAGGTGCAAAAGTAGTCTAAAAAAGATAATTCTCCTTTGCTCCAAGACTTATTTAAAAATGGTTTCCTTCTCAGAGTGACAGAGGAAACAGTTGTGACATCGTTTGACCTGGACAAGATGTATACACCTTTTTTCTTTGCAAGAGTAAAGAGTTACACCGCTTTTTCAAACCAGCCTCTCTAAGCTCACGCTTTCACCAATGGTCATCAAAGTTCACCCATCACTTAACACTGCCGTGGGGCAGCTTTTTTTACGTTCAGATTTATGAGAGAGACAACCTATTTTTCTGATAACACTTAGCATTTCTTTCATCTGGGTAATGAATGTTTAAAAGTCTCTCTGGTGCACTTTCATTAATCTAATAAACAATGGTGAACAGACGGATGGAGCTTTATTTCATTCACAAATGCTGAGAACAAACACTCTGGAGAAAAAGTAGATAAATAATTTCTAGATTTTATTTGAGTATAATAAAATTTATCTAACAAGTTGTGGGAAATTTATCACATCGTTATAGATAAACATACGTCAGAAATTACTGCTGCTTGTAAACTCAACTTGACATGTCAAGATCTAAGGAATTAAATTAGATGTAGATTTATGGCTTAAAGTTTGCATATGATAACGGTTAGTAATAAAACCATTTTCATTAAACTCCATAAACAATTACAAAGCTTAAATTGCATGTTATTTATCCATGATTAAGCAAAATGTATGTTTTATATACAATACCTCAGTCTGTTATAAAGGCTCTGTATATCTGCAAACCTACCTAAAAGGATATTCTTGCATTTTACATTAGTACTCTTAGGTGTGTATCTTAAGTTTTTAAAAGCTATTTTGAGAATTGTATATATAATGTTGTACATAATTGCATCATAATCTCACGCGGCCAAACTAAATATTATGCAACAGTGCGGAGAGGAGTGAGAAAGTCCATCACGAGATCCACCTCAGCATAAGGCCATCCCTGCCATGGATACATATTGTGTGTAGTATAAACAATACTTGCCAACACACCAATAGGTCCAATCTTTGGCCTGGTGATGAATCATAATGCAGAGAGGTAAAGTCTGGTTAGACAAAGATTGTGCATTGCTATTTGCTATCAGCTCTGTGCAAATCAGTGTACTTTGGCTATGACTTAAAATATCAAAAAATAGAATACTAGTCTTTGAAAAACATCAATCCACTCGGAGTTTCCTTTGCACATCAATCCCATTTGGATGTCCTTTTATGGCACCAAAACCATTTTGCTGCTTCTTAGAAATGGTGTGCTTTTTGTAAGTCTATAAGGAAAAGGAAACATTTATAGTATTAGTCACATTATTAATGGAGATATAATCACCAACTAAAGTGACTTACCTGGATGTAAAAGTTGGTAAAAAGGACAATGAGGGAGAACATGTAGAGGATATGAAAGCAGGCCCATCTCATGGGGAAGCCACACGGCCAGATGAGCGCACAACAGGACTGAGCCACGGTGAGAAAAAACTGGATCTGTGCAGGAAACATGAGAAGGCAGCATGAGAAGGTGACCGGGGCACACAGGGCGACATCGATCCACAGCTCAAAATATATCAATGGATAACGAAAACGACTCATCGGTCTCACTATCACTATTACAACAAGGAAGAAAACAAATGCTTTATCTGAGAATCTATAATTAGCTGAACTCACAAGCTGCAGTTGCGTGAGGTATTTCTTCCACCAGAGGTAAGGCCGCATGGCTGGGATCGACGACAGCCCGTAGTACGAGTACATCACAACATGGACAAAACTGTTGATGGTGGCACCAAAAAAAGCTGGAGGGACACAATAATAATAGTACATTTCTCTGGTGTGAGATCAATAAAGTCCATCTTATCTTAAACTTATTTAAAATGTTTGATTTTATTACTCCTTAGATAATTGGTCAACATATAAAAATCATACTTGACCTTAAGTAATTATTAATAAAAAAATATATAATCACGATGTCCATAATATTCCTTTTTACAGATTATAAAATGAAAAAGAACAAACTTTCATTCAGGTATTTCATTTGGGTTGCCAATTTGTTTTTTTTGTACCACAAATGTTTGATGAATGAAAGCTGGTACAAACATAAGTAGTCATACATGATGCACAGGATTTGTCCCATTTCTATCCAAATCCCAGCGTGTGGTTTATCAGTAATCAGTGCTTCCGAGCTGCATGTGTCACAATCAGGCAGATTCTGGCAACAAAAGTTGGATTTTAATTACCACTAGAGTGCATTTTACGTCTGACCTCTTTAAAAAGTTTTTTTTTTTTCTTTCTACAAGACAAAGACAAATGTCTTGTTGAGTTAAAATGTAAATACAAACATTGGATGGAGAAGGAAAGCGGGACAATAACAGCATCAATCGAGATGAGGGAACCTTCCTCCTGTCCCACACATGGGACACCTTCCTCCAGAGGATACCGGGCATAAGGGTGGTTTTTTACACAATACTTATGAAAGGATAAATAGAAATTAAAAACCCAAATAGATTATTTTCTTGTTTATAAATTGAATTGATTGACATACAGTAAGTGAACTTGCATTGGGCATCATACACATTGTGTTCTTGTCACAAACTGAGAAATAACTGATGTACAATTACAAAAGATACATGTGTTTTACTTTAGGCCTGTCTTTACTAGAAAAACACACACAATCTGACAGACATGCATGTACTGTTTCAAGTTTAGCTGAGAGCAGCTCTAATGGAGCTGGGTGTGAATAATTTAACTTGCAGAGGTTTAATGGTTGGTGAAATAAAATGTTGATAATAAGCACTTACAATGACCACAGGGGATCCAGTTCATGACAAACCACCAAATATTCAACATGGTGGCGTGGTGGTATATGTGGAGAAACGTAATCTGGTGGTTGTTCTTGCGCAGAATAAAGAAAAATGTGTCCATGAACTCTATGATCTTGGAAAAGTAGTACCACCAGAGAGCCCTCATCACCTGCAACCAATAATATAGTATATGAAACTTACTTATGCTGGTAAAGTACACTATGAATCAGTATTACCAATGTATCTATATATCTTTAGTAATATCTTATTTAAAGGACTTCTGAAGATGATTCATGTGACAAGAACAGCAATAATCTAATGTGATAAGATTAATCATAAGGCCATTCAAGTTTTAATCGTGTCAGAATTGCAAATCTCTGCACAGTTTTACGCTGCACTGGTCAGTCCTGAGCATGACACAAGTAGGATTAAATGGACCCTCTATCTCTAAGGCTTATCTGTTGGATTTACAGGTACTGGCCGTGCCAAATCAGTGCCATAAATTAGGGAAAAGGGACCGTTTATCTTCTATTCTAGGTACACAGGCAATTCTCCGTCCATGCGTCATTATACAAAGATGTTTACACAAGCTAGTCTCGCTAATCAATTCCAAAATCTATCACCACACAATTGATATATTTGATTTTCTGTACATACAAAAGTCAAATCTGCTATGCAGTTGTTCAATCACTGGTCAATCCGAGTATAACATGGCACAGAAACAATAGCAAATATATATTATAGAAATATCATTTTTAGACTGTGAAATCATATTTTAAGTGGAAAATACTGGTATATGGCGACAAATGAATCAAGGGTAAAAGAATACCATCTGCCGATAACTCCCTGTGCTACCATCAGAGGGAGGAGTTGAATGTGTTTTCCATACAAGTTCAATAATAAAGGCATGCTTTTTGCATGTGTTTATTTATGTGCACCTTTCATGAATGCTTTTATGAACAATGTAATTTTACCTGAAAAAATGCCAAAACTAGTTTATGGAAAATACTACTATCAGGTTTGAGAAGTAAAATAGTTTTACATGAAAAGTTTGAAGAGGTAAAGCAGAAATGCCTCAAATTATAAATAATGCAGATAATATTTTTTTCTCCAAAATGTAGCACTGTACTATAAAGAAAGCAGATGGTGTAAAATGTTCCTGTTTTAGAGAAGAACAACTGAACAAGAGAATACTGAACATTTCAGAACATGTTAGACACACCCAGTTACAGTGTGCGCTTTGTACCTTAACTGAGATTAGTGTCATTGATCCCACACAAGAGAAACTACATTAAATAGAAACAATCATTCCTGTGTAATAGTTAAATCAACTACAGTTTCTCCCGGTTTCATTTGTGACGACAGAAGACTTGTCACTCACAGATGAATACACAATCATTCATTGACATCATAACAAGCACAATTCTCTCAAGTAAACTGCGAATAGAGATGATTCAGTCATTTTCCATTGTAATTTTATGAATAAGTAATTGTGTGTGATGAAACCACATTAATAACTTACTTTGATGTCCACTTCAGGTGCACTGTGTGTGTTCTGGCAGTAAAGGCTGTAACTCCCATGCCACGCTGCAGAGCTCAGCTGCAAAGAATGGAACATCAACTAGACAGCGAGTAACGTAATGACAAGACACAAAGAATGGTTTCCAGGTAGTTGCTACCCACAAACTCAGCTTCAGATTCCCACCCGTGCAGCCGCTTTAAGCTGAGCTTTCATTTGAGCTTTAAGTTGAGCTCTAATTGTGATTATCTGTGATAAGGCAAAGTTATAGTTTACGTCTGGACTCAGTTTGTCCACTTCTACAATCTATGGACTAAGTCAGTCCGAGCACAACAATATTTGTGAAGTTCTACACGAGTCTGTTTCTGATTAAACTGTTCAAATGCATCTTAAGTATGAATGGTTTACACTGCTGTTCAAAAGAAGATCATCTAAGAAAATGTTAGAAAAATAGTTTGTGCAAATGCAACTGATGTTGACCCTGCCACAACACTGATGCAGCTCATGAAAAAAAGAGAGATTTGTTGAAGGTCAGCGGAGAGAGAACCAGATCCAGTCACTTTGTCAAAGCCATTAAGGGGATTTACAAAGTACTATGAAGCCAAAAATCTGCTTGAATTATGATAAAATGAATAACATAATCCAGGTGCAGGTGGAACTTGATCTAAAATGGAGATTAAACTCTTTGTTCATTTTGTTCATTTTGTTCAATTACTCTTATTAGCCTATTGTCTTACTCCACTAAGATATTTAACAATGTAGCAGTATGTATGGGAGCAAACTTATATCTAAGTTTTTTTGTTGTTTTTGTTTTTTTATTTGTTGAAATAAAAAAAATCTCTGTTTTTCTAGTCATTCAAACCATTTGATTTTTAGATATTATGAATCAGTGTCAAATAAAAGTATGTAGTTCATTTTCAATACAAATGCTGTTATTTTCTTCTAGAGGAATTGAATTTTATTAAACCTGAACAAGCAGAATGTAACACAAAAGTTAGTAAAACATAATTCAACTTGTGAGCCAGAAAAATCTGTGTTTCTAGTAGAAATACACAACTAAGATGAACTTGCACCTATTATAAACTTTAGCAGAAATATAAATCAAGCTCATTTACTTCATGCCACTACTAGCTTATGTTCTAAATGTTAAAAGTGCACAGTTCAGTCAGTTAAACTTATCAATTCAAGAGTAATTAAGTGCAGATATAAGTACCTCCCAGAACATGTAGAGCGAGAGCAGGGTGAGGCCCACGTTGTATCCGAGCAGAAGGAGGCGGCAGGAGAACGGCGCCCGGTGCTTCATGAGCACAGGGCCGGTCCAGACCATGAGCAGGTACAGAGCCGTAAGTGCCAACGTGGGCAAGTAATCATCCAGCAGCAGCCATCCTCGTACCCGCCCATCTGCCACAAGCACAGGGCCTTCAACAACTACAGCAACACAACTATTACAAAGCACAACACGCTTCACAGCAGGGAGCAATAACAACATCAGTTATTCTAATGAAGTCATGAGCCGAGAGCCACCGAGAAACTAACGCTTTATGTTTGGTTCAGAGTCAGTCTCTCATATAGCAAGGTGAATTGAATGGAAGTTTTCAAATGTTTCTCATTCATTTTGTTCAGAGTGATCAAATTTAAACTGCTGGTTGACTGAAAGGCAAAGACAAGACCTCCTTGTGTATGTGATTGTGTGTTGTGGAATGCTGCATTGGTTTGAGCTCACTTTACCTCCGTCATCAGCATTTTTAGTAAAGGAGAGAACAAGGATCCCACATGCTGAGCTCAGCAGAATATCACACCTTTGTTATTAAACACTGGATATTGTCCTTACAAGATGTCAATTCAGTCAAAAGACTTACCTCTGGGACCAATCCAAGACTCAAAGTGATTGTTCAATTTCTGATTGAATGTCGCCATCCCTAAACAACAAAAACCATAAACGAACTAACTATTATTGAATCATAAATAACAATACAAACTGTATATACAAATACATACATTGTCAAAGTCTCACATGAACACAGCTCTCTATATCCAACCAGATTATATATATATATATATATATATATATATATATATATATATATATATATATATATATATATATATATATATATTTTTTTCATCTTTTGTTTTACCCCTCTGAGGCTCGGGACAGTGACCAGATCAATACCACTATAATGTGCACAGTGTGGAGCCGCATCAGTCCAATCCCATAACCTTCACTATGATTTGATATAAAATATTCATAATGTGTGCACTCTTGTGTGTCACAGAGAAGAAGGCACATGCATCCAAAACAAATAGTTATTGTTTCGATGCTCAGTGATGCGATACCAAAATATGATAATCTGCAGGACTTAATCGGAGCATGATGAGCCGCAGTGAGCGCAGGGCTCTGGCTTTGAGGATAAACACTGACCACACAACAGCTCACACACACGGCTGTCGAGACACCCTTACCATACTCGCTCTTTATTCACATTATTAATGCAATTCAATTTATTTCAACAAAAAACTGCATGTATGCAGAAAGTCCAATTCTTTACAAAGTATATATTACGAGATAATGTGATTTCCATATTTTCAATTATTAGTTCTTTGGAATAGATTTTGTAAATGTGAACTCCACATGTTAAAAAAAATAAAAGATATGTCGATGTTGTTCAGTAGTGCTAGGACTGAGGGCAAAGATTGTACTGAAGACAAACTAACACCAGCTTTGGTCATTTTAAGTTGAACAGTTGGTGAGACACATCTGCTGATGGCTGTAACCTTTACTATACATCCTTATATAAGAGTTAGAATCCCCTCACATCAGCTGGGTCCGTGTGCGCTGTTAGCATCACTGATAAAAACTGATGGTAGAAAACTAAAAAAATTGAGCATACGGTCCATAAAATCACGGATATGAACCTAATTCAATCATGTGTTTGAGCTGCAGCTTCAGCCCCAGCCTCAGCACCAGTCTGCTTCAGCAGGGCTCTAGTCCTTACCTTGTGCGCTCCGACAGCTGTTGTGTCCTGCTGCACTGCTTTGATTGAAGCGTGTGGCAAAGTGGGACCAGTGGGAGGACTTCTCTCTGGCCCGATGCTCTGCAGGTGGTGACCCGCTGTGATGTACTGGTCCAGCGGCACACCCAAAGGGAGTCATCAGTGTGACCTGCGCGCTCTCGTAGGCTGCGAGAGGAACCACGCCACGGTCCTGTCATCTATTAACCACAACATGCACAGATCAGACGAGATGACCTCGGGTCAGAGATCACTCTGTCTCAGACCTGAGCCAGCTGTCAGATGCAACGACCACAAATATTAGGGAAATAGTTTTATTGGGGAAAACCCCCAAAATTATAATATGATAAATTGTGCGCAAGTTTTTTGTAGTTCTTAAATTGTTAAAAGTTGGCAGTGGAGCCTGCAAAAATCGAAGCAGAAGATAGTGTAATCGAATGTCCAAATTGTGTTTCTTAAAAATAAAGAGACATTCTTAATGTACAGCTTACCTTTTACTGTCTGAAACTTCAAAAACTAGTCAGAGATACACTGAAATCAACGCAGTTGCCTGGACAAGAGCGCCATCCTATGGTCAATCGATGACTTCAATTATGCTTTTACATCACAAAATGTATTTTATGCATTTATTTGAAGCAGGAGCCTTAAGGATACAGTTTTTTGTTCACACTCCAAAAGTAACTGAGGTCCCACAACCAAATCAATCCAACAGTAAAACATCTTGCAAAAAAGAAAAGATAAAACAAATATTTTAAAAGGGAGACAGAGAAGGCAAGAGCCAAGAAGCAGTTAGTTAAATAGAGGTGCATTATATACAAAGGTTAAAATCAGACGCTATACAGCTTTTTTCTACATGTACATTCTCACACAGAATTTAAAGAGAAAAATAAATACATTTTGATTCGATTACATAACCCTATACATGTTTCAACCCTATTAAAATAAAAAATTTTGAAATCTGATAAATATTTACATACAATTTATTCAGGCGTGCTCTTCTTAACACATACAGTTTTGCATTCATAGGTGTTTGGACCACTGTCATTCTGTTACCATATTTGGCCTTCTTTTACACTAATCCTTTGATGACTTATTTGACCCTGTTGAGTGGGTTTCCGAAAAGCTCGGGGCACTGCTCCTCTCCCTTTGCGATCCTGTCGCACTTTCTCATCAGGTCGTAGTTGATCTTGTCAGTGATAACGCTGTCCTGTTTGTACTGAGGGTGGGTTGCAACAAACTCCCTCATCCACTTGGCCATAGTCATCAGCTCACCTGTCATGGATCACAAAATCATTCAAAATGCACATTGAGGATGCGTCATGTTTCGAGGAAAGGTCAGTTAGTCACCAGAGGCACGCTTCTTAATAAGCTTCAGGTAATTTAGAATGGTGCAGCGAGTGTCAACATCAACCTCCATATTTTCCAGATAGCAGTTCAGAATAGGAATCAGGCCCTGGAAAACTCCCTCCTGTAGAGCAAACGTGAGTATGAATCCGGTATGCGGCCCTCAGAGGAGGTTGTATTGAGCACACTAGTAATTCTTGAGACTCACTTTTCCATTGATGATGGTGTCGATACTCATCAGTGTGTACTCCTCGTTGGTGCCCTCATTAGTTTCCAGGCCATTTTGAGCAGCAGCAGCAGCAGTGGCAGCTGAGTTACAGCCTGTGTGTTCAAATATACACATAAAACAGTGTGGCCTTTCCACATATGCATGTGTCAGGTCATATCCCACCTTTGAATATGTCCTTTCTGAAATAAAACATGCCTTCGTGTACTGCATTCCTTTTCTGAGCCTCTTTCATATTCTCATCCACCTGCAGAAGAACAGTATGAGCCGTCTGGCCTCGTTCTAGTCAAAAAGATTATCTTTACCTTTGACAAGGGAATTAGAAAATCCAGTTTGTAGGACAAGATAACTCTTGTGAGTAGCACAACAAAAACCACATATGCAGCATTTTCAAAGTCTGTAAGCTGAACCTTCATAAAAAACACAAAGCTCGTTTAAGAGACTTTTCTTCAAGCAACGATGTTCTAAAAGGAGTGGGTTGTACCTCCATTGGGCGGAACTCGACTCTCCAGCCGATTTCAGAGTTTGGTGGAGGGGGCTTGAACCTCATTGACTGCCAGTTTGTTGATTGGATGTTCTATAAAAGACATGAGTGAATTAATACACATAATAAACACTAAAGAATTACAATTGTGGAAAAACCAACTTCAAAGTGATCCGACTCATTCTCATCATCAAGGTTAATTTTCTCTTCAAACACAGAAAGTGGATCTCTGATGAAAAGATGCGCAATGTGTTGGGCCAGCATCTTGTCAATCCCTTTGAAGAAGAACAGCTTGTTGAACGCTTGTTCAATAAGGATTTCTCAAACTTTTAGGATCATGGATATTTAAGAGGATCCCCAGCTAACTTCCACCTCATAACATCTCCCATAACATTCAAGAAATACGCAGTGTATGGAGCGATGGACGCTCTTCTGTGTGTGAGCGGAGGAGGAGTAGCGACTCCTGTGTGTGAGCGGAGGAGGAGCAGCGACTCCTGTGTGTGAGCGGAGGAGGAGCAGCGACTCCTGTGTGTGAGCGGAGGAGGAGCGAGACACAGGTGTGTGAGCTGCTATCGCTGATGTTTAGTCCGAATGTACACATCAAAAACATATAATAAAAGCTTTAGCAAACAGCGTATGTCCAGCTTTAGTGCTCACTGCGAGTGCAGTGGATTTTGAGCATAAAAAGCGCATGTTGTGGTCAGAGTGTGTGGAGGCAATGACAGAAACGTTATTGGATGGGAAAAAAGTCCGTCTGATCCCCTTATCATCCACAATTAACATGTGTTGCTTAAGCTTCTGTATTCAGTCATTATTCAATGGCATACAAAAAATCCATGTAAAAAAACACTTCTCACTGTTCTCAGGTCAAATATTTATATGCGATTAATTAATTACAAAGCCTCTAATTAATTAGATTTTTTTTTTTTTAAATTGAGTCGGAGCCTAAATTATATCATATGTTTGAACCGTGACTTTGTTGATGTGATGATCAAAATAAAACTAATCAATATTTAACCAATGCAGTAGTTTCCATCCAAACTTTTTTTTTTGAATGGTATACAATTTAGAGATGTAAAAAACTATGAAGTTTCATGACCAACCACGAGCCTCATTAAGTTAAGCCAGTTGAAACCGGTTAACTGCGTAGTTCCAAATATTCCACCTTCTTTGAAATATTAGTCATTTCTTGGAACAGCTTCGGTACCTTTGCGCACATAGAACTGCTTTTTATAATCTTCCCATTCTTCTGTGCGAGGCGGACCCAAATCTGCACGTGGCACGTCCAGGATTGGCAAGAGAGCATCCAGCCAATCCGACCAGGTAATTGGACTAAGACACGAGCGCAGGACAGCTATTTTTTGTTTTTACTAGGGCTGGGACTTTAACGTGTGAATGAAGATTAATTTAAATACACAAAAATTTGCGTTTAAAAAATAATAACGCATTTTAATATGTATTTTTGCACCGCGGAACGTTCCTCACTGGATGAGTTTCAGCCGGGCCGATTGTACTAGAGCCCCAACTGGAGCTCCGTGACCAAGCCCCGGCGATCCAAGATGGCGCCCTATTCAAATGAATGGTTGTGCTCAGTGGCGCTTTGTGACGGAATGGGGGCTGAAAGATTAGCGGAAGTCGCCTGGAACTCGCAAAGATCTTTGGGAAACTCGCCTGTATTTGGGCATGGTCTGGTCCTCCCGGTTCTGCGCAGTGGATGATCTCCCATAATGCGTTGCGCCAAACACGCGTGTGTGGGTCTCACACCGGGTCTCACGCATGTGCACAGAGGGGCTCGGCTGCGCTCTGACCAATCAGAGCAGTTCATCAGAGCGGGAGTTAGAGCGAGAGCCAGACGAGCAGAGTTTGTGGCAGTAAAGTGTGGATTTAAACAAAACCGAAGGATTTAAGAAGAAAAAAAGTTCAGGATGACAAGGGACACTAAAATCCCCACAAAATCCGATCTTTATGAAAGCTGTAGGTTCTCTGTCAGCTGAGGTTGAGCTGTTTTAATATGCATTGAGTCCTATGGGGAAAATTTCTGGGTAGCCCACGTGAATTTAGTCTGGTTCAGTCTGCAGTACCGCGAGAATCCTCCGAGCACGAGTTATTCAGCTACAAGCTAGCAATACCCTATCCAGTTATTATAATAGATCCATGTCCGTGACTTTAGTTCAAAAGTACATTACAAGCATAGACCAACTTAAAGCCTAGTGTATAGTCGCGCGGAGCTTACGTCGTGACGTCACTTGCGCAACGCGTGGACCACCGCAAGGCCCTTACGTCGCCTGCCGCGCACCCTCGAAAATTTCTAACTACGTAAGGGTTGCCGCAAGGAAGCTCCGCTGTGATTGGTTTGTGTGTGTGTTTTGGGCGGAAGTATGAAGCGGCTGTAGGGACAATGGACGAGGCACTTCGGAGCAGACTCATGGATCTATTATAATAACGAGCAGACTGCTTTGTGCTTCGAAGAAACCGAAGGAAAAGCAGTTTGGGCTCATAGCAGAGCCTGATATATGGGGAGACTGGACTATCCAACATATAAACTGTGCAGTCGTTTGTTTTGCACTGTTCCTGTCTTTGTTTGAGTCGTAGCTTATCGCGTCTGTTGCATTCCTCCTGCACTCGTAACTCGTTCCCGTTTGTCTCAGATATTTACCACTTATTGTTTTGCCGTTTGTGCTGAATACAATTTAATAATTATGTTTCCAACAAGAACGGTGTCTTTATTCACAGCATCACAGTTGAAATGATCTATGAAATAATGAGTCCATAAAACTATCACATAAACCTACAGTAGAAACACATGTAATGATCTCAAACAGCTTGGTTTGCTATTGTTTTTGTTCTGAAGAGGAGAAAGTAGCAGCGTAAATGAGACCGCTTTGGCAACTCCTGTGAGATCGCCATCATGTGGTTTTTGTGGGATTACAACATTCTCCTCAAAACTCCGTTAGGGGAACGCGCTAGTGTATCACCAACTGTGGTTACGTAGGTCCAACGTAGGGCTGGGCGATATGGCAAAAAAAAAAAATCTCAGATTTTTTCACACCAAATCCGATTTTCGATTTTAATCGATTTATTTTTTTCTATTTAAAAACAAACTACAACTGACAACTTTATGCAGTTTAATCTAAATCCCCATGGAGCATAAGTGTAACAGGAATTAAGCCTTAAAACATGCTTGTAAACGAGATGGCTCTGCCATTGTAAACAGTGAAAATGTAGCTTAACAGTTTTATAATAACTTCACTTACAATGACACTATGCACCTTCAAAATAACTTAAATCACACAAACAAGGCCCATCGCAAATATATTAATCCTATTAAACACATGCATTATTTACATGAAATATCACATTTTAAAAACTGATTACTCAAAATAGAAATGTTGTAACAGACAGTCTTTTCCAAAAGCCTCCTCGGGTTTTCATGCTTGTTCTTTCAACTGTGCCTGAGTAACTGTGCTGTAGTACAACGCTCGGTCCAGCTGGTGGCGCTAATACTAACTTCAGTGACTCCCGCATTGTGCGAGCTTCCTGTTTACATTCTGATGCTGTAGCTAACAGCTACTGTAGCAGCTACTGTAGCTAACAGCTACTGTAGCCAACAGCTACTGTAGCAGCTACTGTAGCAGCTACTGTAGCAGCTACTGTAGCTAACAGACAGCGGGGAACACGTTGTTTGTATCAGAGCAATGAGAGCAATGTGTGAGACGTGTCTTTCCCCAAAGTGTAGCGGCTCAGTGGGACACGAGTGTGTGCGCTTTGGAATAACGAGCGTGAGAGAGCGTGAAAGATGTGGCGTACGAACATGGCGTACGAACATAGCGACCGGAGCCTGCGTGCGTGTGTGTGTGTGTTCTGGCGATTTAAATAAAGTCTGATTCTTGAACGTTTGAAGTGTTATTGCAACAGCACCAACTGTGAGAGCGAGCATCAGGCCAGAGGGAGACTGTTAGCTTCAAAATGACTGCTCAACACCATAGACCCACGGTTAGCGCTGTAGTTCCGCGCTGGAGAAAATAAAAATTGAATTTAAAAAAAAAGAAATCGCCCTAAACGTAAAACTTGAATTAATGATTAAAATCGATTAATCGCCCAGCCCTAGTCCAACGTAACCGCAACCATAACCAGCGCCGCGCGAGTGTACACAGGCCTTCAGCGGTGTCTAAATCCAAGTGAGTTAGACGGGAATGAGCGCTGTGTATGGAGCGACGGACGCTCTTTTGTGTGTGAGGAGGAGGAGCAGTGACTCCTGTGTGTGAGCGGAGGAGGAGCGAGACACAGGTGTGTGTGAGCCGCTATCGCTGATATTTAGTCCGAATGTACACATGATAAACGTAGGAGGAGCGTATGTTTTGTCAGTCTGTGTGGAGGAGGAGGAGCGTATGTTGTGGTCAGTCTGTGTGGAGGAGGAGGAGCGTATGTTGTGGTCAGTCTGTGTGGAGGAGGAGGAGCGTATGTTGTGGTCAGTCTGTGTGGAGGAGGAGGAGCTTATGTTGTGTTCAGTCTGTGTGGAGGAGGAGGAGCTTATGTTGTGTGTTCAGAGTGTGTGGAGGAGGAGGAGCTTATGTTGTGGTCAGTCTGTGTGGAGGAGGAGGAGCTTATGTTGTGGTCAGTCTGTGTGGAGGAGGAGGAGCTTATGTTGTGGTCAGTCTGTGTGGAGGAGGAGGAGCTTATGTTGTGTTCAGAGTGTGTGGAGGAGGAGGAGCTTATGTTGTGGTCAGTCTGTGTGGAGGAGGAGGAGCTTATGTTGTGGTCAGTCTGTGTGGAGGAGGAGGAGCTTATGTTGTGGTCAGTCTGTGTGGAGGAGGAGGAGCTTATGTTGTGTTCAGAGTGTGTGGAGGAGGAGGAGCTTATGTTGTGTTCAGTCTGTGTGGAGGAGGAGGAGCTTATGTTGTGTTCAGTCTGTGTGGAGGAGGAGGAGCTTATGTTGTGTTCAGAGTGTGTGGAGGAGGAGGAGCTTATGTTGTGGTCAGTCTGTGTGGAGGAGGAGGAGCTTATGTTGTGGTCAGTCTGTGTGGAGGAGGAGGAGCTTATGTTGTGGTCAGTCTGTGTGGAGGAGGAGGAGCTTATGTTGTGGTCAGTCTGTGTGGAGGAGGAGGAGCTTATGTTGTGTTCAGTCTGTGTGGAGGAGGAGGAGCTTATGTTGTGTTCAGTCTGTGTGGAGGAGGAGGAGCTTATGTTGTGTTCAGTCTGTGTGGAGGAGGAGGAGCTTATGTTGTGTTCAGTCTGTGTGGAGGAGGAGGAGCTTATGTTGTGTTCAGTCTGTGTGGAGGAGGAGGAGCTTATGTTGTGGTCAGTCTGTGTGGAGGAGGAGGAGCTTATGTTGTGTTCAGTCTGTGTGGAGGAGGAGGAGCTTATGTTGTGGTCAGTCTGTGTGGAGGAGGAGGAGCTTATGTTGTGGTCAGTCTGTGTGGAGGAGGAGGAGCTTATGTTGTGTTCAGTCTGTGTGGAGGAGGAGGAGCTTATGTTGTGGTCAGTCTGTGTGGAGGAGGAGGAGCTTATGTTGTGTTCAGAGTGTGTGGAGGAGGAGGAGCGTATGTTGTGGTCAGTCTGTGTGGAGGAGGAGGAGCTTATGTTGTGGTCAGTCTGTGTGGAGGAGGAGGAGCTTATGTTGTGGTCAGTCTGTGTGGAGGAGGAGGAGCTTATGTTGTGGTCAGTCTGTATGGAGGCAGTGACAGATACGTTATTTGATGGGAAAAAAGTCCGTCTGATCCCCTTATCACAGAAAGAGAGAGAGGTGTACTTGTACTTTGAAATAAAACAACGCAAGCTCTCTCCCCCTTCTTTTCTGATTGGTCTACACCTACGTTTCCGTAACACTTTTAAATGTTAATCAGAGAACACATTATGCATATACATTATTAATACACATGCACGGAGGTTTTCAGAATTATTTGTTAACGTTTTCATGAAAAAAATGTTTTAATGCACTAAAAACCGATTGCGGCAAACCCGGAAGAAGCTATTATTGTGAATTGCACATCATAAGACACATCTGCAGAGGATCTGATTATGGATATAGGTTCAGTATATACATAAGTAACTCAGCGCAGATGTTCAAAATTCTTTGTTCAGTTTAAGTAGTTCCAGAGCCTAATAGAGGCTTGATTCGGAGGCTCCGCAAAAACAAACAACTGAGCATGCGTGCAGCTGCGAGCATCAGCACTGAGGATTGACAGCCCTTGGCATGACTCGATTGGTTAACATGGACGGCATCGTGGATTTTGAGCTATAGCTAAGAGAAGGGAAGGCGGGACTTACCCGTAATATTAGAATTAATAAAATGACTTATTTTATATCAACATTTAAGGCCAGGTCAATTTACTACAATTCTTAAAATTTGTAATTTAGAGTTGCATACTATCATTTTGAGCTTATGTATTCAGTCATTATTCAATGGCATACTAAAAATCCATGAGAAAAACTTTCACTGTTCTCAGGTCCAATATTTATATGCGATTAATTGTTATTAATTACAAAACCTCTAATTAATTTTTTTTTTTTTTTAATTGAGTCCCAGCCCTAGTTTTTACACCTTCTTTTTAAGTATGTGTGTGTGTATGTTTGTAATCATGTTTAGGACCCCTCGAAAATGAGATGATTCATCTCAAGGGGCTTTCCTTAACTTAAACAGGCGAGTTATGAATCATTGATTGCGAGGGTCTGAGGGATCATTTGTTCACACTAATGCCGCTTTCAGACCGCCAACGCTGGTACGCTGAAGCCTCACTCACCAGACACACATTCTCTAGTTTTCAGACGCAGGGGTCTTCAGACCAGAGGTCCTGGCGTGCGCCAGAAGTGGTGGAAGTAGCCGGCGGCCTTTGATGCTAACAGAGTTAAGCTAGCGGCTTCTTGTGTAAAGTTCTTCTCCAATAATACAGCTTTGCAGCGTGTCTTTGTTCAGAGACCTTCCACGGACTTTATATAATAGTATGTGTTCACGGAGGTGTGCAATAAGTTTATTTTATTATTAAACGGTACTTCTGCATTGGCAAACACGCTCAAAGCAGTGGCAAAAGGTCACGGGCGCATGAAAACGCATATATTCAGAAGCACACATTCCCCCATTGTCAATTGGTTTTAGTCCTGGTGTAGCTCCTGTTTTGGCTGTTTACAGTATGTTCAGTCTGCTCGCTCAGACCGCTTCTGTCCCCGTGATCACTTTGCGGCTCTCCGATTGGTCACTGCACAAACGTCCGAGGAAACGTTCAGCAATATTTGTCTCCTGCGTGCATCGATTTCTCGCTCCTGCACCTCCCCTTCGACTTTGCCGCCCAGTTCGTGCGTCTCTACCAGTTGCCAAATTGACGTGCGCTGACATGCTTGCAATACCACCCCGGGCCGATGGGGATGGACCCGGAATAAGAATTAGCCAATGCTAACATATAGCATCTTCTTACCTCTCGAAAACACCTTTACAGGATAGTCCAAAAGTGAATTTTTTTTCTAGTTTACTCGCTGTGAATTTTTTAAGTCACTCGTTTAAATGAATGGAGCTGGTGCCGGCTGACGCATGCGCAGATGCGTTTTTTCAAAATTTTCCAGCCCCCATTTTAAAGCACTCCATGAGAGCCTAATTTTAGGCCCATTAGTTAGAACGGCGGAGATAGGCGTGACTACGTCCGTTAATATATACAGTCTATGGTCTCTACTGAGCAGTCCGTGCATGCATTCCGAGACGCACGTGCATTTTGACGCTCGAATGCGTGTCACCATTGACTTTGCATTGAAAGCCGACGCAACACATGATCCGGTCTGAACGCGGCACAACATCGTGGAATGACATAGCTAACCGTAGTCCACTCCGCTGTCTATAATAGCGTCCCCCCCTCCCCCTTTTCTTTTTTTAACTGACAGCTTTGACCAGCTAACGCTGCCACGGTCAACCACCGGTTAAACGGTCACCGATTAACAAAATGTTTTAAGTTCTCCAGTTTGAGATATGTAGAGTGAACCATCTGAAATCTTCAAGTAAGTTTGAAATCTCACCTCCACCAAGCAGCTGGTTGTAGATCTCTTCATCTATAATCAATTTAATGTCATTATACTTCTCCCCGCAGCTCGAAAGGTAGCTGTCAATTGTGTCATATCTTGATTTTGAGATTCTGTATTTGTTGTTTTTTAAAGGCTGCAACAAATCATTCCAGTTAAAATGGCTACAGATGGAAGCTTATGCAGGAAACAATAGTAAGAGCATGTCTACCTTTCTTCCACGTTCCTCCTCTGTCCGGTCATCCACTGAGGCGGAAATAACGTCCCAGCGACAATCGATATCTGACACATAGCCCCTGTAGAAAGGAGAGGCTGCACTGAGAGCCATCTGAAATGCATAAATCAAAAATCATTACCAACTTGTATGTTATATACATGAAGTATTTACAATAGTAGCACTTACCACAATGGGACAGAACGTGGCGAGTTGGTCATAAAGATATCTTGCCTCATCAATGCTACAAGCCTGGAATGTGACCTACAAAACATCAAAGAGAGCAAAGAGCATTTATACATGACTTATTCTGACTGTAAAGTCACACAAACAATAGTCAAATGAGGTCCTTCCTCATTTACATCAAGACAAAGACAAGATTATTTTCACAGCGGAGTCATGTCACCTGTAGACAGCAGTTGCCCATTCCAAAGCCCATGGCGTCCATGTAGATGTGGTCGGGCAGCGCGGCTCTGGCTGCTTCCCCATCGTCCTCTGGAAACTTCTCCACAAAAGGCGATGGAGTACACTTGTCTTTGAAAACTAAAAAGAACAGTATTATTTATATTCATTTTTGAACTGTAACTATCAAATACATCTTCTGTTAAGCTTAGTGTCTTACTCGGCACATTGATAACGACCTTCTCTCCTCTCCGGTGACGTATATTTCTTGTTAGGGTACTGAAAGTCACATGTTACTTGTGAGGCACTCTTAGATGATTAACACAATTTGATTAAATGGGTGTGTTCACAGTAAAGTGTCAATTAAATTATCTGGACTTTAAAATGGTTACAACTCAAAAACAAAATTTACTATCATAGATTGGAAAAAAAAAGATTTCTAACACAGCTATATCAAAGAGATAGTGTGGATTTTAGAACCAGATCAGCCTCTGATTTGATAATTCCACTGTGACGCCAGTGACATAGAAGATAAACATAAGTAAATCACTTGAATTAAAAAGGAATTATAAAAAAATAAAAAAATAAAAATCTATACAAATTTAAATGACCCTTGAAAATGTGTAACGGATGTTATGGTTTCCGGAAATTTGGTTCTAAAAATTAAACTTGAGAAACCAAAAATTGGTCTGGTTTCACATTTAGTTGGTTTACTATCTGAAAGTAATCACTTTGTTTCTACTCTGCTTCTACAAAAAATCTACTAAGAAAATGTGGACATGTGAAAATATGTAACAAACTTCCACATAACTCATTCCGTCAAAACATCAGGTCCGTTACAAAAGATAAACAGGGCCGCTATCGGAAACTTGACTAATTCATAAAACAAGTCATCTTCTCATGGACAGAGGAGGTATTTAGATAAATGAAAAACATAATATATCTTCTGATTTCTTGGCCTTTTGTCACACATTCATGCCCTTTAGTGTGAACAAGCCCAACATAGTTTCTCACTTTCATAATCTTCTTCTCTTTTTTTTTTATACAAAAAATAAATCAAACCTGAATCTGGGATGTACATTGATGGCTTGGTCGGGAAAAAACAGTGACTTTGACACTCCCTTTTCAACAGGGGTCGGTGGATGCTCTGGTCTGGTAAAACCTGGGCATCCTAATCTACAGATAACATCAATAATAATAATTAACAGTCTATTAGAGTCACAATTCACTACTGGACAGTCCACTTTGGTGACAGTGCAGTACCTTGGAAAAGCAGTGACAGTGGCCAGTGTCTCATTGTCTTTGAGGAGAAATGAAGCCTCTCGCCTCCTCTTGCCCATGTTGCCCTCCACAGTGTTGAATTCTGACATGGTCCCACCATACGGCTGCCCTGGGGTCCCCTCAATCATGTAGCTGCCATACTCAGGCCTCCAGAGGGTGGGGTGACTACGAACATACAGGGATTAGTATGTACAAGCACAGCAATGTTCAGAGGGTTTTTTTCTTGACAAAGACTCAAAAAATGTATATGGAATTGTGTTTTATGGGTGATGCTTCACTCTGATCACATATAATCTTAGACCCAGCTAATAAAATGAGCAGTGTATTAGATGTCCTCTTTGTGCTCTGTAGAGTGTGCGACAAAGTGGCAGTAATGAGGAATGCATCAGCTCTACTATTCCCCAGCACTGGTATTTCCCCTGTGTGAAGTCAGCTTCATAGATTTCAACCAAAGTCATGTGCAGTGAGGAAAGCAAAACATCCACAATCTGTCTGTAAAAACACATGTTCAGCAAGAAGTTCTTATTTTTCAAAAGACGAGTGTCCAAACGACCTGCTAAATAAAATGACTTGTTGTTCATTGAGAGTGAACTTAACGGTTGGTTGTTTACAATGCACAACTGTATAATGATAACACTACACCTTGAATTCAATACATGAATTAAAAACTATAGCAGTGAGCTTAAACTAAAGGAAAATGAGTGTGTAAACGAAAAAATTCACCCCCCCATTTCCCCCTCGTTGGACTAGATAAAGTGGTTCCTAAACAGGATTCAAAAGAACAAAATAAAATCCATAACATGCAACGTCAGGCCAATGTATAATGTGTGGGATAAAACATTTTAGAGCATACTTACTTTGGGTTTATCTTTTCCCCTTGCTCCTGGAGCGTTTCCAAAATTTCAGCAGTTCTCAGTACAAGCCTCACTTTTTCGTTATTGTTGTCCCACTCCATCAACATGTACTCTACCTGAAACAAACGAAAAATATAATAAAAGGCCAATCCTCAAAATTGGAATGTTGAAGATCAGGATTTGGACGTCAACACATCAATTCCAATTCATCAGTCATGTTTCCTTCACTTGGACTGAGCTGAAATCCCTGTCTGAAAGTGGGATTATTCTTAAAACAACAGCATTCCACATTGTTCGAAATCAAAACACTTGGTTTAAGCTGGTGACGTCTGTGGACTGGCGGGCAAATGCTGGTATGAATTCATGAAGGTCAGCATAAGGAGTTCATACAAAAGTTTGTTTTAATGTACAAGGTCACCAGATATAAGCAGAGGTTTACACGATAAGATGTATGCACTTAGGAACAGCGTGTGAAGATGCCATCTAATTAGTTAGTGGTAGAGTTAATATTATATAACAAGTGTGACTGCTTTATGAGAATGCATCAATAATAAATTACATCAAAAAGTGTTTTAGAATGAATTTTGTCAATACAGCGACGTTGTTGCATCACCCTGACACATGCATAACCAAAATACAGTGGTAGCTCCTTACCTCATCACCCCACTTCAGCACATCTTTCTGGCGATCTTTGACCTTGTTGTAGATATTGAGGAACTGAATAATTCCGTGTTTTCTTATGTGGTCAGCATACTTCTTTGTTTCTTCCCAGTTGAGTGGAGACCCTTGTGACAGCAAACCCATCGCACGGCCAAGCTCTTATAACTCTGTGCAAGTGTGGGTTAGTAGTTGGCGTTTGCTTTGCTTTCAGTCACTCTCAGGCAGACACGTCGCATGAACCTCAAGGCGACAAGTCGACTGGTTTAGGTCGAATCGATTAGACAGCGTGCTAAAGTTTCCCTTGCATCAACGTGAGGAAAAAAGCCTCCATGCACATCACCTGCTAATTTCTAGTTAGCACCACAACAGACGATAATGCTAACGGCTAACGCGCTAGTTTGTCTGGTGATTTGAGTGGCTGTTAGCTTTCACAATAGCCGATAAAAAGTTGCCCAGTGCTGGGGCGACAGCGAGGAGCGTCTGGTGCAGATGTTTTGCGCGAATCCAGTCTCTTGTGCCTCGGAGTTGGCTCATATAACGTATAAAGGAGGGACAGAGTTCATATATTAACGCCCTGCTACTCTCTGCACGCTGCACGCTCAACACGTGACGACGTCAGGAGGCGCGTGGTGACGTCACCACAGTGACTCAGCAATTCTGCTCGCTCGCGGCTTTTCTGGATGACAAGGAAATAAACAATTAATATAAAATTAGGTAATCTAAAATAAAAGAGACACTGTACATTTTATTATATAGAATGAGATGTATCTATTTGGTGAAGTGATATTAATTAATGATGAAACATAGAACAAGCAAGAAGACACAGTAAAATGATTTACTGTAGTCAAATTTACAAACAGTAATAGTGACTACATTATTAAATTGGTCTGTTCCATAAATGATTCATACACAGTGTACAATTCACTCACTTCATCACAAATTTGTACATCTGAGATTAATAAAGTTTTATCGTGTGCAGTTGCTTGGACATGCCTAGAATATCTTGAGGACCCCCTCGAAAACGAGATGATTCATCTCAAGGGGCTTATCCTCTAAATAAATAAATAAATAAATAAATAAATATAGTGAGATTGTATTGTTTGTATTGATAGTTTTCCATTGACCAGGCTCAAAGGCTGATGCTCCACGAACAGAGCCACTGTTGCCCAGAAAGGGCATAATTCCTCCATCAGAGTGTCAGACTTAGCCTGATCTTAACCATCCAGCTCTGGATAATTTAGTAGTAATAGTAATTAGTAAACCATATTACTAGTAATATAAGTTTTGTTCTGTTTTTTTTTTCTTCTTTTTTTGCAGAATCATTGTAAAGACAATTCATTAAATGCATGTCTGAATGTGAGTCACGGTTACTTGTAAAAAACCATAAACGCTTTGATTGAAAGATTGTACTTGTAGGTAACCAGAAGTCAATGATTCAGCAGAACAAAGCAAAAGACCAAGAAAACAGTTCACCTAAACCTTACCTTTCCTTTATCTGAGAACATATAAACTATTACATTTCTCTAGTTACAATGTTGCATAAGCACTTACTACTTGTAGTTCTACTTCAAATGGTGTGCCCATACCTTTTGCACAATGCATTGTGTACAAACATATAATGCTGAGTCATCATGCAAATGCAGGTTGGGATTCTTGTGATGTGTCAGTGCTGTTGAAGTTAGTGCTGTGAATGAAGCCTGGCTATTGTTATAGCACAATAAAATGAAACACACATAGAAGTGAAATACAATTGATCTGTTTAATTTAATAACAAATATTAAACATGAGCATGTTCTCATACTCAGGCGGGAAACATTATATGATTTTTTTATTTTCCTTTTTTACAAAATGTCACATGTCACATGTACACCATCATTGTTCCATCCTACAGCACTAAGCAGTTAGGGAAGAGCCACTCCATTCTTTGGTGCCTCAAACATGAAGCACACACTCCTGGCAGGTAATTCCAACTCTTTCAGCCTTTTCTGTTTCAAGTATCATAGACTTACACAATGCACTGGGCTATTTTATATGATAAACAACACATGGGTGAATGTAAATTAATTTGTGTGGTTTTGAATGTGTTGCACAATTGGCCCCAAATCCCTTATCAAAAGTGAAAAGATATGACACTATATGATAATATATAATGATTTCTTCTTGGAGCAAACTTCTGAACAACGTAGAAGGCACTAAACAGTATTTTATTTGAAGACAAGCAGTCCCCCATATAGAGTAGCTATTATATACTGACTGGTGCAGAAGATACTGAACTGGCTCTGGATTCTCGTGTTTTCTTTGTGGGGATTGTAACAACACAGCATGAAATACCAACCGTAGACTCTGGAAGCTCGTCATCTTCAGTCCATTCATTTAGATCCGGGTTGTAAACTTGAATACATTTCTTGTATTTCTTCTCACCCTCGTTCCAGCCTCCAAGCAGATAAATCTTCTTGTTAAAGATGGCGATGCCAGCTGTGCTCACTCCTGTATGCAGTGGTGCACTGTAGCTCCACTGACCACTGTGAGGGTTGTAAGACTCTACAGCCATGACATCCACCCTCTCCCCACGCCCACCCAGCTGACTGCCCCCAATCACAAATGCACGGTCTCCCACTGTGGCAGCACAGTGCCACCCTCGAGGGGTGCTCAAGCTGCTCTTATCCTGCCAGCTATCGGTGGACGGGTCATAGCAGCACACTGCTCTGGAGTAGGCGTTATTGATGTATCCTCCAGACACCAGAATCTTCCCCTCAATAACAGAACTGCCATGACAGCAGCGTGGCACTTCCATGGGGGCCTTCATCTGCCACTGATTAGAAGAGGGCACATAGCACTCCACTGAGGCCTGGACCCCATCTCCATTTCTCCCACCAATAGCAAACAAGAGGCCATTGAAAGTGTTGAGGCTGAAGTGAGTACGTCTCTGGATCATGTTGTTCAGATGAATCCAAGTGTTGAAGCGTGGATCATATCTAGAAAATGCAATATCATTATTTTGTGACAAAAACAAGGAACAAACATGTTCACAAGAACAATTTCATACCTGCAGAAGTTGCTTACAGCGTGCTTAGCTTGATTCCTTGCATCATTCTGGTCTTCTCCACCAGCCACATACAGGAACCCATCAAGCACGGCCACACACTGGTTAAAGCTTTTGGCTGGAAGCTCTGTGAGCCTATTCCACACATTGTCGTCGTCCCGGTAGAGCACATCTTTGCTCAGGGATTTCTCTGTCAGAGCTGGACGTCCGCCCACAGTCAGAATGACCTTGATGCCTCCTCTTACCTTGGTTCTGCGTGACTGGAGGATGTTCTGTTGGTATGGGAGCAGATGATAGTTCATAGCATCCACAAGGAGGCGATGGCATTCAGGGTCTTGCATCATTCTGGGGACATTCTGGACATGGTTTACCAGATCTTGAGCTGAGATGGTTCCAAAGCGAATAAGAGTAAGAAGATCAGCCGCATACTTTAGCCTCTTCTCATCAAAGTCCAACCATTTCATTGCAATCTGGAAAGCTGTCACCTCAGAGGGAAGCTGCAAAGAGTCGTCACACAAGAAGTCACTGATCTGCTCATAGGTTAGCTTCAGGAACTGCTCCATCTCAGAGAACTCAATAAAGTTCTCCCTCATGAATTTCTGTGCGGCTTCCTTCGTTTCTTTGAGCTCGTAAGCATCGGCTATATTTGCTACATACATACAATTCTCCACACTTAGCTCTTGCATCAGAAAATCACTGCACATCTTCACAAGTGTACCAATTTGCAACAACCTGGCAGCAGCAATTGTACTCCCAATGCCATAGAGCGACAGAGTGAGTTTCCCGGAGTATGCGTATGTGATGGTTGTTGCCAGACCAACAGGGGAGAGTTCATTCAGGTCAATCTTCTGAAGAGAGGGATCCTTCTTTAATATGTTACGTATGTACTCGCTGCAAGAAGCCATGACAACCTTGTGCACGTCAAACGATTTGGACTTGGTTCCGACTGTCAGATCACACAGAAAGCTTTCTTGCCGCATGCTGCTCAGACCCTCCAGCAGGTTGGGAGCATACACTGAGTCTGTGACTTCAGTAGAGATGCAGCTGAAGCCATTGCCTCCCTCCAGCAGAGTGTTGAGTCCATTGATCTTGTTAATGGGGCTGTCCTCCACCATGATGGTCATCTCATTGATGTCACTCTTGTTCTTCTTGGCAGCTTTGTTCTTTTTGGGTGCCATGGCTGCTGCAATGACACAGAAAAAAACATTATCAAGTCAGAACGTTTATGTAAAGGTCAAAACCAATACTGTAATTTCAAATACCGAAAATGTATGATGGCATATGGAAAGAGGTGAACCATCAAGTTTAGAGATTCAGTCTCAGCCACTTTAAAGCTTGGTAAGTGGGACTACATATGCTGTAAAGAGCCATTCTTTTGTTTTGGGAGGCAAGAGACTTTTCCCATATTGACAAAGAAATCTTTTAAGTGAGTGAGTGAATTTTGTTTACCACTACCATGTGAAGAGTGATTTAACAACACGGGATATTGTAAAGCTTTTGTGATAAAGATCGAAGTTTGAGAAGACTCAGATACTTTTTGTAATCTTTAATGGTTTGTCTTTCTACAAGGTTTATGGTCATCTGAGTGAGGCCAATCATAAGGCACTCCAAAAAAAATAACGTCAGAGAGTTACTTTTGGTATTTTCAATTACTTTCATTTTTATTTTGAATATTTTTTATTGATTGAAGTAAAAATGAATCAAGTGAATGAAAAAGGGTGTACACAGCACACACATACACATTATAAGAAAACATAGATGCAAAAGTTTGATACCATTTTAATGAAGCAATATCTTAAAGTATGTGTGTTACCAGAGTTTGCCATCAGACCCTTCAATGCATCTGTCACTATTTATCAGCTGTATGTCCAAGAATAGCAGCTCTGGGTCCCCGTCACTGACGTTCCTTTTATAGACTGAGACTTGAGCAACAGGCCTGGTGTCTGTAGACAAGTGAAAGAACTTCCCTACTTGTTCAATCATTATTTTACCTTCTGATTGTAGTTTGTGAAAACCAAAACACAATGTCATAAATGGTGTATAGGCATGATTTGCATTGCAATATATTCAGTAGAGCCAAAGTCAAATTACAACACAACAGATGATAAAAAGTGTTTCAGTCCCTCAATGAGCTTAGCCAGATGTCCATCACAAACCGCAGGATTAGGTCAGTGACAGTAACAAGGACAGCTGCACTTACCTGAGTCAATGGAGGTGAGGCTGAAGAAGAGGAACTGGTTGTCTCCAGGTCCTGGAGCAGGAGAGAGAGAGCAGCCGCAGCACTGTGAGGACACACAGGCGGCTAACTCCTCCTCTGAAGGTGTCAGTGCCAATCAACTACTCTGTGCAGGGGCAGGAGCCTCTCCCCCAACAAATGGTGCCCCACAATAGCATATTGCTTCTCAGACGGTGTGTGTGTACCCCTAATGGTTCTAGAGCTAGAGTTATCTCTTTTGGGTTGATATTCATTTAGAATTAGCATTTGTGTGTTGATGTATAACACCTAATTCTAACTAAGCCATATTTTCTACGTGGTTGTTGTCCGAATGTCTATTCTTGTGAGGCAAAATAATTTCTCAGGTGGTAGCTGAGCACACATGAATGTCACAGGTTCAATTTGTTAGACCTTTTGCCTCAGGTTTATCATAAATAATAATACTAATAATAGCAATATGATAATGATAATCATATTGAATATAAAATATATGATATATAAATATTAATACTTATATTGGTGATAGGCTGGGTTCATTCGGGAATGATATCTTACCTAATTATTATTATTATTATTATTATTAATATTATTATTATTGTTTAATGTTGATTTGATTATTGAAACTAAAACAATATTAGCCTGGGCAAAACAATAGGTCTTTGGTTGATAGGCATAGGCAGTGAAATCAATAATCCTTGAGAACGTTAGCGTAAGTGGAGTTCCACGGACTGTAGTTAGTTCACGCCGTAGCCACGCCCCTGTTATTATTGGCGCAGAGCGCGCCAGCTGTGAGTGCGGTTGGCACGTGCGTGTCCGTGATGGCCAGCAGCACCTCAGAGCTCGTGGACAAAATAAAGCGCTACAAACTCCATCTCACTAACGACCAGGAGGCTGCCAAGGTACACTCTTCGTTCATGAGTCAGCACAGCAACTCATGACACCTTGTGTCTAATAGGATCTTTCAACATCCGTGACGTTACAAAACTTGCCAAAGTGGACTGCATTGAATAAGAGTTTGTTGAAAGTACATTTTGCAGTAATTATCCACATGTGACTTTGCTAGCAGAGCGAGCATCTTGGCCACAGTGCAACAGGAGCTGGCTTGAAAAATGGGAGGTGCTTTGCAGCTAAATTAAGAGAGTCCCGAAGAGCTCAGCTGTGACAGCCACATCACAAGGGAATGAGAAACTTAATGTAAACGATTGGGTTTTCAATTATGTTACTCTTTAGCTTAATATCCAGCTGCAGTCGAAACATACGCAAGAACACACTTTGCATGGACATGGTACACTCTTTATTCAAAGTAACCTGCATACTGGAATTTCCCATTTATAGTTCTGAGTAAAAGGAGCAGAGGGACTGAGTTTCCCATACATAGAACTACAATTCAGCAACTTTTCACGTGACGTCCATATTTGGCATGTCTTGTTTCATTTACGTGAAATTGGTAAAAGTCTTGTCTTGAAAACGTTAAAGACTATTCTATCACACAATTACTTTTCAGATTCAAAAGACTTTAAAGAAACTCAAAGCTTTGGAAATAACTGTGGATGTTCTTGCTGTGAGTCTTGGATCAGTTTTACAGATGATCAATTCTGTTGTATCATTGATGAACCACTGTTGATCTGCTATGAACCTTACATTTCATTTTAATCAGGCGACTGGAATCGGAAAGATTGTGAACTCTTTGCGCAGGCATGAACTCGCTGGAGACTTGGCCAAAACACTTGTGAGAGACTGGAAGAAACTGTTGCCCAAAGATTCAAAGAGGTGTGCGTGACCATTTCACCTTAAACTATGACTGTGATTGTTGTTGACCTGTCTTTCTCTGCAGTCCCACAACCGATGAATTTCCTTGTGCGATCAAATTGGACAAAGAGAAAGTGGTGGCGGCAGATTTGAACAATAATTGTTTGTTTGATGTAAAGGAAGTGGGTGAGCCTGTGAACCAAAAGATCAAAAAGGACAGAAACACAGATGAAACACAAAATAAACGGACCTCTGTAAAGGATAGTTTTAACAAAATCAAAGTTAGTGAAAAGAGAAGGAAGAAAAATATCTGTGATCAATCCGATGAAGAGTCACCAGATGAAACAAGGTGCAAAAGCTACTCACCAACGAACATTTTGGGAAAAGGGAAATCCAAATGTCACAAGAGAAAAGCATATCAATTTTCTGACAATGAGAGCGACAGTGGTTCTGACAAAAAGCCAGTGAAGAGGACTAAACCCAAGACTCAACTTTGCCCTGAGCAAAGCCGTAAGAGGTCCAAGCACGAGGGGTCTCCAGTCAGACACTCTGAGACTCAAAAGAAGAAAAAGAAACCCTCTCTCAAATGCAAAGGAAAAAGTCCAGTCAGTAAAAATAAAAAGAGAGAACATGAAGAGAAGGTCGACAATAGCGACGCCGAAGAGCCGACTATGTCATTTGAATCTTACTTAAGTTATGACCATAGTGTGACCAAAAGGAGGGAGCGTCCCAAACCTAATAAGCATCTCTCCAAATCCAAACCTGTATTTAGAAAAGAGACAAAAAAAGTTGTAACCGTTCCTCAATATGAAGAACCGTCAAATGAGCCGATGAAGTGTCTGCCAGTGCCTGTGTGTCCTGATTCCCCAATAAAGGTATACTTGATGTCTACATTATGTACATGCACGTGCATTTAACATATTTTTCTTTTTGAAAGATTACTTCGCAGTGCATCATACAGATTCCAGAAAGCCCTCCTTTAGAGTCATGGTTCCCTGAAGTAGAAAACAATCCCAAAAGAAAAGGTTGTGTGTTTTTTGTTTTACCACTGTGCAAAACGGTAATGAGTGATGTTTTAATCTATTTTTCAACCGCTGAAAAAGATGATTCATATGACATTTTGGAGGAATCGGCAGTTTTTACTGGTCAGCGACTTAACAAGAAGATGCAAGTCTACTCTGGTGCAAAGACTGTTTTCCTTCCAGCTATGATGAGCCTTTATCAGCAGTGTATCCGCACACTTCAGAACAACATCAACTGTGAGTGGGCCTCTGGTTTTAAACCCTGCCTATTTATGTGATTGCGCTGACTTGTTATTCACATGGTCTTTTCTCAGTACTGTATGAAACTGGAGGAGTCCCCTTTGAGATCTTACAGCCGGTGTTGGAGAGGTGCACACCAGAGCAGCTTCTCCGCATCGAGGAGTACAACCCAGTGAGACATTTCAATCACTTTACTCCGCAGTGATTTACAAAATTCCCTAAATAATTATAAAACAAATATTTTGAGCTTAATTTTGATGACTTTCCCTAGCTTGGCCTCTCCTCGATCATTTTGACCCTAATTTAGGGTATCTTTTTCTACTTTTAATTACTGTGGCAGTAATCATTTTGACATTGGGATAGCACATGGGTTGCTGCTGTTCTGCCCAGGGGCAGAGTGATGAGAGATGTGTATTGTTGTGCTTTGTTGCAGATTTATATTGGAGAAACGGATCACTTGTGGGGAAAGCACTGTCAAAGGGACTTTAAAGATGCCAAACTCCTGGAGTATGAGTCCTGGAAAGAAATGTACATCAGACTATCTGAGGAGAGGGAGAGGAAGTTTAAAAGGCTCACAAAAACCATTTCTTCAGCACAATCCACTAAACCTCAAGGCCAGTATTCAAGACATTACAACAGATCTAAGTTGGACATACACCATTTTACTTAATTACTACAATAATACTAATGACTTTGAGAATTATGGATTTATTTGTTAGTATGGATGTAATTTTGCTGCTGGACACTTTATCCTATGGGACATCAATTAAATAACATTTTAAATTAGCAGCTTTGTAGTAAAACTAAAATCACAATGATCATGAGTGAATGTAGCTTAATGTTCTGTGTAATTCTTATTAGGTCGGCAGGTGAAGATGGCATTTATTCATAGTGTTGCCAAGCCACCAAGAGATGTGCGAATTAAGCAGGAAATCCATGGAACTGCAGTTCAGCAGCCTCTTCCCAAGTGCAGGTGAGCCGCGGAGGACAAACACAAACATGTACACAGCAACTATTTATATGAATAGGAAAGCTTCCTAATGTCAGGGCAGTTATTGTATCATAAAGAGTTGTTTATGTTGTGATCCTGACAGTTTATAGAGCATGCCTTGATAAATGTTTTCAAAATATAAATCTCAGTGTGAAACCAGTTCATGACAGCAGACCCAGACAGATGCCAAAAGAGTCCTTCAGCAGAATCAGCACCACCTCTACATCAACATCAAGCACTTCACAAGATCCAAGGAAAAAGACCAGTAAATTCAGATTTGCCCCAAAATGTGATGTTCTTACTCTTGTTTTATTTTATTACATGCTATTTCTATTCACAGAAGTTGCACCAATGATGGCCAAATCTCTAAAAGCCTTCAAGAAACAGTTTGGTCGCAGATAAACCTCTCTTGAGGTTGTGGGAGACATTCACCTTTGTCATTTATTTTGGACTGCAGAACAAATGTACACAAGATCCTATTCACCAATAAACTGACGAAGTGCACCTTTGAATCTAATGACTTGTGTCAATGTTTATGGTGTTAGCGCCCTCTAGTGGTTATTTACAAGACATCCACTGTTACAAAACTATTCATCCATTCTAGGTATTTGAGCAAAGATCCCACTCAATTGTAGAAAGCTTAAGTTGAAATATTAAGGTAACGTGGGATCAGTCTGCGTGCAGCCAGGTTTGCTTGCAGAATTCCGCAGTTAAAGGCCTCAATCTGCAATTAAAAGAACCTGGTAATATCTGCATACGTTTATAAACATACTCTTGACAGAGTTGTCAATGATTAATGCATTAAAGCTGACCTTAATTGTAAAACATGTACACAGTATAATCCACGGTAAAGCCCACAAAACGACACAATTTTTATACTTTGTTTATTTTTTATTTAAAAAAAAAAAAAAAAACATGAACTTGGAGCTCAGGTGTGAGTTTGGACTGTGACGCCCCCAGTGGCCGGCTTGTGTATCACAGGCCCACATCATGGCGCGGTGTGCGGGACAGGGGCTGGGGGTGGGACGGAGGAGGAGCTGGTGTGGATGACGCAGGATCGGAATGAGGGAGTGAATGTTCCGGGTCAGAAATTGGACAAGAGGAAATTAACTCTGGAACGAGAAGAGGAAAAGGGATAATGCTGCTTTCCTGTTCTCTGAGATGTTACCCGTGTTTTTTACGCTGAAAAGGGGGCTAGTCGCGGGGGTGGGCTTCGCGCAACAAGCGCCTGAGTGTTGAAAAACAGGTGCCTGCAAACTATCTAAAGTGACACCGCGACATAGACCAGTCCCATGTCCGAGAGCTGCCTCGGTCCTCTGCAGCTTCGTGTTAGTGAGTTTATCTGGAGGGCTCGCTTCGTGGCAAACTGTTGCATCTCTTTCTCCCGCTGTTAGTTTGTCGCTGATCTCGGGCTCTGCAGCCGCCCGCCCCCGTTATGTTTAACTGTATCCCTCTGTGGCGGTGCAACCGTCATGTGGAGATGATCGATAAACGCCACTGCTCCCTGCTCTATGTGCCCGATGACATTTACCGCTATGGACGGAGTTTGGAGGAGCTCTTGCTGGATGCCAACCAACTTCGAGACTTGCCTAAGGTAAGCACAACCCGCTTCCGCTCATTTAACTTACACACACTGGAGTTATTTGTCTGATCTAATGAAATGACGTCCTGTGGTGAATCCTGTCAGCGTCATTACGCGCGACCAGCACAAGCTGAGCAGGCAGAACAGTCCTACACAACAGGTGAACAACATGCTGCTCTTTGGCTGCAGTGATCCTGAGCCTGGCTCTGGAAGTGCTGCTGTCTGACCTATGGCTGAGGTCAACAATGACCTTAGGCGCTGATGGAGACTGACACGGAAACCCCTGTGCAAAGAACTGGCCACTAATGGACCACACTTTAACTTACAGGCCTACTGTGACATATCCTGTGGTGACGATAAGTCTACCTGGTGAAAAGTGTCCCAAGTATATTCGTTAAGCACAGGCCATGACCATGCATTTTGCAAACAGAACTTCTATGAGTATTACAGGGAAGGAGTCTATAACCCCTTTCCACTCCTGCCTTTTTCTCTAAACAAATTCAAATTGAATGAATTCAAAATTCAATGAATTTTTTCGTGCCCTTTGCAGGTACAAACAAATGGCCAGTCTCCCTGCAAAGCTATGGTCTTGTAGTTTCTCTTTATAAGTGGGAGCCACCAAATATTTCTTTAAAATATGTTTCAAACATTGCACATGTCTGTTTAGAAAGACCCCAACAGACTGAGTTTTAATGTCATCAAACATAATAAGGAGTCTGTAGTTCTCTGTTGGCTTCACATCAGTGTTACCTTACTAAAATTTACACAATATCCAAACAACTTGAGTAATCGATCAAACAATTATTATGAAAATAATTGTTCGTTACTGCCCTTGTTACATTGAAACTGCTCCTCTTCTTTAAAGTTATTGTCTATGAACTGTAATATGTACATGACATGTCCTTTATTGTTTGGTATCCCTCCCACTGCTCTGAATATAAAGTGCCCCTCAAGGGCCCTCAACAAACCCACACACACAAGACATTTATTTCTTGTAGAAAAATGGGATGGTTGTGGCACTCTCATTTGCTGTAAAATATGTTTTTGTTGTAAAGATTTCTTTAGTGGGGCTTTACTGTTGTTAAAGTATTCTGTTATTAGGTTGAGTTTATATGAAACATTTCCGTGGTGGAGCTGTGAGCTGTAGTATTTGGGGTCATTACCTCCAGAGCGTTGTTGTTGACAGAAGCCTGACAATCATTGTTTGGGAACTTTTTACATTTAACATTGTTTCCTGTCAGACAGGTTTGTCTGTCTTCTCCCTGTTTCCGGCCTATTTTGAAAAGCTGAAACTCCACTGGTGTGGTGAGCTCTTTTAAAGGCCCTCAAATTGGCAGTTTATGAGCAGAAGTGTAACCGCTGACATGTTGGGGCTAATAAGTAACATCACTGACTGCTCATGAAAACACGAGGCTCTATGGGCCTCTGTTTAAGGCCTGACAAACTAAACTCATTTGTTTGAAATACTGTTTAGGGTCAGTTTTCTTCCTCATAATAATGTTGTTAATAACCAATTTTTAAATGTTGCAACATCATACATTTTATGATGTATGATGTATGATTAATTTTGAAGGCCAGAGATCTAGCAGATAGTAATTCTGGATTTTATAAAATACAGCGTCTTATTCCACCACATGGCGCCTCACAAATTATTGTTGACAAAACATCCTCTAATTACTCCATTGTGTTGTGCAGTTCCCTACAGTGAGTTCTAAGATATTTCTGCTATGTTTCGATGATGGAACAGTTTTATTATTATTGCCATTGCAACAGCCTGCATTGAGAGGAATGCCACAAAACATGTCTTCTATAGGTCTTTGTTTTGGCCCCGGCTGCATTCAAACTGACTCCACTTTAGTGAATGCTTCAGTCCCATCAAGAAACATTCTCTGGTTAAAAAGATATAATCAAGCAGAAAACATGCATAAGTGATTAGAACAGCAACAAGATGAGGCAAGTCCAGTCAGAGAGAAAAGCGTCACTAGTTTTACACAGAAGCGTAGATTCATTCTGCTCTTGCTCTTAACCAGTTTATTTTGTTGTGCTGTCTTCATTTCCTGTGTTGTATTGTCTTATTCTTCAATAATTGAGTAATTGCACTTCTAAACGGTGTGTCTTCTCACAGTGCTACAGTAAATGATCTCCTTCCCCATATATTATAATTATAAACAGATTCTCTGAACATACCCTGTAGATTTTCAATATTTTATTAAATCTTTGCAGGTCGTTATGATAGGTAGGGCCCCCTACTGAAGTCTCCGCCACTGGGATAAAAGTGGCAATATCCGGGAAGCTTGACATGAATTAACTGGTGTTTGAGGAAGTTTGTGGGTAGACAGAGACATTTTCATGCAGAAAGAAGAACAATGTAGTTATATATTGTGTTTGCTTTCGCTTGATGTGCTGAAGGTCTACACAATGACCTAGTAACATGATTTGGATTGTCTTGTTCATGTGTTATAAATATCTTACAAATTTCTACTGTTCAGAACAAATTGAGTATTACCAGAACTTGTACAACCTCTCGCACGCCAGTATTGTCAGTTGAAAATATTCTTTCAAAGCACCTGTACCTTTGGCAATCATCTATACAGAATGTTGTCACTAGGGCTCAATATAAACAAAAATCACTAAGAAAATTTGACATTTGAGTATATTGACTATGGAACAAGCAAGTATTTTTTGTCTCCTGGTCTGTTAGAAGTACTATTTTCTCATTCCAAGTCTCAGCTGTATCTCATGTACATAAATTGTCAAACAATGGGCAATTTGTGAGAAAAAAATAAAAACGATAATTCCAGCGTTCGTACCCTAAACCCTAAAATGTTTGTGACAATTTTTTTCTACACAAATAATGGGTACACTTTTAGTTATATCACCATAAACATTTTCTGAAACGTGTGGGTTTTGTGTATTCGGTAATCGCTTCACATTTGTCACTTTTTCAAATGTCGCTCTCGTAAACGGCAGTATTGTTGAGGCGAAACATTCAAACATTTACTCGGATGATAGAGCGAAGTTAATGTATTCTTAGCCGAGGCTGTCTGCTTCGGCGTCACACTCGAGTGGCTGGTCGGGGTGTGGAGCCGAGATGCCAACAGGAAGAACTGGTTTGGTGTCTGTGTAGCGTGCGTAATGGAATTATCAGAAAGCTTGTGGCAGAACCTATAAAACTGGAATAATATCACGGGTGGATTGTCTTGTGTGCTCCCCGTTCCTTCTGTTCTGTAACTTGTGATGCAATACTGACATTTTCCCACTATGGGACGAATTTGGGAGTTTGATGGATTTTACGTCATTATTTTGAGGTAGTTAATTATCAAACTTTGTATCATTGTGGTAAAAATTGTATATTTATCTTAAGTGTGCTCAGTCATTCTATAAATCCTGCCACAAATTGGACCTGCTGCTATTTGCGTTTTGCTTTTGTTCTATAAGTGCAATGAGGTCTTGGCTTTATGAAACAGACACAAAAGTGAAATGACTGGGATTACCCTTCAAAAGCCTCAGATAATGCCTTCTATAGATTGCAGGTTTATTTACTTGCCGCGATGACGGATTAAGATGGCTGTTTGAATGGTTTTATGCCTTCAGAATTACCAGGGCCTTTTGTGGGAGGGTGGGGTTTGACTTATGCACTCCTGGTTTTCATTTGTGCGTTTTCCGGTTATGAAAGCGTAATGACAATAAGTAGAAAAAAAATCAGACTGGCAAACAGGCGGTTTAAATTGAGGCTCTGCCCTTAACTACTGTATGTGATGTGGTCCTTTATAATATATACAGAGTTTGAAGTATGTGTGTAAATTATGCACAGTATAATTACACCTTTGGCCCTCATTTATTTGAACAGGTCATAATGATTGTGTTGTCAAATATTAATAGGAGATTATTTCACAGTGCACCCGGCGTGTTCATGTATTTTTCATTTACAAACTACGCGCTAAAGATGGGCTCATTGGGCAAAATATATATATTTTTAGTGTAGTCCAAGATTCTAACAATAGTTCTCAATCTCAGATGGATGTAACTGTATAAGAACATCCCCTCGCTTTCATTTTTGACAGAAGAAAAGGCACTATAAATATGAAATTGTATAACTGGTAATAACCTAACGTCTTCAGGTGGACATTTTTATAACCTGGTACAAGGATTCTTTTAAATGTAACTTTATTGACCACTGTAGAGGAAAATTGTCTTTAGTCCCCCAGTGCACAGACACACATCTGTCTTGCACAAATACAGAGAATGAATACATTAAAATATATCTGCATTAAAACAATCAATTTCACATTCTTACATTCTACACTGTCCCAGTTCAAACAAAATCATACCCATCCATTCTGAACGTTCAATATGCCCACTCAGAAAGACAGAGACGTGTTACTAAAACTGACTTTATTCAAACTAATAGGATAGTAACAACATACCTCAATAATTCTTCTTCTTGTTCTTCTTCTATTTTCAGCCTTTTTTCCAGTTGCTCAAACTTCGAAAACTTGGTCTCAGCGATAATGAGATTCAGAGGCTTCCTCCAGAAATCGCCAACTTCATGCAACTGGTTGAACTGGACGTTTCTAGAAATGGTATGAGAAATGTATGTTCTGTGTGATCGTCACTAGGGCTGGGATTGACAAAACAAGTAAAATGTAAACATCACCACAAATTAAATTGACCGGAGAATTCAAGCTGATTTCAGTGATAACACTCGTGACTGTTTTCAAAGATGGAAACTTGGTGCACTCAGAACCCACTTTTTATGCAAGACTTTTTGACTTTAGGCTAATTTCAATGTAATGATGGATTAAAGTATTCTGAATTCTCATTTCTTAGTTTAGTAAACTCAAAAGTATGACTGACATTGACAAAAACTGTACTTATAATATACATAATCATATTTTCCTCTTCACATTATCATTATCAGAAAAGGCAATTTTATATTAAATTGTTTTCTTGTTTATTTTTTTGATTGGGAGTTTGACCTGGCTTGAAATATGATAGTTCATCTGCAGCTGTTTTGTTCATTATCTTTTTATTTTTAATGTTCTAACAAACAAATTCTTGTAATTGAAATAAAATAATAAGTAAACTATTACGAAACTTGGTCTAATAATAAATCTTCAACCAAATAACCTTTTTAAATAACAGACGAAAGCAGCTCTATAATGGCTTGTGTGTGGGCTCAATTACATTTACTGAAGATTCGTGCAGAATTTCTGTTGTGACGCATCTATGAGCCATGACCGCGGTGGTTCCGTGCATTAGCCGTTGACTCCATGTTCCTGAAATTGGCCGTAGCTCATTGTTTGGACACAGAGGTGGGATCCATTTGCAGCAGCTCTAAAGAAAGTGACTGGTGTGAAACTGCATTTATCACGGACAGTTGAAACTCTGTGCACACAGCTCTTTTCATTTTCACTCCTCACTCGCTCTCTCACGTTCACATATTGCTACCTAATTCAATTGCAATTATTTTTTTCTACAGATATTCTGGAGTTACCAGAGAGCATTGGATATTGTAAAGCTCTACAAGTTGCTGATTTCAGTGGCAACCCATTAACAAGGTAATCAAAGTAGAAAATCATACTTTGTTCAATCATTTTTCTGTTGATCGTGTGATATTCGAATGGACAACAATGAGAAAAAACAATGAAGTACAATATTGGCACTCGAGGGTTAAGTCTGCTGCACATCTGGTCTTTGCTTCTACATTTTCTTTTTGCCAATGAGTTTCAATACAAGTCGTCACCAGGGCAACACAGGTTAATGTTTACTTTTTTGTTTTTTTTATAGTTTGACTATATGACTACAATGTCATTTCATAATGTATAACCTTTTAAAAAAACAATTATATTTTCTTATACTATAGTTTCAGGTCACCCTTTCCACATTAGTGTTTCTAGACCATTTTGGTTGCATTAGGTTCATTATTTTAGTAAAAATATGAATATTGTGTGTATGATTTTAAAATGTCTAATTTGCATATAAATGGGGTCGGGGCATGTTGTCTGTCCATCTTCATTATCATACATAACTAGAAAATGTATTTGCATTAACGTAATCATTTCATAATGGCTTTAGTGAATCTGAGCCCACAGCACAATGTGCTCATGGCTGCGATCGCTCTGGATCTTGGTCTTGACTTGTCATCGTAATTGAATAAAATCATTATTTCCCATTATGCACATTCAGGCAGAACTAGGCCAGCAGCGTAAGAATGCAGACCAGCCAAAACCAAGCCCACTCTATTGTCACACTGCTGTTCACATACAAGTTAGCCATTTGTTTCTGTCAGACCTTTCTCCACAAAGGGCAAAGGACAATGCCAATGAACCAACTTGCTTAGCTTATCACCGCTTTTATGGCTGTGCCCAGCAATTAGCACTAAAATCAGCATGTTAAAGGTGCTTTGTGTCCCTTTTGTGCTTCAAGGTCTACCCACTGCTTTTGTCAATGGATACGTCTATATATGGTTATAATATTGATGTGTCTAGGGCTGCAATATTAATTATTTGTAGTTGGAATTATTAATGGAAGATAATTTACACTTTTTTTTGGTTGACAAAACTTTTTTTTGTTCTGTCTAAGAGTACTCTTTTAGATTTGGAGTTCAACTACCTTTTCCTTGTGCAAGAAAACAAAATATGGTGTCTTTTTATTAATACGATCTAGTGCTTCTCTCTGCTTTATATGCTAATCTAATGCTAATATATTTAGTAGATTTTAAATCTCTGTTGAGCTAAAACAATGTACGGAAAGGGAGATGCACACGCTTCTATATCCGCTCTTCCTCTTTACATCAAAGGCCCAGCAGGCTCCGCTCAGACCTCAGACCAAGTAGTAATGAGTGAACACTGTATTCATATGAGAAAAAACAACTGGCAAATCCTGTTTATTATCAATTACATTTCTTTTTGCATATCCATAAATCACAACAGCCAGTTTCTCAAAGGACTTTACAAAGTTGTTGATTTGTTAACAACAGATCAGAGAATCAAACCGCTTTGTAACACAGGAAATGCAATGATAATACACTCTTAGGAGCCATTGGTTCATAGGTGGGGCGACAGTGGCTCAGTTGGTAGAGCCTTTGAGCCTGAAGGTCGTGGGTTCGAGTCCACCATAAGACCTCCACGATAAGACCTTCTCCACCGACTCCCACTGATGACTGCTGTCGTTGTGTCCTTGGGCAAGACACTCAACCCAACTTTGCCTGAAGCCCCTGCCTTAAAGATCTCTGCTCCTATGGACTCACCACCTGCAGGAGGATCAATGAGGGGCTGGTGCTATGTATACTGGGTGCAGCTCTGACTGCCACCCCCCCAACCCAGAAATGGATGAAGGGGAAGAAAATGGATGGATGGATGGTTCATAGGTAGCAGGATGACTAATGTCCATGAATGTGCATAAATGTCTATAAATGTCCCTAAATGTCCTTGGACGGCAAAAAATTACAAAAAACCTTGGTGAAGCCAATATTCCGCTCCGAGAGGGATCCGCTCCCACGGACTCATAGGCTGTAGATCCAGGACTGAGGCTCTGCTGTGTTGGACTGAGGAGGCTCCTGGCAGGGAGGGGATGCAGCCAAGCCTCGGTGATCCAAGATGGCGCCCTATTCAAATAAATGGCTTGTGCTCAGTAGCGCATGGGACTTCACGGATTGATGGATGGATTATATCCCATGATGCGTTGCGCCAAATACGAGGGGATCGGCCGCGCTTTGACCAATCGGAGCTGCTGATCGGAGCTGCTGCTGATCGGAGCTGCTGCTGATCGGAGCTGCTGCTGATCGGAGCTGCTGCTGATCGGAGCTGCTGCTGATCGGAGCTGCTGCTCGGAGCTGCTGCTGATCGGAGCTGCTGCTGATCGGAGATGCTGATCGGAGCTGCTGATCGGAGCTGCTGATCGGAGCTGCTGATCGGAGCTGCTGATCGGAGCTGCTGATCAGAGCAGCGGTAGAGCGGGAAGGAAAGGAGCAGAGTTTGTGGCAGTAAAGTGTGGATTTAAAGAAAACAGAAGAATTTAAGAAGGAAAAAAGTTCAGGAGGACAAGGGACGCTAAAATCCCCACAAAATCCGACCTTTATGAAAGCTGCAGGTTCTCAGTCAGCTGAGGTCGAGCTGTTATAATTTACATTGAGATCTATGGGACTTTTTTCTGGGTAGCCCACGTGAATTTAAATTGCAGTACCACGGGCGCCCCCTGTGCCTATGGGTGGGACAGCTTTAAGCTAGTAATACCCTATCCAGTTATTATAGATCCATGGATGCAGCCCACGAGTCGGGGAGTGACCAGTTCGCAGGTGCAGGCAAAAGAGGCCAGGCCAGCTTCAGGGGTTCTATCGTCATGCCATGACACCGACAATGGACAAATAGCAATTAACAAATTAGAGCTGAAATCAGTCTGTAATGATGACAGAAAAAGTAGGAGTATCACTATTTCATGAAATAAGTGGGAGTGGCTATAGAGGTGGTCAGAGGAGTGAGTCGAGCTCAATGATGGATGTAAGGGAATAAAAAGGAGGCAAACATGTATAAATCAACAGTTTTGAAAAAGTGTGGGAAAACCACTCTAACGGCATCCAATGCAAAAAAGTCCATTTCATGCTTCTCCCCTTCAAGGATTCATTGTACCGCAGTCAAATGATATCAAATATGTTCTGAAATTCTGTCAACAGATTTTATAGTTCAGTTTTCTCATTCACATTTTTTGAGACTACTATATTCTGAACAAATTCAACCGATCAAACATGTGTATTTTGTGCAAATGCTGCAGTCCTGTTGGTGTTTTGCATAGTGTTGAAAATGTACATTTGCAATACACTTGTAGGTGACCTCTGTCTTGTTTCACCAGATTACCCGAAAGCTTTCCAGAGCTCAAGAATCTCACATGCCTTTCCATAAACGATATTTCACTGCAAGTCCTTCCAGAGAACATTGGAAAGTAAGTCCCAAGTTGCTTCAAAGTGCAATTCTATTTTCATGTTCCCATCTGTAACATTGAGCTGGTGTAATTGAACGTGATTAAAATTGGTTGCTTTCTCTCATTATGTCATTTTTATACCTTTTTTAAAGAAATATATTACTTTCTTTCTGTTTTGTGTATGCTTGTGAGGGCCTCCCACTCTGTGTGACCTGGCATGTTTTAATCAGAACCTGTAAAATCCCCAGTTATGAAAGTCTATCTGAGGCCATTTTGTTTGAGGTAATTAGTGTAATATTTGAAGTATTTGCTTTCAGGGCATGTTGTTTAGAACATGCTGTGGATACAGTGAGATGGAAGTTGGTAAATTGTGTCTAGACCATTTAATCCTTTAAAGTTCTTTTATAAATTCCTGTTTTTTTTACGTCCATTTTTCTGAATGTTTTGTTGGTACCTTGAATGCAGGGGTTTTGTCTCATCTTGCAGCGCTGGTGCAATAAAGTTGGAAATGTTGCATCACTTCCTGCTTGAGAACACTGTTGAGGGGTTTCATGTCAAGACTAAATTAAATCCGCTTATTTCTATTGTGATAGACTGATAAAAGTGCAAACAGGAGGCATTCAGCAGCCCTTCTCCAACTTTGTTTTCTTTTTTTCTATAGACGAGCTCAGAACACGGTTGATCTCTGAATTTATAATTTTCCTTAATACTAAAAATCTAATATTGATTTGAGTTTAGTTTGTTTTCATGTTTTTGTTTTCTTTGTCTCATACTTATTTTTATGAAAACATTGGTTTGTTTTGTCCCATCTTGAGACAAAATCCAACAAAACATTTTTAAAAATATACTATAAATGTAATTATGTATCAACTTGCTGTCCTATAGAGTGCAGACTCACACACGCACAAATACTTGATTCATGAAAGATTTGAAATAATTTTAAATCTTTATTTTTAAAAGGCTGTTTTTGCCAGTGCTAGTTTTTCTCTTCGGAAATAGAAAGGACAAATTATTACCAGTGTGTTTTGGAGGTGATCTGGTTTGGATCCAGGATATTTTTTATTTAAATTAAACTGCGCCTGTTGAGGGCGATCTGCACGCTACAAGCTCTTTTTTTTTTAGCTGTACATGTTCTATGCATGGAGCTGTCGGTCAAAATATTTTTCCTCAATAATTTCCTCAAGCAAAACAGTCGAAAGCCCTAAACATAAAATGTGAGCAGTCCTTGTAAACAGCAGTCTAATGTAAACCACTTGAGCACATGCACTGCAAACGTGTCTCAACAAAAAGTGGATGAAGATGTATTTTCAACCCACAGTTAAGGCCACTGAGGCACACGTCTGCACCTTCTCCTCGGTGGTACGACATTTGGCCCACATATGTTCTGGCTTAACCAGAGCGGAGAGTCTGCAGTCCATCAGAACAAAGCAGTGAAGCCACGGCACATGTGCAGAATCACATGAACGCTCCTGGGATCATGGTGGCAATAGTTTATCACTCCCTTTAGCCTAAAATACATATGACAGGATTTGATGTCATTATAGTTGCCATTAATACAAGAGACACTATTCAAATACAGCAAGGATTAAATCATTTATGATTACGCAGAAAAGCTATTCCAGCAAAGGCTGCTTCAGAAAAAAAACAAAAAAACAATTAATTTCTCGTCTTGTTATTTGGCCAATAACATAACTTGTTTACATTGGAGAAATTTTTTCCTTGTTAACAATTTGGGATTATCATGTGTGATTGAATCATTTTACAAAGGATGTATATAAAAATCTTCACACTGGGCTCACATCTGTAATTTATAGCAAAGTTGCCAATGATAGACGTATCGTGGTAATCAAATTCATACTCCACTGTCAGCGAGACCGCAATGAGGGGGCTTCAACTTTATCTTGCCTTATATCTTTTTGGTGTCCGTATGTCCCCCAGGAGAACCCTTTGTTGGGCCCTGTTAAGCCCGAGAGAAGTCATTCCGAAGAAGCACTACAGGGAAACCAGGGCACCAGGCACGACAGACGCACAGATAGATTTCCAAAGAATAAAATAATCTTAAGGCATTTCAGTGAAGGGAGTTTATCCTATTCTGCTCCTTTTAGTCTGTTGTTTTCCTGCTTTTACTGATGTTTAAAAAAACAGATTTGAAATGGAAGTGGTGCGATGCACTAGTCTCTTAATCTCATGTCTGTCTGTCATCTGCTGCTGAATGACAAACTCACTACAACCAGGATTAGCTGCAGTTCATGAGTGTCACCACTGATTGAATATGATCCGACTCATGCACTGTTGCTTATTCAACTCTAAAGGGGGCGGGGATTTACAAAGTGATCACATTGCAAGGTTTTAACATGCAAAATGTGAATATTTTGGTCCGTGAGTTGCTATGAACATAATATATACAGTATATAAGAAAGACAAATATTTGTACATTGGCTGGAAATAAAGCTGAGGCAGCTTTGTATTTGGATTAGTTTATTTGTCTAGCACAGTTCATACATAAGGCAACTCAAAGTACTGAACAAATCAAGATGGAAACAACAAGGCATTCAAATGACCAGTTCATTAAAATACCTCAGTTCAATGAACAGATAAATAGAACTGTTTATAACCTGGATTTGTCATATTTGTCAGAGAAGAAGTCTGTCTCACTTTTTCAGGAAGACTGTTTTCTTGATTTTAGCTGCATAAATCTGAAATGCTGCCTCTGGGCACTAGCAGGAGGCCAGTCCCTGTGCTTTTCAGATTCCAAGTTGCACAAGCAGAGCCAGTGCAGAGACCTGAGGACTGGACTGATGTGATCATATTTGGTTCTTGTCAGGACTCACTGTTTATGAATGTACTGCAGCTGTTTTACTGCTGCTTTGAGACCTGTGAGCAGACCAGTGCAGTATAGTCTAACCTACTGGAGACAGATGCATGGATAAGAATCTCCAAGTGTCCTTTATACACTGTTTTTGATCCTGGCAATGTTTTTGAGATGATAAAATTGCACATCATCCTTTAGCTCTCTTCAATAAATTTAAATCCAAAAGTATGACAAGTATCTTGTTCCTTGGCTTGTTTTCTGGTTTCATTTTGAATTCATCCCAGATATATTCCATGAAGTCATTGTCATTTTCCATTACTGCACAATGATTTTATTTTATTATCTTATAATGACTTGTGCCAGGATTAGAATTGGATATCAAACCGATTCTGAAGAGACAAATTACTTTCACTATTAGAGCAGTTTTCCAATCTGCCCATAGATGTATTTTTGGCCAGGCGTTCATTAATTTGTTTTTTTGTGTTGATGGCAGAAAGGCTGTTATGAACTTCAGACGATAACGCTGTACTTGGCGCTGTGTCAGTCTTATCAGGGCAGTAAAATCAGAGCTGCATAAACAACTTTAGCTTTAAATGAAGAACAAAACATCCAAAGTGCTTCCTGTCCCTGCTGTCTCTTGCAATAGAGGCCTGCTGCAAATGGCCATTTTGTAAAGTGAAATTTATTGAATCATCTCTGTCCTGCCAGTTTCATAAAATATTATCCTAACCTGTAATAATTGTTGCAGCCTTTCCAACTTGGTATCACTAGAGCTGAGGGAAAATCTGCTGACATTCCTCCCAGAGTAAGTCTCTTCATTAAAACTAATGATGCACAATACTCAGTAAATCACTTTGTGTTGTTTTTGAGAATAATTTCTGGGATCAAGTCAATCTAATCACAATTTTTAACCTTGTATCCCTTTGTCTTTTCTCTCATCTACAGGTCTTTATCGCAACTCCATAGACTTGAAGAACTTGATTTAGGCAATAATGAGTTATACAGTTTGGTGAGTTTGAAAATGATTCTTTGTATATGTAGGTTTCCTTGATCCGCATTGCATCCGCTGCGACCCTCTGTCAACGCTATTGAGGAGGACCGTCTGATGTGAGCTTATGCTTGTGTCACCATCTCTCTGTAAATCTGCAAATGCAGCGCAGCGGAGTCTTGGCTCTGCCTCTTTGCTTATGCTGCCTGTGTTTACTGTGCTTAGAAGAGAGGAATACAATCTCAATTGGTTTAGGATTTTCTGGTGGTGTTCAGGGTCTTGTCAGACCTAATTCCTAAATTGTGTAAATCCCAAATAGGATTTACTATTACGTACAGTCTTTATTTTTTATTCTAGCACTCTTTTATATCTGTTTCTTGGTTTTTCTTTTTGGAACATCGTTTAATGGTATGTTCCAATCCATATTTATAAACAAATAAATGCATTCATTCATGGTGATTTATCTTTTAGACATCTCAAAGACAGGAAAACCAACAGGAAATAAAATAAAGTTATTGCAACTTTTGTGATAAATAAATTTCCTTCTTTTAAATACACTATTTTGCATTGCATCTACTTTAAACTTCCTTCTTATGCCAAATGTAGAGATGTTATACTTCTTTATGATACAGTCAGTTTTTTGTGCTCTTATGCTAAAAATCAAGATTTTATACTTGTTTCTTCTTCATTCTAGTTAGAGATTGTTTATTTTTAGTATAGAGGCATTGTTCATTTATCTTGTGTGTTACTCATTCCTTCTGTGCCGTAACTGGCGGTGCAACACTGAAATTTCCCCACTGTGGGAACGATTAAGGATCGTTTAATCTATAAATTGGGCATGTCTATAAACTTGAACTATAAGATGCTTAGTCGGTCTTGCTGCTTGTTTCTAGACCATTTACATCCTCATTACTTTACCAGTCCATGACCTCCTTTTGACTTGAACATTTCGCCTGTAGGTTTCTCTGCGTTGTTCAGTTGTTTACGTTCACTGTTCTTTGTGTCTCCGGAGACCATTCCTTCACTTTCTCCTCTCTGTCTCCCACTCAGCCGGACACAATAGGCTGTCTTGTGAGTCTAAAAGATCTATGGCTCGATGGAAACCAGTTAACGCAAATACCTGCTGTAAGTTCCCTCGCTATTCATTCTTCCAACTTCTCCGCAGTGTATTATTGATGTTTTCTATTTATCTATTTAAGGAAATGGGCAGCATGAAAAGTCTGTTGTGCCTGGATGTATCAGAAAACAAGCTGGAGCGCCTCCCGGAGGAGCTCGGAGGATTGCAGGCTCTGTGCGATTTACTGGTCTCACAGAACCTCATTGAAGCTTTACCAGAAAGCCTTGGTAAGATCATAATGTATTATATCTGGAGAACCTAACTTAGAAACCACAACAAATCCATGCAACTAGTTCCTCACTCTCAAAACTGCTGGTGGTTCTAGGACTAGTTTTTACATGCTTGTATTTCTGGCCGACCACAGCTTTTTTCAGCTAGCAAAGCTCAGCCAATCAGCTTTCAGTGTGTAAACAATAACATGTTTTCTATTAAAACACCTTTAACATTCACTCCTTCAAGAAAGCAATGTAATTATTTTTTTTTCTTCGTATTTCCAAAGATGTAGGATAAAAATCATTTGCTTGTTGAACTTTTTTTAAAAACTATAATTCTTTACCAAATGGTTGGGATGTAGTTTAATAGTAAAAGTACCAAAAGCCAAGTGAAATACCAGAGTTCGAGTTGCAAAAGGTGAACTACCAAGTGGTTGAGGAAACCATTTAAGGGCTACAAGTAAAACAGCCTGTTGTGGTCTGATTTCTGAACCAAACAAAACGTATGATAAAAAGTTACATTCTCTAGGTTTAACACGTGTTTTTGAGGCCTAAAATATTATCAGCACTTGAACCCTGGGATGAACGTTTGCAGAGTACCTCCTTGTCTTTTCATGTCGTTACTCATGTGCAAAAATGTGTCATCATGCCCAGAGCCACACATGCTTCTTGATAATCACATTGCTCACGTTTGAGTGGACATTGCCTTTTAAAGCTAATGGTCAATGATTTGAACAGGTTTGATAACATTTCGATTAGATAAATGGCTCTTGCCGACACCCCCGCATCGTCAAAAATATGAAATGTGTCAGAGTACACATTGTTCGCTGTATAGGTGTGGCTGATGTAATGGCCCTAATCTTATCATTGTTTGTACTTGTGTCAATGGAATTTGTATGTGCCATCTTTGCAGGAAAACTACACAAGCTTTCAATTTTAAAAGCAGATCAGAATCGGCTAATGTATCTTCCAGAGAATATTGGAAACTGTGAAAGCCTTACAGAACTCGTCCTTACCGAAAATCAGATACAGGTGAATTTCTTTGTCTCTATATTCATGTCAATTTGTGCGTAGTGTGTTAGTGTTTCTCATAAGCAGCTGCATCAACACGCTCAAGATAACCATGCATTTTCTGCGCTCCTGGTTCAAATTGTGGACTGCACTATGCTTTAATTAAAAGCAATAAAATGTCTGTTGCAAACTGGAGACATTTAACCATTTATCTTTTTGTTGCAGAGTTTGCCTAGAAGTATTGGAAAATTAAAACGTCTTTCTAACTTCAACTGTGACCGAAACCTTCTAACAACATTGCCTAAAGAGGTGAGTTTTCTCCCCAGCTTTGATTGCTATTGCTATGGAATATTATTTCCACTGATAAAATTGTCAAATGCAAATATGAGCAGAAGCGCATGGAGTAGAATGATCACAAATTCACTTGTCTTTACTATCTAATCTTTTAACACCTTTGAGTAACACAGCCCACATTCCATCTCTACCACTACTCCCTGATTTATTACACTTGAGGAGATAACGCTGGATTCTGGGTGTATTCAGATAAAAATGATGACATACAGATATTTTTCAACATATTACTACAAGTATTTTATGTTATAAGACTGGAACTACGCTGCCATTTCAATTATTAATATTCATTTGTGTTTGTGGTACACGAAAAAACTGTAAAGTCAGGTGTAGCTCATGTGGGTTTAGTAGTAATACAGTGGTAGAAAATATTTGTTAGGGTTTTGGGCTTGATTGATTGTACTGCAGAGGAAAATATCTTTACAATATTATGTTTAAAACTGACGCTAATTAAAAAGGTTGAGTTTCGCCTCCTGAGAATAATGAAATTTAACTGAACACAAAAAAACAAAAATACAACCCTATTTTAGTTGCGACCATTATTTACTTTTACAGCTGCGTTTTAAAGTTTTTGCACTCAGCCAGAAATGTCATTGTTTTGCCTTAGATTTTGTGTGATGTTAACACACGCACACACTCATCATTGGTGTTTGTCAATGCAAACGCGTGTCCATTTTCAAACTATAACATAATTGAGCCACTTTTGGGAGATATCCAGGAATTTACATAAGTTGGAGGCTTTCTGCCAAGAGCTTTCAGATTTACCATCAGAGAGGATAAAAAACTCATCAACAACAACCACAAAAGACTGCAAGCTGTCACAGATGTAAGGGAAATATTAGGAACCCAGGGATAGAAACTGGATTAGAGTTTCTATCTCCGAGTTTCTATCATTTGAAAGTAGAAACCCTTTCATTAGACAATGTTAGTGATTGTGTGAAGCCAATCAGTGGAAAAAAAGGTTCGCATTATCATTCAGAATCTATTAAATATGGATGAATCCACATTCTCTAAAGCAACTAATGAGAAAATGGGCCGTCTCAATTGTGGCCACTTCCCTCTCTGGTAGTCCGCATTGTTTTCTCTACAATTACAGTTTGTTTATTTGTACGTGCCTTGTTTTCACACTTGGACCCACAATGCAGCCTGTTATATCTATAGTTCGCTCTGTCCATCTCGGAGTGTCTATGTGCAGCCTCTTGTCTGCGCGAGAAAAGCGGCCTTGGGTTGAATCCTGTTTTGAATGGCTCTTTGCAGCTCGCACAATGGCCCTGTGTCTCGCTGATGCGCCGAGAGGATAGTGTTGGGGCAAAAACAACACTTAGACACACTCCGACTGCAAATATGTAATTAATCTGACACTTTTTGACATGTGGCGTGACATCTCTGCACCAGGAGCCTGTGTCTGTATTGATCTGGGCCTTGCACGGCCTCTTGACCATTGGTCCATGCTAATGGCTTCTATCGATGAGTTGTCAAAGTAATAACCTATTTCCTGCTTTTATTTATGTTGTGATTGAACTCTCTATGGCTGTGATTTTGTTCTTATTGCTTAAGGGTTTCATTTATTAATTGCAATAGAATCAAAATCACAATTTTAGTGGCTGCAGTTGCAAAAGACTGCAATTATATTCTTTACAAACGGCTAGTTGTATCTTGTGAAAAACTGGCTATCCTTCTTCTAAACATAAAGAGCTCACAAGCAATACATTGGAATGAAGAGAAATACAACCTCTCATGAGAGCGTTTTATCCTGTGTTTTTTTGCTCATGTAAAAGACCATTCTCATCTAACTTAGTTTAAAGAATATTGGGATTTTCTTCTCATTTCCATACTAAAATACACAAAAACAAATTCAACGTTAATTTTGTACTTTGAACTTGGATCCTATAGCTTCATAACATGAATCACAAATTGCATTGTAAATCACACTGGAAAATTGCTCTTAATTTTTTCTTTAGAAGTGTGCAGCTAAGTAAGTAATCTTTATTTATATATCACCTTTCACAGACCAGAGTCACAAAGCGCTTTACAATTGTGGGCATTTGTCTCTAACTCCACACAGAAATGGGAGTGAGGTCGCCAGTACAGGATGCACATGCCGGACCTATTGTACAAGTTTTTGTTAGTGGTAGGAGAAACCGGAGTACCCGGAGGAAACCTACGCAGACACGGGGAGAACATGCAAGCTCCACTCAGAAAGGCCCTGTTCCAACCGGGATTTGAACCCAGGACCTCCTAGCTAAGACACAAGAGTGCTATCCACGCTGCCACCTTGCCACCCAAGCTATATTTCACCATAGCAACCATGACATTTCATATGGTCCGGTGATAACAATTATTAAGGTATTAAACAGATGAGTATTTTACATATGGGGCAAAATGGGTTTGGGAGTTGATGTTACATTTGAGTGCTTACTTTTCCAACTGCTCTGTACTGTGCGTTGGAGCAAATATTTCCTCTCTTCACCCTCCCGCCCGTCTCTTCTTTTCTCTGTCGAACACCACTTTGTTCATTCATTGGGTCTAATTGTCTCTAATTTAGATCACTGTGCCACATCAAATCGACATTTTCTCAGCTGCATCCAGACCATCAATTCTAGGACGACTGGATTTAGTCCCACCACAGCTAGTGTAACGGGGCCGTGTGTTAACTTTAAACATGACTAATATCTTGTGTTTTTTTTGTTTGTTTTCAGATTGGAGGATGCAGTGGCCTTAATGTATTTTGTGTACGAGAGAACAAACTAACGAGGATACCGTCCGAGCTGTCGCAGGCCACAGAGCTGCATGTGCTCGACGTGTCTGGGAATCAGTACGTTCAATGATATAAAGCCACATATATTTAGGTCCTATTAGGAAAAAGACACTAATAATGTGATGTTTGTTTGTGTATAAGAGAATACAGTCTAGATATGACAGAGCAGTTTTCCAGTTGTAGGTTTTTGTTTAGACAGTTTCAGCTCTTAAGTCTAATTTGTTAAGTAGGTCACATTTTGAGTGAAAAGCTCAATGTTTTTTAGTCTAATACAATATCCCATTGACAGACATGTTCTTTAATGTTCAGTTTATTGCGTACAGCAGTGAATACATTTTTGGTTTCAGTCTGAGAGTCATCTGTCTTCTCGTTCTGTGCCAACATAGTTCAACATTTGAATGACTCAGACCTAAACATTTTACCTCAGACTGTGGAAAAACCGGCTCCTCTCTGTCAAAACAAACTGGTCCTTTAATATAATGTAGTGCCGTCTGTTAACTGTTCAATGTAAGGCTGAAGGTGTTATTCTAGTTGGACAGACTTGATAAACTTTCTACACTATTCAATGTAGTTGTGCGGCCTTCATTGACTGACTGTTTGTCCATAGACTCGCGCACTTGCCACTGTCGCTGATCACACTACAGCTAAAGGCCTTGTGGTTGTCAGAGAACCAGTCGCAGCCTCTGCTGACATTTCAGACTGACCAGGACCCCGACACCGGAGAGAAGGTGCTCACCTGTGTGCTCCTGCCACAACAACCGCTGGACTCCGACCTTAAAGGTGCACATTTGTTACTGGTGCTAAAAAACATAGACTAACTTCTCAAATCCAAGGTTTATTATGAGTATTGGATTAGTTTTGAATTAATGAAATGAATGATATTGTGTATTCTCATAATTAGTAATATTTATGGTCCGACTGTTAAAGTTGTATACTGTATATATATATATATATATTATATATATATATATATATATATATATCCAATCTGTGAAAAACAAAACAACAATTACATTGTGTATATTTTTTATATGTAATTTTCTTTCTTTTTTGCTTTTATCACAGATTGGAAATGCATTTGTTTACACTCCATTCTCTATCTTTTTTGCCTCACGCTATCACCACAACAATCATGGTTCCCACTATTATTGCCCCTGATAAAATCTGTTGTTTTGCAGGTACATGTTTTTCCCATTTTGTTGCCTGACCTCGCCATGACCCTTATATATTTATTTAATGTTGTGGAATTTTTCATCATGGGGAGTTTGTTTTAATAATTGTGGTTGATTTCCTGCTCTGATGTGAATCTATATGTGAATTACAACACACTTTCAGTCCTAAAGCAGCTCCCTGTTGGGCCTCTGACTGTTATAAAGACTGCACGGTAGCGGGAAGTGCCCCTTTGGCAAAAGAATATTGTATTTCATTGAGATGTGTGGGTGCCAACTCTTTGACATTTGAGTAATATTTCCCGTCAGACCAAGTGTCATTCTTGAGTTTTCAGTAGCTCATGGATTCAATGACATTATCACATGATCTGCTCAGGGAGGCACAGCATGTACCTCCTGGAGCCTGATTATGAGCGATCACAACTCCCAGAAGAAAGCGCGGCCTTTGCTCTGCCTGGAGGCCCTCCTTACTTATGTTTTTTCAGAAAAAAACACTCGATTGGACGGCTAAAGAGGCTTAGCACTGTCTGGCGTACTGCCATTAAAAGCTTGGCCACTGGATATAGAGATGTATCAGTGAGTTGCCAACGTTACATGTCTACTGTCTTTATTCATAGACCTCCAGGCATGAAAAGGCTCAGGTTGTTGGAGACATTGTTGCAAAGCATTAAAAAGGCATTGAAATTATGATTTGTTGTACAGTTGTAATGTCAAGTAAAAAAAAAGGGTAGTCAATGTAGTATTTGATTTGGTTTATTTGTAACGCTGTGTTGTGATAGAGTTGTGTGGATAATTCTGGTAGTCATGTCGTGTGTGGGTGGGGGAGGGACAGTTGTGTTGCTGTAAGCTTGTGACTAAGCTGGGATTTGAAACTGTGATCAGGCAGTTTCAGGCTCTCATGGGATCTAGTTATGCTGTAATATCTCAGTCGGCACTCATTTATGCATGTGATGTGTGTGGAAAAAACACTCCAGGGAAAAGCGTAGTGTATTGATCCTCATCTGCATAAAGAGTCATAAGTTAAAAATATGACCTGATGTTTGGGATGTATATTAATAGAGATGTTTGGTTCCTGGCAGACTCTGATAACTTGGCCCGCTGTGGAGGCCTGGAGAGTCTGGTGAACGACATGACAGAAGACACATGGGACACAAAGGCCATGAACCGAACTAGTGCCATCCACTTCCTGGACGACGATGAGGAGGATGAAGATGATGACAAGGTTTGTAATCATATGCTTCCATAATTTCATTGCATATGTTATTGGACCGGGAAAAATACTTGTTTAAATGGCACGGAAGTAGAAAACTTTCATTAATAAAATCAAATTGGCAATACTTTTTTACAGTTCAAATGTAAACACAATGTGTAGCTAATATTCTAAATAGAGACATTTCTATAGCACTAGACCCACTTTAGTAGTCACTCAGTTTTTAACATTATTATTATTTAAATAAGATTGAACAAGATTCATCTGCGGAAACTCTATAAGAAACTTAGGAATATAAGCTTTCTTCATCTACTTTTATATTATATGTGCACTTTTAAGTGGTCCGGCAGTCCCATTTCTTTGGTCATATTTTACACGTCTACTTTTGTCTCCATCTGAAAGTTATTATGAAATAATTTAAAGATAAGTTGGATGCAGCACATGCTCTTCCACACAAAACATCCCAGGGCTCTTTATTTTGGCCTTTTTCTTTTACTTTTTTAAGTGCGGCATATTGCATCTAGTTATTCTTATAGTACTATGACCAAAAACAGTGCTTCTCAAATAGTGGGGCCCTATAACCTGTCCCAGTGGATCCTGAACTACCTCACAGACAGACCCCAGTTTTTGAACCAGGGACTTTTTGTCTGAGGTCCTGACCTGCAGTGTGGGGGCCCCCCAGGGGACTGTTCTCGCGTCCGTTCCTCTTCACCCTCTACACTGCAGACACTTGTATGTTTACAGACTGCAAGCATGCAACTACATATTGCGTGCACTAGAATACACAGTACTTTATACTTGCTTCTTATTTTGCCAAAATTAGAGAGATCTTATACTTGTGTCTTTGATGCTAGAGGTAGAGATGTTTTTTTTTTATTTTAATTAGTATAGCTATTGTTCATTTGTCTTGTGCTGTGTGCTCCTCATTCCTTCTGTTCTGTAATTGTGATGCAACACTGACATTTCCCCACTGTGGGACAAATAAAGGATTTCTTAATCTCAATCTTTAGTGTTGGATCTTCACAACGGTGGACCTGTTGAAATGAAGTGAAAAGATAGTTTCTCTGTCACTCAGTGTGTTATTTCATATTGTCTCAAAGTAAAACTCGTGCTCTGCTTTCAGGGGACCCTCCTCCGCCGGGCCACGCCGCATCCTGGAGAGCTTAAAACCATGAAGAAAGCAGCTGAGAACCTGCGCAACGATCTGAACGCTGCCAAAAGTCTGGACTCCAACAAAAACGAGGTCAATAATGCTGCGGAGGACAGAGTAACTACAACTACGTCTGTGTGAACGTTACCTCAAAGACCCTGTGTCCCGCCCCCTGATGTGGCCTGAACCCCAGCTCCAGACCTGTCCCAACTGTCTCAGCCGTGCCTTCCTATTTATCATGTCCACAGCAAGATTTAGAAATATATATATATATATATATATATATATATATATATATATATATATATTTTAAAGATTTTACTGTTGAAATGCCTTTTTAAGAATTGAAATAGGTAGTTGCACTTTTATGTATCTTTTTTATTATGGCCAAATGTTGTTAAATGTTTTATAACTGTTTTTAAACACTGGGTGAATACTTTTGGGGCAAATATTGCAGGATTTTTTTTGAACCTACTGATTACTGTATAGTCTGTTTAATATCAAAACTTTTATACTTTTGGCAGCTCAAATGTAAATACAATGTATAGCAAATATCTTAATCATTTAAAGATTTTTTAGCTTGGTACTTCTCACTTTTTTAATCAAGGAAAGGAACAAAAGTTATTGAATGCATTTGCATTTTCTGATTATTGGCCTTGAACACGTTTTATCAGTACATATTTCTATAATAAGATATTTGTTCATTTGGACTAATGTTGTGCAACGGTCTGCTCTCAGAGGGTTCCTCAGAAATACTTTTCCTTTGATACAGTAGAGTGCTCACACCAATGACACTGCATCCGAGAAGACAAACTCCTGTTCTTCCAATGGTACATTATTGTATTTTTGTAAAATAAATCCAATGCAAAGTGACTCTACTTTTTGTTAGTTTTTTATGATTTCAATTATTGTTTGATCAAACTGCATAAACAGATCTCTGAAAAGGCAAAGTCCAGGAGGTTGGAATGACTTTTAACCACTGATTAATAAATTAAGTGCAACACTAAACAGCGTTGTCTTTTATTAGTTATAAGAAGCATTGATCGTTTTATCAAAACAAATAAAGTTGAATCCAGTGAAACCAGCGCCTCTGTCCTGAGCTGCAGCATGCGCCTCCCTGTGTTCACCTGCATGTCTCCGTTGTGTGTCTTCACTGTCTTTGAATCAGAAGTGTGTGTGTTTCTGTCAGTCATACAGGTTTGGAATTTTCTCTGTGATCCAGTAATTATGACCTTTGAAACATTTACTAAAGTTTTTACAATTGACAAAACTGTTATAAATGAATTTGAAATATGAAAAAAATGTAACTCATTGTTAAAACGGGTTTGTCTGCGATTGCTGAACGCAGTATGTTTTAATCTTTCTATTCATTGAATTCAATTGGTTTCAGCCGTAATGCATTTTATATGCACAATTTAGTCATGAATGTCTGCGTTTTGGATATTTTTCATGTTTCATGAGTTGTGTTTTAATGAGATAATTTGCAGACATTTACATTGAGCACAAAGCGGGCGTCAGTCTGAGAGAACAGGAAATTAAGCTCCAGGAGGTCGATGCTCTGATTAGGTGCTTCTGCAGCCAGTAACTTTAAAATAATATTGTGCAACGTATAAAATATGATCAATTGGAATTACTTTCTGTACTGTGCTCATTTGTGCAAATAACACGAATTATAAACGCTTATTAAATCTAAATGTGAGGCAAATAATTATGATCACTTATTTCATTGTGCAGCCATCTTGTATCCGACGAAACCAATATTTGTAGCTGGGGGAAACTTGTTGATCCTAATCAACAAATAATTTGTATTTACTTTTCAAAGTGAATGGGTATTTCTCAGATAAAATAAATATCTTTTTAACAATGGTGACAACTTGGATCACAGTTCTCTCACAGAGGTGGTATTCACTAAAATCTTTTTGGAACAACATACTCATGCTCCTCTTCCTGGTCAATATTGTTGATTTAAAACAACATATGTCGACAACTTTGTCGACCTTTCAAAATGTCACTCCGCTTCAAGTAACTTACTGTAACCTTTCTGCACAAAAATACTAGCCGAGTATAGTTTACCAGCTCAAAGTGTGTATATGTGTAAACATCAGATCTACCTGTGAGCGGGCTTGAATCATGTACAACATGTAAATGTTCTTTTTGCTATAATGTCCAACAAGCATGGATGCATTTAACACCTAGCATAGTTCTAGCTTCACAGATATCATCATGTTGGCAAATCATGGTGCTCCATAAAGTTACGCATAGTTGCTTTAGTCCTGTGTTAAAGCCTCGGTGATGTATCCTCAGGATGAGGGGGGCCTATGTCCGAAGCCACAGCTGTTCGTCCATCATCATAAAGAGGAGACATATGAGGTGACTGCTGCTCTAAACATGGGCCCCTGTGTCTGTGAAGACCCCCCTCTCTTCATCACACGACACCCCTGGCCTGTCCCAACTCCAGATCGATGTCCTTCCCTGGACACACCACTCAAAGTAAAACAAATTGCTTCTTTCAAGGAATTGAGCAGAGAAATGAAAGGGCTCTGTCTGGCCTTACTTCTGTGGTGTAATTATTTGTGTCAGATTAATTGTGCCTCAGTTACAGATCAGAGTGAGCGGCCAGAGGGGTGGTTTGGGGATTAGCATTGCTGGAGGAAAAGGATCTTTGCCCTACAAACAACAGGATGAAGTAAGTATGGCTGGTATTTTGAAAATGTTTCTTCAATATGAACTGTTACAGGGATTCTATTTATGAACCCTGTGCTTTATTTCAGGGCATTTTTATCTCTAGAGTGACAAGAGGAGGGCCCTCAGAGAAGGCTGGCGTCCATGTTGGAGACAGACTCCTCGAGGTGTGTATACATGTATGACATGTATGTACAGTATGTGTGTATGTGTGTGTGTGTGTGTGTGTGTGTGCGTGTGCGTGTCTTCAGTTTCTGCTCGAATCTGAACGGGCTGTAGTACCTCAGATGGCCTGTAGAGGACACAATAACGCAACACTTCGGTCCACTAGACTAGAGAATGAAAAGAGAACTGGAAAACCAACAACTCTTCACTCTCTGACCCGATGTGATTCTTTGATTCTGTATTGTTCCGCAGGTCAATGGACTGAGCATGCATGGGGCCACCCACCAGCTCGCTGTCAGTTCCCTGAGGAATGCTGGGAGCTCCATCCGGATCAAGGTGCTCAGAGACCCATTGCCCACCGGGGAAGAGGCCCTCGATTTGACGAACAACACGGCCAAATCACTTATCTGCCAGGAAGACCTGACCATACGAAACTGTTTGTCTAGGAGGATTGAGGCAGTGGTCTGTAATGGAAATGGAATGGTGGGTATAGTATATTCAAAATACTGATCATAAACTTGTACAAACCAAGCCAATAATACTAACTTTTTATGTATTAGATTGAGTTGAGAAAAGATGCAAGTTGTCCTGAGATAAAAAAAGAACCTTCATCAAATGCACATTCTCACCTCCGGGAGAAACACACCATGCAAGTAAGATAATTGTATCTATCTTTAAAAGTATCCTGCCTGTTGTGACTTGGGTTATAGGTCACTTTGTTGGTAATATATTATAGCTGAAGGCTTTGCCAACACCCCTCTCTTCCTCTCTCTGTGTGTTTGTGCTTCTGCTGCTGCTGGATATTATCTGCAGATCCCACGGATCATCCTCACTCATCCCTCCACATCAGATGAAGATGTGGAGCTGCTGACACGGAGCCCCAGCCGAGAGAAACCGTTTGCCTTTGACAGGCAGCACATCCCTGACTGTTTCGACAGTGCTTTTTATCTACCATGACCTTAGACAGAGTTAGAAGGACTAACAAACGTGGCCTTTGTCCGTGCTGCCATACCTCCAAATTTAACAGAACACTTGTTTTTTAAGATTGACCATATATTATGGAAAAAGAGGGACAGTATTCACAAATCTGGATCAATATCTGATTTGCTTCTAGGTAATGAAAGGGAATGGTTTGAATAACCTTGAATAAAGATCCCTCAAAAGTAGTGGAAGTAGAAGCAAAAACAGCACCCAGACCAAACGGATAACTCTTGGATGAGAATGGGAGAGTCAATCAAATTTCGTTTTCTCATTTTACTCATTGGCCAAACAGGAATGCACTTATGTCAGAAGCATGAATGTCTGAAAAAGCTTTCACCCGCTCTTCAGCATCAATATAGATCAAAACTAAAATATAGTACATTTTTACTTTATATGTTGATGGGAAATTACATCTGTGGCATTGGAGTGAATATCTACCAAAGAGGGAACCCAAAATAAAATCTTCACAAGTAGTTAAATATCCAAACAAAGGGCTTTTCTACCTCGCCTACCTCTACATTTCCACACACTGTGAAGGGTTGTGCTGCTTAGGAGGGATTTGTCTTTTACACTGGTTTTCTCAACCTTTTTCTGTCGGCTTCTATGAAATGCCACTGAGTGACTCCTGGACTATGTGACCCATGGAGCGTTGAAAATGTCTTCATGTCTTTGCACCTGCTGCTACAAGATCACTTCAGACTGAAAACATTGTCACTGGTGCAGAGAGTCTTTCTTTCTGTTATACTCTAACTGCTCTTATGGGAATATTAAGATGCAATAAACATGGGAAGTTTAGGCATTACAACTACTGTGCCAAAGCAGTCTCCCGGTAAAAGTAGGTATCAAATGATCAAATCCTGAAGTAGGTAAAGGATTGGAATACTACTTGGAATTCACAATACACGTGTTAGTGCATAGAGACCGCATTAACAATATGCGTAGGAGTGTGATCATAACATTTCATATATGCATCAGGTTATTTGTATTTTATTCATCTTTGGGGGCCTCCTTGGAAGGCAGCAGGTAGCTCCTTTGCTATGAGTCAGAGAACACTGCTCTTAAGTCAATACTACCTTTGTCTGCTGTTATTACACAGTAAACATTGTACATTGGTTTTGGACAGGGTCAATGGTACACTTTGCCATTGCTTATTGCACAAATGTTCTTATTGCATTTGACTCTTGTGTATTTTGACTTACCCACACAGTAGGGACAGCAGCTTATTTGAGCTGAGATGCTTTGAGAGAGCGCCATTTCTCGTCTATACAGAGCAAATTAGTCTCAGCCTGTCCCTGGGGTCACTCATATTACGGACAGGGACTCAGATGGAAATAGGTAAGTGCAGGAAATGAATTATATGCAAACACCCTGAAGGTAATTATCTGTATAAATATTTGTTTCTTATCCTTTCAGGGGCCTTTCAATCCAAACGTTTTCATGAAAAATGTAATCATACGTAAGTGGCTCTGTGACGAAGTGAAGGCACTTCTGTCATCACTGTGGGTGCCGGAGTGAATGGAAATTATCTCAAGTCGTAAAGTGCTTTGTGGGACCTTTCTCTTTGACATGCGCTACATAAATAAACATTGCTTTCTTACTTATAGATTATTGTATTCATCCAGACCTATTATGTTGGTAAACTGCATAGCATATTCATTTCTTACATCATGAAAATAAGAGAATAAAGCAATTTTGTACATTTTGGGAAAAAAAGGATTTCTGAAATGTGTCTCATGGTTACTTACTCCAAGTGCTCAAAGAAAAGGGAGGACCGCCAAACCATTTCCAAGCTTTAAATCCTATTTATATTCAGCTCTGCCTGCACACTTTCCTTCGCCAGAATTAGAGCTTTCTGTTGTACTGTCTTCACCTTCTTCTTTCATTCACATGGCATTAGTCACAATAATTTACAATAAGTAAACGGACATGTTTTGCCAATTATATTTTATGTATTGCTACAACAATGGTTTGTTCTTCATAAAAACTACATGTAGGTGGTCCCATTAGAAAAAGTCTTGAAAAGGCTAAAGACTTGCAAGACGGAGCCCTGTGAGTCGCTATTTGATGAGGGTGGTCCTGAGGGGTGGTCTGAGAAAGCAAATCTAAAACAGTGACGGACATCAACAATACATGCAGGTGAAAAGTAGATAGGATTGATGCATAAACCTGACCCTCCATCACATCTTACAGCACCTGGACTCCCAGAAAACCGACGCCAGGATCCTGCTATCCCTGATCCAGGACAATCCCTCTCAGCTCAATGTGCCCGACTCCACGGGCAGGTGAATCACTGACTTCCTGATGCAGTCTAGAATGTCTCAAACACACAGATTATAAATAAAGGTTCCTGCACAGGGCTGAGTTCTTTCTCCCATGCTCTTCTCCCACCAACACTAACCACTGCACCTCCAGCCATGACTCTATAAAGCTGATCAAGTTTTCAGACGACACCACCCTCATTGGACTCATCTCCGACAATAATGGAGGGAGGTGGACCGGCTGGTGTCCTGGTGCAGTGGTAACAACCTGGAGCTGAACGCCCCCAGAAGACAGTGGAGGTGATTGTGGCCCTCTCTGATGGACTCCCCCATCACCTCTGTGGAGTCATTTCGTTTTCTTGGCACAAACATCAGCCAGGGCCTCAGATGTGCCAACCATCAACTCCCTCATCAAGAAGGCTCAACAGAGGATGTACTTCCTGCGGCAGCTCAGGAAAGCCAAGCTGCCTGCACAGATGTTGGTGCAGTTCTACACAGCCATCATCAAGTGCATCCTCAGCTCCTCTATCACCGTGTGGTTCGCTGGAGCCACAGTCAGGGACAAACAAAGACTACAGCGCATCGTGAGCTCTGCAGAGAAGGAGATCGGCCGCAGCCTCCCATCGCAGCAGGACCTGTACGTCGCCCGAGCTCGCGGGCTGGTCGTATCTCTGCCGACCCCTCTCACCCTGCACATGGATTATTCCAACCACTTTCCTCAGGCAGGAGGTTCCAGTCCATCCAGACCAGAACCTCTTGTCAAAAGAACAGTTTCTTGCCCTCTCCTGTTGGACTCATGAACACGACATAACTCATCACAGTCCCAAGCCCTTATGACTTAAGCCCTTATGTCACTTTACTGCACTGCTAATGTCTATTGTGTGCACTTAGTGTAGTTTCAGTTTGTGTCTATGTGTCTATCTTTACCTCTCAACTGGGTTTGAACCCAGAGCAAAAGCAAGTTCCAAGTTTGTGTTCTTGTTACTCACATGGCAATTCTGATTTTGATTAAATGTTGCACTTTTAATGTAAATGTCATAAATTTTTTACGTTGTTCTTTTCCTCAAATCTTTTATATTACTATTTAATTATTTATGGATCATGTGCTGCATGTCTGTCCTATGGCACATGAACATCCGCTGCATCATTACTGCAGACCTTCATGCCATGTGTCTCATGATATCATTCTTTCAACCAAGGATTTAGAGACATCTTCATCTTCAAACACATTCAAATTCACTCTTTATCTTTTAATGTCCGATCACACTGGATTATACAAGATCGTAAAGCGAGCGCTGAGTCTGACAGTTAACACAGTCATGAAACATCAAATATTTTATATAAGAAAGTAGAGGAATTAATATGTTAGAACATTACACCAGAGATTCTAACATTATGAACCTGAATATTTGAAGGGAGGCTGCATCTGTCTTGAGGCCACATGGATCTTGTGCATTCACACAGGATTACAGATTGGTATAATGATGAAACAAAAAACACAGTAAATGTAAAACAGATGGGATTTCCTATATAGATGTACCATCTATGAAATATGTATTTCATTCAGTTCTGCACACAACAGATATAAAAGCAAGTCCCTTGTTACCCCGCTACTTGGGCTCATATATTCACTAATGTGTGTGTGTGTATATGATAAGACACAACAACAAAGAAGATGGTGTTTTATTTAATGCACAGGTGTCAAAGTCAAAGCCCGGGGGCCAGAGCCGGCCCGCGAGACCATTTCCATTGGCCCTTGAGATGATTTTTAATTATTATATTAAATAGCAACATTGATGGATATAGGCGATAATGGCATGTTATCCAATACTAAGAAAACAACCAAAGTTAGTTTTATTATGTTATGTTTTTTACGAGTCTTCAATTACATTTCTTCTTAAAGATATGAAGCAGGATTTCCCACTTTTCTTAGGAAAGAACTGCCTTCTCCACTTTTAGAACAAAACTCTGTGGTCTTATTTGACGAGCATGTATCACCAGAATGATTGACAGTTGGGAGGACCAATAGTCTTGAGGATCCACCCGGAAGTAGAAAATCTTCCTATACTTTCAGTATTTGGTCCAGTTTTGGTTCAATCTACAGGAACTGAACTAACGTGAACAAGTCATTTATTTAGATACCTTCATAGTCCAACAAAAATGTAATAAATGAAACTCACTTATTTTTTTGGCCCCTGACCAGCCCTTCCTTGTTTTATTCGGCCCTTTACCAAAATAAGTTTGACACCCCTGATTTAATGTTTACATTTCATTTAATTGGATTTCATGGCGTATGATGAATCCTGGTTGTCAAGATTATACACAGCCACTGGCCAAACATCAATTCCTAGAATTTACTTTTTAATCTTTTATTTCAAGAGGTTCTTTCTGGCAAGTGTCACAATATTGTAACTCAATTTGACCACAGGGCTTTGGTTGTGGATGCCTCACTGATGCGCCTCCATCTAATGATCATTTCAACACTCATTTTATTTCAAATCTTAACGTTTGTCGTCATTAATCGGTGGCCTGTGGATGATGCTAGAATATTGTTAGAGGCGATAATTTTTTTTATTTGCAGCAATACTATTCCATGTCTCAAGGACATACACAAATGTTCACCTCCTGGCACCATTGGGATCCTACCTGCGTTATGTTCGACCTTTTCTTGGCTTTTTTTCTGGACTTGATTCAGGCAGCACTAGTATTGTCCTTGTG